CCTCAAATGAGTGCGTGGTGCGATGTGTGAACATCACCACTGGGGAGACAAAGGCGGCCGAGCGTGGTCCTGTCCACCCACCCCCATTGTGCTCCTTCATAGGTTGCTCGCGAACAGCACTTGCCCTAACAATCCATTCAGGCTATACGAGGGGAATCTTTGTCTTTGCATGCTTGCTTGCTCGTGTGTGTGTGAGCGTGCATGCGCCTGCGTATGTGTGCATGTGCGCCGGTCCGGTCTCTGAATATCAATGAGCTCAGGTCCTCGCCACACAAGGGTTGCACGCGAACAGAATTCACATGCAGCCCCCATTGACGGCTCGCAAGCCTCTCTCCTCCCCCCCCCCCCCCCCCACCTTATTTATATGCAGACATAACAGCCGACAGATGCATCTCATGGCAAATCCGTATTGGCATGTCACTGGTGTGCGCTTCTCTATTTGATTTTTTCCCTTCTTACAATTATGTTCAGTTTACACTCTTGGCTTCTGACTCGTAAAACAACACCAGGAAAATCTCTGTCACTTGGACCTTTCGCAGAAGGCAATAAACGCCCCCCCTCCCCAAGATGTTAGGATGCTTTCTGGAAGATGATATGTGGGAGATGGCATCACTGAACTAATTCCGAGGCCCTCTTAATTCCCAACTGATCGTAATGCAGTGGTGCACTCTGGATGTGTTCCTAATTTCCGGATTCATTTGAAGGAAAACGAAAATCTATGGAAATTGGGCCTAGATGTTAAATTTCAGGTGGTTAAAAAAAAACCCGTACCATTGCATCAATGCCACGAAGTCGCGACCGTGCGTTTGCCACCAGAGGTAACATCGCGTGGCATTGTTGCGTATCGTCACTTTTGTCAGCAAGAAGGAACATTACATTATATGCGATGTAAACGATTGGAGAGAAAAAACTGTCAAAATACCCAAAATCTTAAATTGAAGCCTACAGTGGCACCAAGTCACATGACCCGCCACAAACGTGTTTGCCCTATGGCGATCAAATCCAACCAATATTTTATAATTTGTCCCATGAACTGAAATAATCAAGATTAAGTAGAAGAAAATGAACCCAACTTGTTCCACTTCAGAATCCAGTTCCGTCTGTGGCGGTGGCTTGGATTTGAACCCAGGGTCTCGTGGTGCCAACTCAGGTGTCGGGTGTGGTATTGGCCATACCACACTCTCTCGTGCACCATGCGTGTTTTCATATCTACTTGCTATCTCAGCACTTGCCCGAACAGCCTATGTACGTTGAACTTCTTTTGCACCGTGCTTTGCCAACCGTGCTAATATATGTCCATGTTAGGGGCATCTTTGTTTTTGTCTAAGTATGGATGCATGCGTGTGTAGCTACAGTTGCGTATGGAAATAACTAACAGCACTTTTCCCCAAAAGTCTGCTTAAGGGCTATAATAAAGGGGAGGGGGGGGCTTTTTTGTCTCTTGCTGTCCAGCACGGCCACGTGTGTTGTGCACGCGAGTTGGTCACGTTGCCCCCTGCTGGTACACAGAAGCATCGCGCTACCCCCTCCATTGGTTTTATTTTTTGCCAGCCAAAGCCATGCTCAATAGTTTAATAATTTAATGGATGCCGCAAAGACCTTGTCGAACAAAGGACATCAACAACACACGCGGCTCGTGTGAAAGTCTGCCGAGATTCAATACCACGTGTGCCACTGTGCCTCACCGCAAGCAAGAAGCGCCTGGGTTCGATTCCATACTCGGGTGCCTTTCTGCGTGGATGTATGTCCTCCCCTTGTACGTGCACGTGTGCATGTATGTTGAACTTCTTTCGCACCGTACGTAGCCAACCGTGCATGGCTTGCTCCGGGTTCAGCATTTACCTCCCATAAGCCATGAATATGCGAAAACTGTAACCTGCAAATCACTCCGTTTTCATTACGAGCGGCAACATTTCCCCCCGCCCCACTCCAAAACACTTGGCAGGAACATTGAGACTCAGTGAGCGAGGCTCTCCTGAGTAAACAAGCATAACAATTATTATGCATATAAAAGGAAAGTATTTTTGCGTATTTACACACGTGTGGACATTGATAAATGTGCGTATTGTATTGCTTTAGTGGTTCTTTGTCTTTTATTTATAAAAAAAAAAGTTGAGCGCTCATTGAGATTCATTATAAAACATGTATTGTCAAGCTGACCTGAGTAACATGAGTAATATTAGTCTGGGGAAGGGAAAAAAAACCTGATCCTTTAGATTCTACAGAGAGATTGACTTTTGCCAAATGCACATGCATTTGTGTTTGACAACATGGTTTGATGCGGTCCATCATAGGTCTTGGAAGGTTTGAGTTTTATACCGGGTCACGGTTGTTTCTGTGATTGTCCCGTCAATATTTTTTGAAGTTGAGCTTTCTGTCGCAGGGTCTTTGACATCCACTTTTTAAAGCCGGAGGCTGCTGTGAGTGGCGGCGTAGTGGTTAGCGCGCGGCGTTGCTCACTCGGCGACACAGCCACGGTTCACATCAGTGGCGAGTGATAATTATCAGAACTTGATCTGTGCCTCCACTAGGTCGACTCGGCTTTTAACGGCCACGGATAACACCAGCAGGGGATATCTAATTTGGTGCGGGATAACTCCCCCCACAGCCCCAACCTTCACCAACACATGCTGGCCAGCACGGAGGATAGGAACAAACTAAAATTCCACAAAATGACCGACACCGTGTGTCGAAGCTTTCATCCAGTAGAAAATTGATGGAGGCCTGTAAATTATTATGATAATTCACCATAACAATCATCAAAGCAGCTGCAGTGGAAATTGAGCATCGCCTCTGTGCAAACTGGCCCTGGCTGTGAGTGTACTTACCTGCTAGGCTACCCAGAGTCCTTTTGAATTCGAGCCATTTACAGTACACAATGTTGAAATCTGGTAATACACATGTATAGCCAGTTTTTGTCAATCTGCTGCTGGATAATGAGGGCCTCCCCACTGCTTGTGGGGTGCTGAGAGATATTTTGACCATACTTCACCACGCCGGCCATGGCAGGTTGGCGAAGGCTTTTGGGGAGTGCGGAACAGTCGATTTTGCTCCGTCGCCCTCTACCGCCCATACGACTACCACACTCCAGTCTTGTGCATGGTGGTCACCCATCAAAGCACTGGCCAGGCTCAGTGCTGCTTAGCTTCTGAGATCTGACCAAATTGGGGGGGGGGGGGGGGGGGGCATTCCGGTTGGTTTAACTTGCTGAGCCCGTGCCCCTACTGGACATCTGTGAAATAGAAATTCATAGCTCATCGGATTTCTCCAGGGTAAATAAAGATTCTGATTAATTCTGCTTTGGTCAAAGGCAATTTGGCATTGTTTATTTATATTACATAATACTGCCAATTATATCCCAGCTGTGCTTTTGGATTCATGGCACAAAGTGAAGAATTAACATCATTGGAGAACTCGTAAAGGCAGCAGAGATGCAAGTCGTGTCAAAGGCCAGCCCTGGAATATAATACCACAGAACCGATTTCATCAGTTGAATTTCAGCAATCCATTTCTGTGTGGGGTTGTTAGGGCTCTTTCCTCTTTTCTGCAGTGGATTTTCTCCGAGTTCTCCGGTTTCTTGTCCAAGGAAGAAGAAAAAAACTCAATATACTGGAATTGCCCAAAATATCATAGGCGGAGTTTGAGTGCTCTATTTGGGGGGACGGGAGGCAGGGGTTGACTTTCTCCCTCACATTAGGAATTGCGGGTGCATATGATTAATGTATTTATTTTAAATAATAATCGCCCCACCGCTCCGAACTCCACCCTGATCCCAATGCTGAAAACTTAGCTGCAAATGACTGAATTTGGGATTTCTCGCAGCAAACCTCACCCGCTCTCCTGCTGCAAAAACTTGTCAGGATCCTCCTGAAAAAGAGTATTGAGACTCAGTGAGGCCTTCCATGTGTAAACAACAACGATAATAACAAAAAATATCTGAAAAAAAACACGACATGATTGTGATGTGCATTACTACTGCATTGCTAGTAATATTTTATTATTTAACTTTTATTAATGGCGCTATTTTCGAGACTTGGCACGTTTAAAGAAACAGGGGACATTGACTCACTTGGGAAAACACGCGGCCACCATCGCCTCCCCTTACCCCCCGAATGGGAAACCCAGCAGGACCCTCGCCCGCCCCTTGTGAAGATGTCGTGAGAGATCCAGTCAAACTTTCCCGCGTGACACAAAAAAGTTTCTTGTGCCAATCGGTCGACTATTATTTCACGTTACGCCGCGGGACAGCGGGCAGCCCAGCGCGGCAGCAACATTCGGTGAACAGTCCCAAACCCCCGGCTTGAGACTCCATCCATCGTTTGTAGTCCTCTGCCCCCCAAATGAGTAGGTGTTTGCCTCAAAACTCCCTCCGTCCTTCTCGAGCTCCCATCTTGTTATTAATGATCGATGTCTTGTTTGTAGCTACACCAATTGATGTTTGCATTTGATTGTATAGCCCTAACCACCATTTGGATGATATTGGTCACGAAAGCCCACGTGTTGAAAGCCGTTCCTCTCGATTATATATTTTTAATGTGTTTATGAAATGATGTTCGTGAGTGTGCGAATAAACGATTTGTAAACGATGTATCAGGCGGGATGCATCTCCGCCTCGTCTTTCACGCTGTGGCGGAGCTACGTTTGAGTACCGGCGAGGAGGAGGAGGAGGAGGCAGACAGTCGTCACCATCGTCTTCCCTGGGGGCTTTTTTTCATCTTCTTATTTTAAACAAATTCTGCCGTGAGCCGCTCGTGAAGTTTTGAACGGTTGATACACTAAAAAAGAAAACGCTCTTTTTACTTTGATGTTGATACAGCCCCCGCCCCCCCCTTAGCTGTTTACTCATTTCCGTATATTCACGTTGTCACATCGGCTTGTTTGACTTAATGACTATGTAAGCAAATAGATAGTTGTTGTGACATAGTTTCGTCTCATTCAAGAGCCGGGTCTTACCGCCTGTTTGGACGTGCGTGTGATCCGGTGTGTTTGTGTTTTCACAGGGGTTTGTGGACAACATGGGGAACACCAAGTAAGTGTGCATGCATGAATGTGCGTACACACACATGCACATACACAACAATTATTTCATGTATGGCCTTCAACAGACCGTTGGGGCAAGTGCTCCATACGTACAAGCATGCACAGCAACAACCGCCATTCGCCACTAGATGACGGTGACGTCGTCACAGCGCTTGTGCCAGGCTAAGTGCACTTTACGGCCACGTGAAGTGTCGAACGACCGCTGGCAGGAGGTCACGGGACAGACCCAGGTGCCACGGGTCGACTAACCGAGATGACTGGCTGGTGAACCACCTGTGCCCGCTACTGTGCCAACCTGCTGTGTTTTAGCCACCCGGCCCTCCGCTGTATGCATGCACACACACGTATACACATACATACACACATACATACACATATATACACATACATACACATACATACACACACATACATACACATACATACACAACACATGTCCTGCTGAAAAGAGAGGGGTGTCTATTGAGACACCCAGAGGGGAGAGTATCTCTCCTGAGACACACAGAGGGGATAGTGTCTCTCCTGAGACACCCAGATCGGAGAGTGTCTCTGAGACACTCCCAGATAGGATAGTGTCTCTACTGAGACACCCAGAGGGGAGAGTGTCTCTACTGAGACACCCAGAGGGGAGAGTGTTTCTACTGAGACACCCAGAGGGGAGAGTGTTTCTACTGAGACACCCAGAGGGGAGAGTGTCTCTACTGAGACACACAGAGGGGAGAGTGTCTCTACTGAGACACACAGAGGGGAGAGTGTCTCTACTGAGACACACAGAGGGGACAGTGTCTCTGCTGAGACACCCAGAGGGGAGAGAGTCTCTACTGAGACACCCAGAGGGGAGAGTGTCTCTACTGAGACACCCAGAGGGGAGAGTGTCTCTACTGAGACACCCAGAGGGGAGAGTGTCTCTACTGAGACACCCAGAGGGTAGAGTGTCTCTACTGAGACACACAGAGGGGAGAGTGTCTCTACTGAGACACCCAGAGGGTAGAGTGTCTCTACTGAGACACCCAGAGGGGAGAGTGTCTCTACTGAGACACCCAGAGGGGTGAGTGTCTCTACTGAGACACCCAGAGGGGAGAGTGTCTCTACTAAGACACCCAGAGGGGAGAGTGTCTCTACTGAGACACCCAGAGGGGAGAGTGTCTCTACTAAGACACCCAGAGGGGAGAGTGTCTCTACTGAGACACACAGAGGGGAGAGTGTCTCTACTGAGACACACAGAGAGGAGAGTGTCTCTACTAAGACACCCAGAGGGGAGAGTGTCTCTACTGAGACACCGAGAGGGGAGAGTGTCTCTACTAAGGCACCCAGAGGGGAGAGTGTCTCTACTGAGACACACAGAGGGGAGAGTGTCTCTACTGAGACATACAGAGGGGAGAGTGTCTCTACTGAGACACCCAGAGGGGAGAGTGTCTCTACTGAGACACCCAGAGGGGAGAGTGTCTCTACTGAGACACACAGAGGGGAGAGTGTCTCTACTGAGACACACAGAGGGGAGAGTGTCTCTACTGAGACACCCAGAGGGGAGAGTGTCTTTACTGAGACACGCAGAGGGGAGAGTGTCTCTACTAAGACACCCAGAGGGGAGAGTGTCTCTACTGAGACACCCAGAGGGGAGAGTGTCTCTACTGAGACACCCAGAGGGGAGAGTGTCTCTACTGAGACACCCAGAGGGGAGTGTCTCTACTGAGACACCCAGAGGGGAGAGAGTGTCTGTGTTGAGACTCTTTCAAGCAGGTTTGACCACCAAAGTGCATAGCCGAGCTCGGTGTCCGAATAACGCCTCCTAGAACTGGCCATGTGGTGGCCGTTCTTAGACCATGAAACTCACTCGACCTGAACAACTCGGTATAACCAGCGGCGGGTGCGGCGCGTTCAGAGCTACCCACATTCGCAACCCAGGTGCTCGACGGCACCGGCTCGGTGGCGCTCTGGGGACAGGGCCCACCGTGAAAGCCCGGAGCCACGCGTTACAATTTGTGACCTCCTTCCCTTGTAAGCTCTCCCCATTAGCAACACCCGTGGAGCCACGGACTGCAAAACCGTGCCCATATATGCGATCGCTGTTAGTTTAATTTACGGGAAAGAATGCAAGCAATTGGCGTGGTATGCGAGGGCTTGGGGGGGGGGATATGGGAAGTATAATACAAAACGAACCCATTGGGCTTTTTGAATGTCCTTTTGTGGGCACTGAGAAGGATGGTTTTGTAGTTTTATTGATGCCGGTTAAAGGTTGAAAGTGCACAGGTGTTGGGGAGTTGGCTAATGGTGAATGGTGTCGGCATTCCAATGCCACCCCCTGCCCTCCATATCACCATACAGACTGTTGGGGTAAGAAATCAACTTTGAGGGCCGGCACTGCGCGCTGAGTGGGGGGTGGTGTGGCCGTTACGGCACACGGGGCCTTTGCGGGGCGTGGTGTGGCTTACATCTTGCCTGGCCAACTTTGTCTCTCCAGTGATGTTAGCCGTGGCTGATAATTGAACTGATGTTGCCTGGTTCTTAAGGCAGCGCCGTAGCCACTACAACACTGCTGCTGTCTCTGCAAAACACAAAAATCCCCCGTATAGCCTTAACAAACCTGCGAGCACCTATGAAGGCCGTGGCACGGCACACGAGGGGGTGGGTGGCCAGCACCACGCCTGACCTCCTTTGTCTCCCCGGCGGCGATGCTTGAACACACTACACCAGGTAGTCATTTGAGGCTGAGTCGACCTAGGGGAAGCCCAGCACCGATTAAAATTAATCGTCACTGGTGTTGGCTGTGACCAGTGCGCTAACTACTGCACTGCTGTTCCCCATTCTGTCTCTGCCACACACACACGTGTGCAAAAGTATGTAGTATCACACTTGGACGTACATGCACATGTAATTCAGACACACACACACTTTGTCTGAAGCCCAATGTGAGCATGGGGTGAAACTCATCTCCATTCGCATCTCTGAGTCAGTGGTGGAAATTCCTCATTCCCATGACAGGGGCCAGTATATCCGTTGAAAATGCACAAAGTGGTAATAATGGTCTTGGCCCTGGAGGATTGATGATGATGATGATGATGGAGGCTCGAGTTGATCCGTGACCAGAATTGTTTTGAACTAGTGACCTTCTGACATGTGATTTGAGTACTTTTTGCTTCAGAACCACCCAGCTGGAATGCTCACTATGTTAATGGTTGGTGAAATTAAATGTAATCCATATGCGTGGCACTGTGACTAAAAACCTACGACTCACGATTGGCAGCTTGCAAGTTCAAATCCTGGACAAGGGGCTCACCTTGGTTGGCATGGGCCTACCACCCCTCCCCCTGCCATCACGCCAACCCCATCCAATATCAATCGACGGGTTGTGTCTGGTGGGGTAAAGTGTGGGTACTCCCATCTCTTTCATGACATCTGGCCAGTGTGTAAGAGTAGGCCTAAATTCCACTCGATAGGGTCTCTCGAGAGGCACTCAGACTCTAGAGCAATTGCAGGGCTGTACCTTTAGGCGCCACGGTGATAAGATGGTAACTACTTCTCCTGGTATACAGGAGGTCGTGGGTTTGATCCCGACTCTGATGCCTGCTGCTGTATATTTGGAGTTTGCGTGTTCTCCCTGTGGTCGCATGGATATTTCTCTGGGTCCCCCGACTCTGTCCCTCCACACTTAGAATGAACATGAGTATTTGGCTGCTATAAATTCGCACGCGATAAGCCACTTTGTTGAGCTTCTTCAAAAGAGCTACACAGCTCAGTGGGCCTGACCTGGTAAAATAGTTTTTTGTATTTTAGTTTTAGGCATTACCATTAAAAACACCCGGTTGTATGGATTAGCTGGGGCGTTGGAAAAAAACCGCGCCACGTGTGCCCCCCGGGTGTTGCCCCATCGTCGCAGGAGCATCATGCCGGAAGCCCTGAGCCCCGACGACGAGGTGAACGAGTTCCTGGGCCGAGCCATCGACGCGCGCAGCATCGACCGCCTGCGCTCGGAGCACGTGAAGAAGATCTTGCTCACGTTCCGCAAGCCGGAGCTCGAGGAGAAGGTGAGACCCCAGCCCCAGCAGCGGCAGCAACAGCAGCAGCAACGCCGGTAGCAGCAGCAGCAGCATCAGCAATGCCAAGCAGCACCAGTAGCAGCAGCAGCAGCACCAACAATGCCAGCAGCAGCGTTAGCAACCAGCAGTGCCCCCTATGACCAGATCACCCTGCATACAACCGAAGCTGAGCGGGGTTGTGCCAGTGTTAGCACTTGGGATGGGTGATGACCATCATGGTGGCGACATGTTAACTACCTCGCCTGTTATGCAGAAGGTCGTGGGTTTCATCCCGACCCTGTGTATTTGGAGACTGCGTCTCTCTCCCCGTGGTCGAGATCGCATGGATGTTTCACCGGGTCCTCCGGTTTTTCCCTCCACGCGCGCACGGACGTACGCACATCCAGAAACACGCCGCTCTACTCAAGCGAATGCAGACATGTAGGCGCGCATGCAAGACGCGCGCACGTGCACGTGCACGCGCAGACGCGTCGGCACGACACGCATCCGCGCCCTCGCGTTCGCAAATTGCACTCGCACCTACACTCGCGAATGCGCGTGCGTGCGCGTGTACGTGCGAGTCGCATCCGCGCGTGCGCATTTGCCACCCCTAAGCTCCACGCACCCACAGACGACCCAACGCTCGCTCGCTCGCTCGCTCGCACGTGTGTGCGCATTTGCGAAATTATTCGCCATGGCGACGACGGGACGGAAGGGGAAGGGAGGCAGTAAAGGGAAGGACGGCGCTGCGCCCCCCCAACCCCTGGGATGACGGGGTCCGTGCCGTAACGCGCCGCCCGGCGACAGTGCTGACGGCGAGCACCTCCAGGGGGCCGCCCGTGCCGCCCGTTCGGGGACGCAGTTCGTCCCACATCCTGCCCTTATTGTCGCGACGTGGTTGGCGAATTGTTAACTCCCTCGCCTGGCATGCAGGAGGGTTCATGGGTTCGATCCCGACCCTGACGCCTGTATAATTGGAGTTTGCGTGTTCTCTCTCTCTCTCCCTCCCCGTAGTCACGTGGAGTTTTATCCGGGTCCCTCGGTTTTTCCCTCCACATTTATAAACATGCATTTAGAGTATTTGGCTGCTATCAATTTCCACGCGAGAAGCCACTCGGTTGAGCTATCATTTGTGTCCAGGTCGCTTCAGAAAAAGAGCCACGTAGCTCAGTGGGCCTTACCTGGTGAAATAAAAAATAGTTGACCAAAAACAAAAAAACCTGTATTATGAAAAATAGTTCAGTTTTTAGCTTTATTTCATTGGGACATTGCACTCCTTGGTCTCAATTACCCATGAATGTATAGGCAAATCAGCAGACGCGTTCATGATTTCCTTTATTTAGCTATTTGGCTGGGTGGGGGGGGGGATGGGACCATCAGTGTTGGGAGGGGGGTGGCGGGGGCTGTGGATAGAATGCCCGTCTTGAAATAATTAAAGTTGTTGAGTTCAAATCCCGGGCAGAGGAGGTCGACTCAGCTCGACCCAGCCCAGCATCTCTTCAACGTTGTTAGAATGAGCGTCATTTTCTTGGACGTCGCCGCTGTCGTAGTTTTGCGGATAAAAGTGTCTCACGCCATGGCAATGTGGAATTTGTTACAGCACACTCAGGGCTGGCGATGAGATGGGCACCGTGTGCCATACTCTGGTGTCTCTACGTGCGTGATAATTTCAGGGCATTACCGTGATTTTGGGAGAATTCTCAGAAAAGGACCGAGTTACGCCAGTCCTCGGTGTCTTATTAAAATACATGCACACTAAATCACTGATTATCCTGTTCCATTGGCCAAAACTACCACAGTCGTACGCATGGTTTTCCTCAGAGCATTCCGCTTTCCTCCCACGTTCAAGACATAAATAACACTTAAAATACTGTACCACGTGCAAAAACAGGAAAAATAAATCGAGTTTAAATGGGCAGGGCCAATGGTTACTGCGATAATGACGGACGAGAGAACGGCAGACAAAGCTCACGGCGGAGTGGACACCGTGGTGGGGGGGGGAGGAGAAACGAAAGGAGACAGCGGAAGAGAAGGTGGCAGAAGCAGCAAGATGACATCACGGAGTTCAGAGGTCACGACTGCACAGGAGACGCTCAGGAACAGAAAGGATTAGAAGGGAATATTCGGATAGCCCCTTTGCCCTGCAGTGGGAAGTTACAGGCTCATAACAATATCAAGACACCAAATTAACATTTTCTTCAAGCAGATCTCTCCTGATAGAGCACGTTTTAATAAGTGGAATTTCAAGCACGTATGTTGATCAGCCTTTATATCCATAAACAGTCCGGGGACACTAATTTAAAATTCCACATTCTTATGGCAGGGGCAGTCTCCTCATAGAACATTCACCGTTGATTAAATATTTTTTTTGTTTTACATATCTGAAAGTTGCCTTGTATAAAATAAGCCAGAATGTGCACCCCCTATCCCATCAGATCCCAGCAGCTAAGCAAAGTTGAACCCAGATAATGTTTGGCTGGGCTGCAGGTTCTGTGCTACGCTGTGGCCAGTGGAAGAGAAGGCAGTGCAGTAAATCCAGTGTTGTCCTGTGCTTCTATGCTTCCACATGTATACTCACCCCCCCACCGCTTCTACTAACCTGCACTGACTGGTGGGGTGAAACAATCCACACAGCCCGTAACGGGGCATGGGGAGGCACTCGCTCACCAGCACGCTCGCTCCTCACCGAGTTGCTGATAGAGCTTATCGTGCAACCGAAACCACCATCAGCAACATATATAAAAATATAACAGGAATCTTAAAGTTAAAAATCAGCGATGCTTTGCTTTCCTGGGGTAAAGCGCGTCGTATGTACGTTGAACGTCTCCCACGCCGTACACAGCCAACCGTGCTAATCAGACTGCAATAACGTGTAAATATAATAATAATGATAACCGAGAGCTATTGGGGATATGTCCCATGTGGTGGTGGAGACGGGTTTAACTCATGACGCCTAGTGCCCATGACGCAGACACCCACACACTCTCAGCCTCCCCCAGGTGTATCCCACAATAGAACACCTGCCTTTGTACATTCATCACGGCTGTGTTGGCGTGGTCGTAAAATGCCCGGTCGGGCAGCCACGAGCGGGGGATGGTGGGGAGCGACTCCTTTTATCCGCGGCGTTGTTGCGTGCGAATCCAATTGTGCGTCGACCCGATCGCTCGTACCCGAAAAATCGAATTATGTATCAGAACAAAAGAAACCTCAACACGTTCGTAAAAAGCAGCAGGTTTTCGCTAGCCATCAAGCGAAGATGGTCACCGCATCGCGCGCTTTCAGATGCGCTTTTGCGGCCGTCTGGAACGCTCTTCCTTCCAATATTAAGAAGCCACTGGAGCTATGCACTTTTAAATAATCTAGATTGAAAACTCATTTCTTTAGAACTGCTTTTCGTGTTTAGTTTGTTGTCCTTCCCCCCACAGCTCCGATTAGCACGGTTGGCTACGTACGGTGAGAAAGAAGTTCAGCATACATACGTACATACCACTGTGCTCTGAAGAAGGGCCATTGCCCATACCGTCGCCTATTGTAAACTTTTTTAAAAGGTTTTATTGATAAACGTGTGGAGTTTGTTGATGTTGTTATCTTTGTGCACCGCTACCAATGCAGCATGAACGAATAATATGTTTAAACAAAAAAATACAGTAATTAAGCATACATGATTTGCATCGCCGCTAACCTAGGTTCGAATCCAGGCCTCCGCCCGTGCTTAAACTGGCTTCTCAACGTAGACGTGAGCCGCCGTTCTCATCTCCGTCGACAGTGTCTGCACACACACACACACAAAACTACCCATTTAATTAAATTTGGTTCTGTAATAAATTGGCTTCTTTTAAAATATCTAGAGACTAAAAACAAACATCGGGTTGACTGTCATGGAGTGATTTGTTTTAATCTCCGCCACAAGGCGGGTGGGACAGTGCTGCCCTCTGCTGTGAGCGTGGAACGACGGTCACTCGAAGAGATCTCGAAAGTCGTTCCCATGCTATCCGCTTCCGTGGGCCAATCTCCAGCTCCTCAACATGCCTGGCTGCATTGGTCTCAAACCCATCACTGACATTTATGAGCACACCTCCACACCAGGTAGAGTGCTGATTCGAGGCCGAGTCTACCTAGAAGGGGGGCCGGTTAAACAACAGGCTGTCTCTCCCGCGCGCGCGTGTGCAGTACTCGCAGGAGGTGGACGACAGGTTCGGCTCCTACGTGGGCTGCGCCTTCATCGTCTTCCTCTTCATCTGCTTCGTGCAGATCACCGCCACCCCCCAGTGAGTGCCCCCTCTCCCCGTGCCCCTCCCTCATCCCCCGCTACACCCTCCACCACTCAGCCACTCCCCCACGAACTCACGCCACCACTCCCCACCCTACTCACCCACACTCCCACTTACTCACTCCACCACTCCCCTACCCTCCAACACTCACCCACTAACTCACCCTACCACTCCCCACTAACTCAATCCACCACTCCCCTACCCTCCACCACTAACCCACTCCACCACTCCCCACCCTCCCTACTCGCTCACTCCCCCACGAACTCACAAAAAAATGGGTCCATTAACATCTGCTAACCAGCAGTTGCTCTCTACGCAATACTGCTGGCTCTGGCAGAGCCAGTGCTGTCGTAATCACGTGTCACGTTGCTTTTGCTGAAGCGATTTCATAACACTGCCCACTGCTCGCTCATAATTCTAGCAGTTGTATTGATAGATGAGAATGTAGTGGCTGATGCTGCGTTTAGTTTGTTGACATTCCCCGCCCGCACCTTTGATTGGCACGGTTGGCTACGTACGGTGAGAAATAAGTTCAACATACATACTAATCCACCTTGTACTGCAACGTAGCTAGCGTACTACGTGCTGCGCTATGGGAAGGCTGATTCATCGGTGGGGGGACGGGGGGCAGGGAGAATGGTTTTCTAGCGAGAGTGGAGGGGGTGCCCACCTCTCTCTCGCCACCTACTATGTCTATGGAGCTGGCATGTGTGTAAAGCGGTTCCAGCCCGGATAAGTCTTGAACTTGGTCTTTGTTACGTATTCCCCACAGCGTGTAGTATCTATTCATATTTAACACTTCTTTCGCACCATAAGTAGCCAACCGTAGTAAAAACGCAGGTGTTCAGGTGCTGCCCCGAACCCCTTTCTCTCCGCTCCTTTTACCCTCTTCTCCGTCCTTTCTGGAACTTTCCTGACTCCCCACCAATCCCCTTCGTTTCTCCTCACGGTCTCCCAACAGACCCCTCCCCCTCATTTCCATTTGAGGCTTTATTTTCCCCGGTCTCCTTCAAAACGAGCGTGCCATTTGAACTCACGAGCCATTAGGCCGCCCGCTGAGTATTTATTTGTTAATTCCTGATAGGGTTCGCCTCTCGGTGCCTCTCACAGGTGTATAATTGCGCATGGTATTGTAGTCTACGTGTTATTGCATTTTACCTCCTTGTGCGCCATCGCCGCGCCGCCGCCCCCACCCCAACAGTTCGGCGCTGATGCTGGGCTTCTATTTGACGTGCTTCGTGGTGCTGGTGTCGGCGCTGTTCGTGTCCGGGATCTACGCCTGCATCAAGGTGGGCGTGGTGGATAGGGGCGGGGGGGGGGGGTTGGTCGATACTCGCTCTGCGTACAGCGCAATGGCCACGCGGGTGACGGCGACAACGCGGACAGATCTGCGTCGCTCCGGAACCCTCCGCCAGCCCGACACAAAGCCGGCGTTTGACGCGCGATCATTGTTCCAGCTCCTCGGTTTCGTTGGCCGTATGTGTCTGTATGGACGTGCGTTGAACTTCTTTCGCACCCTAGGTAGCCAACCGTGCTAATCGGAGGTGCGGGGGGAAGGACAACAAAGTAACCACTTCATCAGCCACCACAACGTCATCTATCGATGCCGCTGCTAAAAATATGAACAAGCGGTGGCCATTGTTATGAAGTCCCCTTTAGCAGAAGCAACAAGGACACACTGGGACTAAGTCTGTTGAGGAGCAATGCTCAGAACCACATGAGATGGATTATTATCTTATCTATGATTTTATATAGTGCTTTTAGCAAAGCATTTTACAATAATTATAAATGATACATTAGTTATTGGCTGTAAGGGATGGGGTTTGAGTGTTGGGGAGGGGAAGGGATGGCAAGGAAGGGTGATGATAGGGAAAGGGAGGTCCGAGGTTAGGAAGGGGAAGGGGGAGGATGGTGAAGGTTTTGAGGACATGAAGTAGGCGAGGGATACGCTCTTGATAAGAGATGAGTCCTATGGGAGGCAGGAAAAAAGGTTGAGTGACGTTGCCTGTGTGATGTGGAGTGGGAGTTTAGTCCATTGGAGGGGAGCCGGGAGGGGAAAAGAGCTGAAACGTGACTGAGCACAGGGAGGGGGGGGGGGTAGTGGTGAGGGATAATAGAGATTGTGAACGCAATCTGTCGTACTTTTTGGGCCAGTCCACGTGACCTTAGCCAAAGTACAAACGGGAGCTCATTGTTTTGGTTGCGAAGAACCTACTACCACGTGTTTAGTTGGGGAGAGAGGACCCCATTTCGGAGTGTATGCACCGTGCATGAGAAGGCATCCGCCCGGTCAGGAGAGGTGCGACACAGGGTCATGTGATGAGCTCCGCCGGGAGAGAGGAAGGCGAAGTCGCCTTGAGAAGGCCAATTTTGCCGAGGATGAGTACATCTCTCGTGACACCGGAGCCAATCGGAGACGTTTCAGCTTCGAGTTGTCCTTCCCCCCCCCCCCCCCCCGGCACCTTCGATTCGCGCGGTTGGCTATGTTCGGTGTAAAATAAGTTCAGCGTACACACACACGCACGCTGCACCGCTCTTCGCTCCAGCCTTGCCTCCACCTCGTGACATTGCTGGAGCAGGGGCTTGTTGATCATAGGGCTTTCTGGATCCACCTGCCAAGTTTGGTTGCGAGAATTATTCTTCAACGTACCGGTGGGTGAGCCAGATCAATAATAATTGGCGCGTTAAAATCTTGTGCACGTGACAACGTATTTGCTCGGCTGTCGGGCGTTGGCCGTTCCTATGGACACAGAATTGGTCGGATCGTTACGTGGCCGAACCCGGAGGATCTATCACGAACCGTAATATTGGCTACGTGTCAACTTAACACGGAGGCGTGGCGCGGTTGACATGGTTGGCATGTGCCCTGGTGCGAGGAATTAAACGAAGCGGTCTCACTTATGACCGCGGATGGGAAGTTTTTTTGGCGGCCGTATCGGCGCAGCGGGCAGACGCGTGCTGTAACGGCGGTCGCTGTTTGCCGGTATCGTTGGCGGCGTCCAGGTGTTCCCGGTTCACCTGCAGCGGCTGTCCATCACGATCGTGCAGTCACGGACCAACAGCAGCATCGTGGGCGTGCTCACGCTGCTGCTCGTCTTCCTCTCCGCGTTCATCAACATGGTGAGCCGTCTCCCCACCTCCACCCCCCTCTAGTCCCACCCCAAACCTAAGGCCCGGCAGGTCTCAAGCGCCACGCGTGCGATGCGCTGCGATAGCGACCCGCCTGGCATTCACGTGCTCATGCACGCGGGTGCGCGTGTGCCGACTCACGCGTTTACCGGTAGCGGTGGTGCTGGTAGTGGGCGGTGCAAGTAACACTGGTGGTAGTGATAGCACTGGCAGTGATGGCGCTAGTAGCGGCGGTGCTGGTCGTGACGGTGCCCGCTGGCCGTGACGGTACCTGCTGGTGCACGCGTGGTTGTGTGTCAAGTTCGTGTAGTGGGGAGCGGTAGTGTAGTGGTTAGCGCGCTGCGCTATGAACCCGGTGACCCGGGTTCGATTCCCGCTCATCGGTGACGATTATCTGAACCGGTCCCGGACCTCCCCTAGGTCGACTCAGCCTCAAATGAGTACCTGGTGCGGTGTGTAAACATCGCTACTGGGGAGACAAAGGCGGCCGGGCGTGGTGATGGCCACCCACCCCCTCGTGTGCTAACAACACTTGCCCCAACAGTCTGTTAAGGCTATACGGGGGATCTCTGTCTTTGTGAAGTTCGTGTGCAGCCGCGTGGACGTGCGCGAGTGTGTGGCGAGCGACCTGAACGTGTCCTCGTCTCTCATCGACGTGTGCCTCCTGCGCTCGCTCAACCTCTCGCTGGGCCAGGAGGCGCACGTGTGCAGCTCCTTGCATCCGCACTGCAGCTTCCCCGAGGTGGCTCACTGAATGACTCTCTCACTCACTCAGCCATGCACTCACTCTCTCACTCACTTGCTCATGCACTCACTCACTGACTCAGCCATGCACTCACTCAGCCATGCACTCACTCACTCAGCCATGCACTCACTCACTTGCTCATACACTCACTCACTCAGCCATGCACTCACTCTCTCACTCACTTGTTCATGCACTCACTCACTCAGCCATGCACTCACTCAGCCATGCACTCACTCACTTGCTCATGCACTCACTCAGCCATGCACTCACTCAAGCACGCACTCACTCTCTCACTCGCTTCGTCACTCTTTTTTGTTTTCCTTCCAGCGCAGCTCCGTTGAGCATGGTTGGCTATGTATGGTGCGAAAGAAATTCAACATGTCACTTAGGCACTGACACACTCACTCATGCACTTACTAGCTCACTCTCTCATTCAAACACTCACTCTCTCACTCTCCAGAAGCTGTCTCATCGTGACCAGCAGACCTCGACTTTGTCAATTAGCCTCTAAACATGCTGCCGCTGCTGCTATCACACAGAATAATATAAGTTGTCAATGATTATAATTATTATTGTAAATTTTAATCGATGTATCGATGGATTGTTAAATCTCTAGGTCGGTGGATATGCGAGTGGATGCAGGACAAGTTCAGATACTGCCTGCCATCGATTTGGTTACAGGGTCTTCATCACCTGATCACATATTCTCATCATCATCATCGTTTTCAAATGTTAATTTATCCGGTGATGTGCCTGACCCAAATGCGGTGGAGCAGAGCAAGTGATACCAATTTGAGTGGCATTGTACTGTTGATGAGACGCACGAGAGATTAAAAGAGATTAGCTGATTCAAAATGAGATTCCTTATGCATAACAGATATAACAAATTCAGAGAAAATGTATCTCATGGCCATCCTGTATCATTTGGCTCAGGGCGTTGTTCATCACGTTTCATCATAGGCTCGGCTACATAAAAACATGTATTTTTTTAATTTTCTCTTGAACGCAACGATATTCCTGACCCATTTGATTTCTCTAGGCGGAGTCTTCCCATGTTGTAGGAGCCACAGTGGTAAAAGGGCCCTTCCAGAGTTGTCTAATTTGCGCCTTGTAACGTGAATTGGGGCGATCGAAACTGCGGCGCAGTGGTTAGCGCATTGCGTGGTGAACCCAACCAATCCGAGTTTGATTCCCAGCCACAGCTAACTGACCCTGGGTCCACCCCCTTCACGGACTTGCATTGACAAGCGAGGTATGGTCAAACCTCTATAATCATCGATTTCAATCGATGGACCGTGGTCAGGTTGCTTCGAAGTCCATCCGAGTGTTAACGCCCTGGCGGTGTGCAATTGGCGGTGGGGAGCGGTGGCGCATAGGTTAGCGTGCTGCGATACAAACGCCACCGAACCAATTTCAATCATTCCCGCTCCAGTGACGATCATCTGAACGTGTTCTGGCCCTCCCCCTAGGTCGAAACTGCCTCAAATGAGTACCTGGTGCGGTGTGTAAAACATCACCGGGGCACGGCGCTGGCCGCTCCGACCCCCGTCGTGTAACACAGTGGCGGCCTTCATGTGCCGCGCTACTCGCTTATAGGCACTTGCCCCCAACAGTCTCTTAAGGCTATGCGGATCTTTTGTGTCGCGCAGTACTTCTCGGACTGCGTGCTGCTGTCGCTGCTCGCCTGCGCGGGCTTCCTGCAGATCAGCAGCGTGGGGAAGCTGGGCCTCATGCTGGCCATGGAGCTCGTGTTCGTGCTGCTCATCGAGATCCCGCAGGCGACGCTCTTCGACAACTACGACCTCCTGGCGCACGCCAACGCGCTGTGAGTGAGCGGCGCACCCCGCGGTGGCCGATGCCGTGATTGGGGGGGGGGGGTTAGGTGGGTGGGTGGGGGGTGGTCGGCGGTGGGTGCAAGCGTCCCCGTCGGGCACACCCCTGCTTCTTGAGACGCCTTTGATGATTACCGCAGCAAAATAACACCGAATTTTTTTTTTATTAAAAAAGCTTTACATTTTGGTGTGGCCTCCTGCTGCTTACCCAAATACCCGGGTTAACCCGGTGACCTGTGTTCGATTCCTGGCCATGTGCGCGCATGTACATATGCTTCACCACACTGAGCATGGGATGTTTGCAATTATTTATTTGTTTAAATGGAGGGACATATATTGCAAGGAGGCATACTGTCCTCAAACTTCTTTTGTTACTAATAATAACCATGCCCTAATCCAGCAAAGCCTCACTGCGTCTCAACACTATTTTCGTGCAGAGATAACGCCCAAGCTGAATTGAGCCCCCCAATGATACCGTTCCTATAAAAAGAGGCCCTTTAAACGCAGCCCCCGTCACCCCAAAGCTCGAGAATCCAATTCACCTCCACGGGGGCACACGAGGACGCACGGAGGCACGGGGCCAAGGCTGCCTGAACTAACGCAAAATGAGAAACACGCTCCCAACCCCCACCACTCCCTGCAACAGCGCAACGCCATTTCCCATTCATGTTTAACCCACGCTCCCAACCCCCACCACTCCCTGCAACAACGCAACGCCATTTCCCATTCATGTTTAACCCACGCTCCCAACCCCCACCACTCCCTGCAACAACGCAACGCCATTTCCCATTCATGTTTAACCCACGCTCCCAACCCCCACCACTCCCTGCAACAAGGCAACGCCATTTCCCATTCATGTTTAACCCAATTTAAATTTGACATTCCCTGTCCGCAAAGCTCCTCGCACCCTCTCCTCTTTTCTCATGATGATGGCGTCTCTGCAGGGAGCTGCGGGGAGGTTGTGCTAGTTTTAGTCACAAGCGGAACGCTGTCGCACTAGACAAAGATCCCCCGCCCCCGTATAACCTCAACAGACTGTTGGTGCAAGTGCTGTTAGTGAGTACCTATAGAGGTCAACACAGTAGGAAGTGGGTGGCCAGCACCACACCCGGCCACCTCTGTCTCCCAAGTTGGAGATGATAATACACTGCACCAGGTACTCATTTGAGGCTGAGTCGACCTAGGGAAGGCCTAAGACCAGTTTAGTGCTGTTAGTGAGCACCTATGAAGGTTGGCATAGAATTCGAGCGGGTGAGGTGGCAAGCACTACACCCTAACCACATTAATCTCCCCGGTCTTGATGTTTACGCACTGCATGCATGAGGGACTCATTTGAGGTTAAATTTATCCAGGGAGAAGCCTAGGACTGGTTCAGATGTTTGCCACCAATATTGGCTATTAGCGGGAACTGAACTCAGGTTTGTCAGGTTCATAGTGCAGTGTGCTAACCACTACACTACCGTTGTTTCCATGCACACGTGCGTGCTCACTCATACGCGCGCACACACACGCATGCACACACATGCACACGTACACACGACGCGCAGATTGCGGAGCAATGATGGGTTCAAAGGTCAAAAGTCACTGCATCATAGTGACGTCAGCGTCTGTTAGGGACTGGCTTCCAGACGGTGCGGCTGCTAAGCCAGAGGGATTTCAAAGCTGGATTGCAATAGTTTTCACGTTCGTTTGAGCCAGAGCTCAATTGTAATTTGTGCCTTCACTCTAACTGAAGACACCTCTATTATGGATAGAGGTTGGATTATATTGGTCACGAAAGCCTACGTGTTAAATTGCCTTCACTCTGCTTGATTGTAGTTGTTAAAGCATTGCTATTGGCATTGTCAGAGATAATTTCTACACTTTGCCTGGTTATTTTGTCTGTATTCAATGGTCAAGCTTGTAGAATGTGTCTGTGCACAGGCATCTCTTCTTCCGAAGAGATTGAATAACATTGCAATGGCAGTACATTCGAGTTTTGATTTATATAGTGTTGGAATGTGACCGCATCTCAAGAGGCTGTGCAGAAATGGGGCATGTAATTATTGATCATTGAGTGGCGCTCATCTCTACAGGACAGTCCGGGAACAAAACATGGGAATTTCACATTTCTATGAGAGGGCCCATGAGATTATTCGTCAGGGTGTCGCTATGAATTGCTCGATATCGATTAAAGCCATTATTCTAAAGGGAATGCAATTGCACGCGTGAAAAGTGGCTAAGTTTTGTTATTTATGTAAATTGCACGCTCAGCGTATATTTAGACATTCAGACGGAGCGCTCGAAGGACACGAAACATTTTTTTTGTCGCAGAAAAAATCACGTGTAAAATTATCTTATCAAACTGTTACCCTGAATTTCAGAAGTAAATTTAATGCTGTGGGGGGGGGGGGGGGGGGGGGGAGAGAGGGTCGGGGGAAAGAGGCAGCTGGGGGTAGGAAGGGTATCCATATTTACAATTTCGTGAAGGATAAATTCATTTACTGGAATGCAGAAAGTGAAATGATAAAATCACAAACATCTTGTCATCTGCTGATTTACTGACAGCGGAGAAAGCCGTCACTATTTTTGCACCGGCCGTCGAATTACAGACACGCATAACCTTTCCTGTGATCGTTATGTACCGCTTTATATGGTGGGGGGGAGAGATAACATTCCGGCGCAGCTTGAAACGATCGCGACATAAGTTGTCCTAATGAGGCTGGTGTGGAGTTGGTACCAACGCCGCCTCCTGAAAATTCGCAGTGACATTTGGGCTTTATTTTTTTTCTGCTTTCCATGAAAATCTTTCCATCTTAAACATGGGCCATGAATTAATAATCACGTAAAATACGGCACCTTGTGTTTGGAGAATGTCATGCCATTTATATTAAACCTGGAAATAAATAAAGTGGCTCTCAAAAACACCGGGCAGCAATTGATTTTGTTAACCCTTCCATTTGTCACCGTCATCGCACATTCCAGGACAATTTAGATTCATGTGACTTCTCAAAAGTGCACAGAGAATCGCGAAGAAATGCATATTCTTGGAATTACACTGGGACGAGGGAAGGAAGAACACACGAGCGAACATGCAACTATTACGGTTAATATTTTTTGTTAAATTTAAACCAGGTGAGGCCCATTGAGCTATATAGCTCTTTTCCAGAAACGACCTGGCGATCACAAATGATGGGGAGAGTGAGATGAGGAGATGTAGGCCGGGGTGAATCCATGAAGGATTGCAATGGCAGTGAGGGCGATGTTGTTGTTGATCTGGGACTGGATTGGGAGCCAGTAGACGGATCAGAATATTGCATAGTGCCGTCTGAGTTACGGGGCGCAAGTGAGACGTGTGGCATGGTGTTTTGGATCGTCATCATTCACTGTCATGGCTATTTCACCGCCAATGCGTCACTACACCTGTGTTGGGACTCGTGAGTTGATCGCCCGTGTGTATGTGTGTGTGCTCTTGTGTGCCCCGACAGAACGTTGACCCAGAACTCCACAAGCACCTGGTAAGGTGGTGGTGTCTGTGCTCTGCTCACGCATTCCCCGGGAAACACAAAAAACACATGCGCTCACCTCGCCGGTGTTTGACCGAGCACGTCTCACCCTGCCGCTACTCCACATCCACTTGTCCACTTGTGCAGACGCGGCACGTAATGAAGCGTGCGCAAGTGCGTACGTGTGTGACGTTGGGAGCGGTGGCGTAGCGCTTAGCGTACTGCCCTACGAATTCGGCGACCCGAGTTCGATTCCCGCTCACGGCCAGCATCAGTGACGATTATCTCAACGGATCCTGGGTCTGCCCTAGGTCGACTCAGCCTCAAATGAGTACCTGGTGCATTGTCTAAAACATCGCCACTTGGGAGACAAATGCGGCCGGGCATAGTGTTGGTCAACCGCCCCATCGTGTGGCTTGCAGGCCTTCATAGCTGCTCGCTAACAGCATTTGCAGTCTGTTAAAGACTGCATTGTATTTTTGAGCAAGCTTTGTGTTTGTGGGGAGTGTAGGCGCAGTGGTTAGTGATTCCCACTCACTACCAATAACAATGGCGAATGTTTGAATCGGTTCTGGGCCTCCCATAGGTCGACTATGCCTTAAATGAGTACCTAGTGCAGTATGTAAACACATTAACACTGCTGTACTGAATAGTGCACTACTGCGTACATGCTGTGTACATCCCACAACGCGTAATCTCACGTTGTTGTCTGTGCCTTGTCATGGGCTTGCCGCATGGAGTGCTACGTACACGCTGCTCTGTGCAGTTCTGCGCCATGCTGCGCTGTGCAAACCCCGTAATGACCGTAGCACCGATATTCTGTCCGTACCTTGCCATGTACATTATCAACCATGTACGTGGCCTGCTACGTCTCTATGTATATATATACGTATCAATCCACGCACACACACACTCGTGCACGAGCCCCCCCCCCCTCCGCCACACCCCCCCCCGATGCGTAAAGCCTCGCGCGTGTCCCCGCAGCTCGGACACGCCGGTGCGGATCCCGCTGCGCGTGGCCACGCCTGTGGTGCTCACGCTCTTCGTGCTGGCGCTCTACCTGCATGCGCAGCAGGTGGAGTCGACGGCACGCCTCGACTTCCTCTGGAAGCTGCAGGTGAATGGGGCGCCACGACCACCACCGCGTCCGCGAACCACCGCGACCGTCGACCGTGGGAGCGGTGGCGCAAAATCGAGGCCGATTCCCGCTCGCAGATGACACCGGTGGCGATGATCTGAATTGGTTCTGGGCATCCCCTCGGTCGACTTAGCCTCACATGAGTACCCGGTGCGGTGTGTAAACATCGCCACTGGGGAGACAAAGGCGGCCGGGCGTGGTGCTGGCCACCCACCCCCTCGTGCGCCGTGCCGGCCTTCATAGGTGCTCGCTAACAGCACTTGCCCCGACAGTCTCTAAAGAAGATGCGAGGGATCTTTGTATTTGCATTTGTCAGTCGCGCAGCGACGCTGTCGTCAAGTTGTTACCACACTGTGCGAAGAACCTCGCAACCTAAGTTCAAATCCTGCTCACAGCCAACATCAGTGACAAATATTTAAATCGGTGCTGGGCCTCCTTGAGGTCGACTCAGCCATAATGGAGTACCTGGTGTGCATTGTGAAAACCATTGGTGAGACAAAGGCGGCCGGGCTTGGTGCTGGCCACCCACGCCTTCTTGTGCCACAGCGGAATTAATATGATCTCGCCAAAAGCACTTGCCCAAAGGTCTCCCAAAGGCTACACGGGGGGTATCTTTGTACGAGTGCTCACGTGTGTGGATGGGTACACAGCGACAGCGTGAGTGGTTAGCGCACTGCGCTATGAATTCGGCAACCCGCGTTCAGTTCTACGCTAACGGACAAATTCGGTGGCAAAGATCTGAACCAGACCCTCGGACCTCTCCCCCGGGTCGACCTAGCCTCTGATTCAATACCCCGCGATGGTCTCACGGTGCAGGCGACGGAGGAGAAGGAGGAGATGGAGGAGCTGCAGGCCTACAACCTGCGCCTGCTGCGCAACATCCTGCCCAGCGACGTGGCGAAGCATTTCCTGGCTCGCGAGCGTCGCAACGACGAGCTGTACTACCAGTCGTGCGAGAGCGTCGCCGTGATGTTCGCCTCCATCAGCAACTTCTCCGAGTTCTACATCGAGCTCGAGGCCAACAACGAGGGCGTCGAGTGCCTTCGGCTGCTTAATGAGATCATCGCCGATTTCGACGAGGTGCGTGCAGCGTAGCGGTTAGCGCGCTGCTTTACGAACCGGGCCACCCGGGTTCGATTCCCGCTCACGGCCAACACCACAGTGACGGTTATCTGAACCGGTCCTGGGCCTTCCCTAGGTCGACTCAGCTTCAAAATGAGTACTTGGTGCGTTGTGTAAACATCGTCACTGGGGAGATAAAGGTGGCCCGGCGTACTGTTGGCCACCCACCCCCTCGTATGCTGTGCCAGCCTTCTTAGGTGCTACTCACTACAGCATTTGCCTCAACAGTCTGTTAAGGCTATACGGGGGATACTTTGTCTTTGTTGTGTGTGCGTGTGAATGTCCATGCCAGGTAGTGGGGGGGGGGGGCTACATGCAGAGGCTAGCACGGGCTAGAGCAGAGATGGGCTGCTTTGGTAGGGGAGGATTCTGGAGCTGATTGGACTCGTGGGGAGCGGTGGCGCTGTGATTAGCGTACTGTGCTTGTGAACCTGGTGACTCGAGGCCGATTCTCACTCACGGCCAACAGCAGTGGCGGATATATAAACCGGTCCTGGGCCTCCCCTAGGTCGAATCAGCCTAAAATGAGTAATTGGTGTGGCGTATAAATATTGGTACCGGAGAGACAAAGGCGTCAAGGTGTGCTTCCGGCCACACCAGCTCTACGCGCGTCGTTCTGTCCTTAACAGGCGCTTGTCAAGAACATTTGTCCCAAAGGTCCAGACGGCTCACTAGAGAATATCTGTGCCCGCGTGTGCCCGCGCGTGCTCGCCCGCTCGCGTGTCGCAGATAATCAGCGAGGATAACTTTAAGCAGCTGGAGAAGATCAAGACGATCGGAAGCACGTACATGGCGGCGTCGGGGCTGAACGACGCCACCTACGACCGCCAGGGCCGCTCGCACATCACGGCGCTCGCCGACTACGCCATGCGGCTCATGGAGCAGATGAAGCACATCAACGAGCACTCCTTCAACACGTTCAAGATGAAGATCGGTGCGCGCACATCCCCTCCCCTCGCGGCCCATCGGCACCGCGCTGCCCCCCCCTATCGTCCCCCCCCCCCACCATACCCCCACCCCATCCCCCCCCACCACCCCCCCCACCGTCCCCCCCACCGTCCCCCCCCCCCCCCCCACCATCCCCCCCATCACCCCCCCAGGGTCTCCCGCGACCCCTCGCCACCTGTCGCGATCCCCGACTCTCGCTCGTCATCGTTGTCGTCAGCAGCGGTCGATCCGCTGCTGGATGCGAAGGGCTCCCCCACCGAAGCATCGCGACGTGGCGATCCTCCCAGCTCCTTGCACGCGAGCCGATTTCCCCTGCGCTCGCTCATTCTCTCTCGGGCTGCTTTGCTTTCGCGTTTGCCTCCCCCACTCAGTTTCTCACCCTCCCTCCCCCTCTCCCATCCACAGCCTGCCACCCACTCTCCCCTCCACTCTCCGTCACCTTGTCTCTCGCCTCCTCTGAGCCTGTCCCCTCGATTTTCTCTCTTTTACCCTCCATCGATTGTTATACTTTCTCAATGTCGAGGTTATAATCCTTTCCTCCCTCCCTAATTACAATATTGCTCACACCTCCTCTTCCCCCCCATCTCTTGCACCACTCTCCCTCCTGTCTCACTCTTACACTGCAATCTCCTTGCTTACACACTCCATTTCGTCCTTCTGTTTTACGCGCATTCTCTTCTGCCCTTGCTCTATCCTCATCTCTCTCCCCCTCTTTCACACCCTCACCTCATTGTAATCTGTCATCTCGCTGCGTCCTTCTCTGTTTCTCACGGGTTTTTCCAACTGTCGTCACTCGCCCACCACACTTATCTTCATAGATGATGGGAAGGGAGTTCCAGAGCCAGCAGTTAACAAGTGTGTCACGTGCAGATGGCGACGATGTCCAAGATTGTTTGGCGATGGACATAGATATTGTTGCTGTCGTTGACTCTGACATCGAGAATGCATTATCTCTCTCTGTTTGGAGCAAGGCGATCATGATAAATTTGGTGACGACAATCAAGTGGAAGTGAAATATTAGTATAAAGCTGTGTTGATATTTGGGACTTACCCCAAAGAAAAACCCAGCACGTGTTAATAACACCGTGGCCTTCAAAGTCAAACATATATAGCAGGCAACGTTTTGGGCAATGACGCTTCTTCATAGCACATAAATAGAGAGGCCATAGAGACACAGAGGATAATAAAGAGTTGGAGATTTCACTTCACACCTTGAAAACCAGCCTAGTTTATCAAAGGGTTGGCCAAAACTTGCCGATCTAAATCCAGCGCCGAACTGATAAGCCTTTTCAACCATGGCGATCATGTCCCGCGCCGCGCAAAGCCATCTCGTCACGTTGACTCTGGCTCCTCGTGCTTTTCAGTTTTTTTGTATCAGTTTATTTATTTGGTATAACCCCGTGAGCCATTCGGCTCTTGAATCGGGTGCAACCGCAACAAACAAAAAAACAAAAACACGAAAAAGAAATCATCGTCACTGCGGTACAAAAGGTGAACACGGCGCTGGCCAGCTGGCGGGCATTCGTTTGCCAGTAAAGGGGGCGGTGATGGGGGCGACGCTGCTGTTGGTTATTGCAATGAAGTAACTTTTCAAATTTGGACTGTGACATCGGGCAATGTGCCCTACTGTTTTTCTAAGAACATCACCAGGATTTTTTTTTGTATTTCAAGAGGAGCCCGGTACGGTACACAAACCACAACACGGGGTGGTGGTGGGGAGGGGGCTGCTGAAGGGAGGAAAGCGGGCTCGCAACCCCACCAAGTCGGGACCACGAGTGGGGTGTATGTATTTCTATATGGGGAGGGGAAGGTAAGATCAGAGGATCGTTAACAAACCACTGTGACATTGTTGTTGGCGTCGTCGTCGTTGTTGGTGGTGGTGGTCAGGCCTGAACGTAGGCCCTGTGGTTGCCGGGGTGATCGGCGCCCGGAAACCGCAGTACGACATCTGGGGCAACACGGTGAACGTGGCGAGCCGCATGGACAGCACCGGGCATCCCGAGCGCATACAGGCATGTCCGCTCACACGGAAAGACAAAGATCCCCCCATGTTGTAGCCTTGACAGACTGTTGGGGCAAGTGCCGCTAGCGAGTAGCACCTATGAATGCTGTCACGGTACATGAGGGGTCAGGTGGCCGGCACCACGCCCGGCAGCCTTTGTCTCCCTGGTGGCGATGTTTACACATCTCCGCACCAGGTACTCATTTAAGGCAGACTCGACCTAGGAGAGGCCCAGGAATAGTTCAGATGATAAGTGACTGGTATTGGCCTTGAGTGGGAATCGAACTCGGGTCGTTAGGTTCGTCTTGGTTTTTGGTGGTGGCATCATCACGCACAGCCCTTCTGTCCAAGCACTGCTGGATGAGGGCCTCCATACACCGTGTAGGTTGTGGGGTGGATAATTAACCATACTTAACCATGCTGCTCAGTGCAGGTTGGTGGTGAAGGCAGGCAACATAGATGTTGGATTATAACGATAGATGTAGCTGCATCGCCTTCAGCTGACAGCGTAGCCGCACATACGCGTGTGGTCACTCAATCCTGTTTAGCTCATAGATATGATGAAATCTTGTGCATTCTGGGTGATTTGTTCATCGGCTGACATGCATTCAGATGCATAAATGCACAAGTGTAAAACAAGCACACACAACCATGTACAGTAAAACCTTGGATTGCGAGCATAATTCGTTCCGGAAACGTGTTTGTAATCCAAAGCACTCGTATATCAGTTGTGATCACGTGACGCTCGGCAGACAAAGCGCCTATACGTACTACTCGTATTGCAAGACCCTCACTCGTTTATCAATTTGATATTTATTAAAAAAATTTGCTCGTCTTGCAAAACACTCGCAGACCAAGTTACTCGCAATCCAAGGTTTTACTGTACACTTATACAAAGACAAGGTGCTGTTAACGAGCACCTAATTAAGGCCACCACAGGGCATGAGGGGGTGGTAATATCAGTACCATGCCTGGCCACATTTGTCTCCCCAGTGCTGATGATTACACACCTTATATGGCTGAGTTTGTATAATGAAGACCTAGGAGCAGTGCAAATATTGCTCCCCACTGTTATTAGCTGTGACCTGCAATTAAAATTAAGTTGCTGAGGTTCATAGCGCAGTGTTCTAACCACTGCGCCGCTCACGCACCCATATTCACAACACATACAAACGTATACACGTGTGCATGCATGTGCACGCTTATAAAACATGCAAACACAAGTATCAAAATTTAGCACGTAAGCTTTTGCGACCTATCTTATCTGTAATAGAGGGTTTTTTGGGTTAGATCGCGGAAATGTGTCGTTAAACCCGCCATCACCCAACACGGACAAATACCCAAACATGCACACACTAAAGATCCCCCCCCATAACCTTAGCAGACTGTTGGGGCAATTGCTGTTAGCGAGGACCTATGAAGGCCGACATGGCACACGAGGGGGTGGTTGGCCAACACCTCGCCCGACCGCCTTTATCTCCCCAGTGGCGATGTTTGCACACCGCACCAGGTACTCATTTTAGGCTGAGTCGACCTAGGCGAGGCCCAGGACCGGTTCAGATAATCGTCATCGGTTTTGGCCATGAGCGGGAATCGAACTCGGGTCGCCTGGTTCGTAGCGCAGTACGCTAACCGCTACACTGCTGCTCCCTACACACTCAATGACACACAAACACACACGTACAAATGCACACCACTTGTGTAAACACACGCGCCCTCATCCCTACGCACAGATGAACAGACCGCAACGATAACACTACTAACGATTGTCCCTTTCAACAAAATGGCCGCCGTAGGTGACAACCGACATGTACAACATCCTGGTTGCCAAGGGATACCAGCTGGAGTGCCGTGGCATGGTGAAGGTGAAGGGCAAGGGAGAGATGACGACGTACTTCCTCAACGAGGGGCCGCCGGGCAGCTAGCTGCCACAGCCAGAGACAGCCGTTCACACCCCCTCTTCCCTGTCTGCGCCGAGCTGAGCCAGCCCTACCCTTCAACACTCACGACTCGTACAGTGAAGGCCTACGTCAGTGCCGGGACTGCCAAGGTCAAAGCCAAGATCAAGACTCGTAAGGGCGCGGCTGAGGCTTGGATTTTTAAATGTCCAGGCCAAGAATAAGACTTCCAGTGGTCAAGGCTGGGACACCCTCATAAGACAAGGCCAAGTCTGGGGTTTGTATAATTAGAACTGCGACCAAGACTCCAAATGTCAAGGCCAATGCTGAAGCTCCTTACGTTTAAGCCACTAAAAGAGGCACCCAATGGACAAGGCTGCGGCTGCTGTAGCCAAGGCCAAGACTGCTATTCCCAAAGTCAAGGCCAGGACCAGGGCTCCTAAAGTCAAGGCCAAGATTGTGACTTCCATAGTAAAAAGCAAGGAAGTGGTTCTTAGAGTGAAAGCCATGGCTAAGATTCCCAAAGTCAGCGCTAACGATGAGGCTCTTAGAATCACGGCTAAGGCTGTGGCTCTGAAATGTCAAGGCTTATGTCAAGACTTCTCAAGTCAAGGGCAAGGCTGTAATTATTAAGTCAAGGTGACATGAATGTGATTGCCGGCCCCTGTTAATGTAGCTAGACGGTATCTGATGCGGCTGGCAAGTCGACTGCCCTCCCCAGCAGGTGGCTCAATCCTGCTGCAGGGAATGTGACCGCATCTATAAATGGCCGCCTGCCATTTCCAACTGTCGCGAATCTTACACGGCTGACATCAAATAGAGTTTCTCCCTCTCTGGCATCTTGGGGCTTAGCTCCCTATACCTCATGCAGCTTCTTTAAAAACCTTGTGTACCCGTGCCACAACACAAGCACACGATCGGCATGCTCGCTTATCTCTACCCCCTTACCTTCAATCCTGCTTCTAAGCACCACCAATTTCCCCAGCGTCATAGTTTAATCCTGCGCAAAAAAACTCTGCAGAATATTTTGGGATGTACAAGTCACGTCACTTGTCGTTCGCAATGGTGGCTTTCATGGCAGTCAATTTTACATCTTTCCTTTGGTTGTACGTTGACTTAACTTCCCACCGATTGATGTATTAGTGCTTGATTTTAATGCCTTTACCTTTGAAAATATTTAAAGGGGGATTAATGCCCATTGCAGTTATATTTAGAGCTCTATTGGCATTGCGGTTTGGTGTCCTTGTTGCGTTAAATGTCCTCTTGCTAGTGCCGCGGACATTCCTTTACAATTGAGCAGCATCAGCACACTCGGTGAAGTTTACTTTGCTGCGTCTAGACATTCAATTTAAACGATCATGTCTCTACCGCAGGCTTATAACGGCCCGATACAACCTCTATGATTCATCACCACTGGTATTCTTTTTTTTAAGCCCAGGCTTTCTCTTATCCAAGTTTATACAGCATTTCGAAATGCAGTGAGCGTTTTTTGATTCTCAGCCTGGTTATCGATGGCTGTACCAAGAAAGCATAATATATTTTTTCAATGAATGTGCTCCATTCTGAATGTTGGTCTTTGTATATTTATAGTATTTATTGGAAGATGGACACGTGGCGATCACTATCCACAAGGCATTGAAGATGTAGACTCCTCTTGATGTGGTTTCCTGGTGGCACATTCCACTCATCCACTGGCGTGTGACGACTGCAGGCTTGTGTCGGGGTCACCGTTTTTGTCGCCTCATGCCTTGACTCCAATTAACACAACCGATAAACACAATCATTGGTGAAAACGTTTAAACAGATTGTGCTGTATAGATACATAAACTAAATCAATTAAAATGTGCAGATTAATAGTGCCAACTTCACAAAGACAAATATGGAAGGGAAATTAGAAGCATATCTGTGCATGTGACAGACATTGTTCCATTTTGTATATTTATCTCTTATTATGGAAATAGATTTGAGTTCATTCAAATTCCCAATACGTGTAAGTTGCTTTTTCTTCTGTCAAGCGGTTTTTAGAATGAGGCTTTGGCATGGTTCAATATTGATTCTAGATTTGAAGCTTTCGTGACTGCAAGGATTCATACTCTTTGTTTTTTTCGGTAAAGTCACGTAGGTAAAATAAAATTTAAAATAAAACAACTAAATTAAATTTTATTTTACCTGCGTGACTTTACCGAAAAAAACAAAGAGTTTCAATATTGATGTTTTATTTTGAGATGATAATTGACTGGACATAATGCTTTTGTGCATATTGAGCGTTGGGTTGTGGCTAACGAAAGCTGGTGTGTGCACTGCCTTTAGACGAGGGTTCTCCACTTGCAATGACGTCAAAGGAGAAACATCTACTCTCTGCCCCTACTTCGTATTCCTTTCTCTCTTACACTACCTGATCCACACCCAAACACAGATCTTAACGTGTCTTTTGCCTTTTCACCTTAACTTTAGTTTGACGATGTAAACTTTAAATGAATGCTCGCAACAACAAAAATATGTTTTATTACAAATTTAGGCATGCCAGTCCTTCTGTTAGCAAGTGTGACGTTTTATTTTTTACTTGCAGCAATGCGATCACGGTCGTGGTTGGTGTGGAAGGAATTTCCCTGCTGCCACTGGGCTTCACTGGGCATGGAACCCATCGAGGGGAGGGAATAGGGTCCGGGGAGGTATGAGGAGCGGACAATTATATACACTGCAGCATTATCCGAGGACCCATCGCATTCTGGACACTAGTCTGCAAATTAAAATTAGCGGTATATTCCCTGTTTAGCATTGTAGAGACGCAAGTGCTGTTCGCAAGTTCCGATTCATATTGGTATGTGAATGTCGTTAGGGGTTGGTGTGATGAGCGCAAATAATGCCTGGTCAAATGTTGTCTCCCGGCTAATGTTGCCATCTGTCCGGGTTTGACCTGTGCAGTCTAGGAATTGGTATCTGTGTTGTTCGGGCGGCAGGAATTGATTTGTACCAAGGTCCGGGGAACGAACGGCATGGTGTCGAACCTTGTCGCACTGTGGCTGAAAAGTTCTGATAACAGACCTAGGCATGGCTGAGAAAATATGTCCCAACTTGTGGCGATGGTTGGAAACCCCTCTAACTCCCAGATGCTTTTTTGTAGTAGGTGCTCATGTTGACTGCACTGTCCCAACAGATACTTTAGGCGGACTTGACCTTGGGAAGGTCCAGAACAGGCTCGGTTGTTAATTGCTGAGGTGTGCCGTGGCCAGGAATCGAACCCAGGTCATCCAAGATTGTAACTGCATTGCACAAACCACAATTCCACGACTCCCAGCATACAGTAGTTACTGTATATAAAATGCATACACTGTACGTACACTGTATGCGCTTATAATATACAGCGCCGTATTATATAATGTAGACACAAAATCTATAAAGTACAAATTATAGAAATACTGTAGATATATAAATTATATATACTGTGTTGTAAAAACATACAGTATATTGTACATACACAACTTTATATAGTATACTGTATGCAACAAAACCTTAATATGTACTAAACTGTACATATATACTGTGCGCATTGCAGTATCTAAAATAGTAAATGAGCAGAATATAAAAGTAGTCCGTATCGTGTAATGAATCAAATTATTTATGTCTAGTACATAGACACATTTTTAAAACAATATATTAACTCTAAGACACGTTCACTTTACGCCGTTAAATTCCTCATCCACATTGGTGTGGGCGGACACATTTTTGCAAATAGAAATCTCCATTCTGTTTTGGAACAACATTCTAAGTCCACTTGTGCACATAGTTTGGAAACTCATTTTACATATATAACAAACAAAAACAAATGTCACGAGGAATAACAAAAATGTGTACAACAAAGTAAGTAGAAAATAACTCTTATCCGTGCTGATATGGAGGAGGACTGCGCGAACATTGACGATCCTTTAATTATGGGATTATCAAAAAATATAGTCCATTTATCATGGACAAGAGCAGATACTAGGATGAATTTATCAATGAAGTTCCACTTATCCGTAAAGAAATTTCGGATGATAGTTCTGGATTGCATGGCGTGGGCAGAAATGTGGATAATCGCGGATAACAGAAAGAATATTGGTATTTTTCACCTGAAGGCGATTGCTTGTGTTGTGATCGAAACGTCGTGATATTTTTTATTATGTTTCTATCTACGTGGCTTTACCGAAAGACCCATAAAATAAATATTGTCACGGATAAGAGTTCTACTGTGCACATGTCAGGATTTGCATCTAAGGAACTTTACTGTACTGCAATATGGTGCATGACCAAAACAAATACTGCTAAAATTAAAAGGAGCTACTGTACTAAATAATCAATACAAAATAATTTTGAGGTTATTAGAATATTAAACCTTCGTGAAATGTGTTTAATAGCAACAATGTATTCTCTGCATTTGGGTTGTTTCCTGTTCTTGTCATAATATTTTGAGCCTTTACATTACCAGGGGGACAGTCCATTAAGAATCAGTATCTTGCTAAAGGAGGCCTAGGGACATACACAGATAAGTAAGCAAAGTTATAAAAGGTATAAAAGGTTTAGCAAAATAAACAACGTAAAACTTGCCGCTAAGGTAACTTAGTGGAAACAAATGCATTGTATAAGCTGACAATTGAGAAAAGTGATTTTATTTCCATTCACACTTCATAAAAAATTATATTCGTAATAGTTTTTTTTACATTAAAATAAATGATCGACGTAACGATTGTTTGCACTACCAGCATCTAAAGCATTGGTATTTATAATCGTCCTTGCTTCATTACACCTAAAATTAAATGTTTCGATTATAAATACAAAAGTTGTGGCCGGTTGTAATTGTGAAAGTCCCCAGCCAACACATTGAAAATGAATGAATGAATAAATACAAATATTAATCATTTATATAGCCTTCTGTCAATCCACTGTTGGATGGAGGCCTCCCAAATGCCGTGTTGCTTGCCTGATGGTGCTTCGCCAATGCTGATGAGTGTGGGTTGAAGGTGGGGTGTGTGTGGAGGGAAGTGAAGTGACGCCCTTGCTGGTTCACAGACATCTCTCGTCACTGAAGGTTTCCTGTGTGGCCAGTAATTGAACTCGAGCCTCCAGGTTCATGGCAAAGCGTGCGAGCAACTTCGCCACCTCTACATCACCCCCATCTTGTACAACACTGCATAGTATTTTACATATGTGGAATGAAAAGAAAAAATATTCCGGGATTGTCTGAAAATGTCGTCCATTTACGTGTGAACTAATGCGGACAAAAGCAGATCAAAGATGAATTTGCCAGTGAACTTCAACTTATCCGTGAAAAAATATTGTTTTTTTTTCTTCTTAAAAATTGTTTGGTTCATATTAGGTCGCTACTTGCTTTGCACTACTGTTTGCAAAATATCCATGTCCAAGTGGATAACAGCCTCTGCGATCGCATACTGAAGCTGGTTCTGTACGCCAGCATGTCTGCTCTACTCACAATTGGTCCTTAAGCCAGCAATTCTCTCTGCGGCCACATCGTTGGTATTCCGAGTGGGATCCGTTAGGTGATGAAACGTTTAGTGCATCCACAGTTGGTTTTGCGAGCAAGTCTGTGGCCTCCACATGTGCAATTGCCGCTGTAAATGTCCACGAAGCTTTGCTTGTGCACCGTTGCTATTGTAAAGTGTAATAGTTAAGTAGCCTGTGCCTGAGCAGTTGGTACTGTGCGTTAATTGAATGATAGCCTATGCGTATGAACAATTATGGCTCCATTAACGTGCGCACAGTAGTTGGCGTCTGTGGACAACGAAAGTGAACGGTGGTTCACCGTTGAATACGATGTCGGGTTAAACGGCAGCAGCGGAGCTGTACGCTCGTACACGTGTCTTGTCACGTAAACCCCACGTGAGAGCCCATTGGGACCCCATGAAGTCCCCTCGTCTCGAGAGGCTTGCCTCGTGAAGCGATGCGGCAAATACGTAAACATGCCGGAAATGCCGTGAATTTGAAATCGATGTCGAACACATTAGACACGTCAACAAATAAATTAACAGTCATGTAGCGTACATTTGCATGAATGTAAATTCATTTTCCAGTCATACACTCTACATTTTAGGTGAAGAGAATATTGTTAAAACGCAGTTACAGTCACAATGACCAAGCAACGAATTAAACTTGGCATACATAAATAAATAAATAAACTGCCAAGGATAGGGATAAGGTTGGACTACAGCTATTTATACTGCTTGTTTGGCTCGTTTGTTCATGGTTAGAGGGGCAATTTTTTGGCTTCAGTTGGCCAGAGTGGTACATCCCCTATGCAGTGCGCCTCGACGCTCCAAATTGGCAATTACTAGATTTTCGCTCACTTTTTTCATTTTAGACACAGTTGTTAATAGAAGCAGGCAGTACTGCGCGTGCAGTCAGTCCCTGACATTTAGAAAAAAAACAAATGTGAGAAGCGTTGGCTTTACTTGAAATTATGTAACTGCAAGTGGCATCTCGCGTGTTTCGTAATGGTGTTAGGACACAAAGAGCTCATGTATAATTGAGTGCAGCTCTGGTAGCCCATTGCCTTTGGATTACAAAGAAGACCTCAATAGTGCAGTAATACTTACAAAATTCAACAACTCCCCCAAAAAATCCGCAAGTTTTTGCAATTGCAATCACGGCCTTTTATTTAGCAATCACAATCATAACCTTTGTTCGGCAAGTCGCCCAAGGTATGTTATACTGCTGCCTGCTAAGCCGCTTACCAAGATTTCCACCCATTGATCTATAACAGTACAGTCGTTTCAGATGTTTGTAGAAATCCCGAACCAAAATGGCCACTTGCTGATGATCATTGACTACAACTTTTCACAAGATGGCATTCCCGTGTACGTGCGATAACGGCATCATGCCATGGCCAGTCTTCCTGTATTATGGTAGTCCCTGATTGTTGTCTTTGACTCCTCATGCAGTTAATGCCTTCATAATTGTCTCCTCACCACCACACTCATTACAATTGAAATCAAGGGACCCGTTGTCTGGTCACACATTCCCCTGCATTGTGTTTTTTGCTCGACACTGAAAGCAAAGCATTCTTTTTCTTCCTAAATTGTATTTACCATTGTTGTTAACTACTGTAAATGTGTTGCTCGTATACCTCGTTTTCTCGGACCTTGCTGGCTGTTCATTCCCAACAGCAGAAGCACAGCACCCATTTTGCTTATGCTACCCGATTCCCCGTCAAAACATACGACACCACAAAAACAACAAGAAACAACAATCCTGACAAGGCTGATGAGCAGCCAAGATCACCAAGTAAACTCTGCACGCGAGTTCTCCTGGACGGTTATAACTACTCTGGCAAGCAGCTCTGGAAAAAGACTCTCATCCCCGCGGTCCATGCGTAAAATTCCTCGACACAACCTCGAGTGGTGGCGTCAAGCACCCAAGTGTGGGCCTTAATTGTCGGCCTCAAGTCCCAAAAAACGGACACTCCACTGCAGTAGTTTTAATCCCAAGTAACCGGCCCTCTTCGGTTCCCATGCCCGGATTCTCAACGGCGTCCACCGACTGGGGGACACAACAATGACGGGGACTTGTTCCCGCCGGCCGCCTTTGGGCTTCAACAGAGGGCTTCCTGCCAGCAAAGCATGGAGGCCCTGTGGAGTACAACGGTGTGATGTGGCAGTGGGCTTCAACGGCAAATCACCCGGCTAAATGGGGCACGAGTCTCGTTGGATTTTTTTTATTTTGGCAGGAGAAAGAAGGACGGACGTTTAAAAGTTTTTTTTTCTAGGTCCTCCACAATCGTTGCACAAAGTGCGAGTCTGATTTGTTTGGGGGGAGAGGCGTTACTTGTTGGAAGCGTCGTGATAAGCTATGTAATGAAATTGGAATATTTGTCAGCGTTTTTTATTTGTTTCGATTTTTTTTGTGTGCGTATGTATGTGTGTATTGCGCACAACAAAAGACATTGACACGTGGACAGTGTTGTGCAAGGAAATGAATATTGCTCCCTACAAAGTGGCACTGGACTTGATGATTCAGTGAGACAATGTGCCAAGGTTTTCCGAGATGTTTTAAAGAACTCGAACGCAAAAAGGAAAAAAAAAACTTTTAGAAAAAATATATAAAGAGAAGAGATAAAATATATACATATATAAATATTAAGGCGTTCTATTGTGACTTTTTCATATAAGAGATTGTGGTCTTAAAATGCTACTAAAAGTAATTATATGAAGAAGAAGAAGAAAATAAAGGAAGAATGGCGCGCATAAAGCAGGAAGACTGAAGAGACTATTGTGTTTATAATTTATATAAACGTATTTATTTGTGGTTTTTTTTTATGACAAGGTTCACCTTTGTGTACCCATAGTTAATTTGGCCATGATGGACCTGTGTGGTGACTGCACCAAAAACCTACTTTTGTTTTATACTTAGGACACACAAACAGTTCCCACACATGTAAACGCAACGTACAATATTTATTTCACCGCAATTGATCGGTATTTGTCTTGCTTTTTTCGGCTTGCTGTTTTAAAATTGTCGATGGAATAGGTGTCACTATATGAACACGATATTTTCGTTTTTGCTGTAAACTAAAAAGAAGGCATCGAGACAGTCGTGCTTTGCAAGATTGGGTTTTTATTGGTTTTGCAAATTCCATTTTTGTAATACTACTGCGTAGGTTTCTGCGCTTTGTGCTCTGTAGCTCTCCGATGTTTTTTTGGGTTGCCCTGCTTGTGGTTCGGCACGATGTCCGACATTTTGCTCCACGTGCTGGGAGCATCTTCAGATATTCAACACTTGAAGCTTCGAGGTCACGGAGGGAAAATGACCGGACATTATGCGGAACACGCAGAGCGAAATGTCGGACGTCACGCCAAACAACGCGCGGTGCAACTTGTAAGCGCATCAGAGAGCTATCCGTTTTTGTAATGTTCATACACGAGTATGGTAACCTGGGGGAGCATCACAATCTGCACCGTAGTGAGATTTAGACAAGAGTAAAAAAGAGAATTATATTTTGTAAATGTATCTAAGTGGCCGAGCACACGTGTTTCACAAGCGCGCGTATATATTTTCGGAGAAAGTGCATTAATTGTAGGGTGTGGGTGTTGTATTATTGCTGCAGTCATGTGATGTCCCCCTTGAACCTTTGACCTTTAACCCTTCCCTTAGCCCCAACTATCCACTCTCCCTTGCCCCCCCTCCTTCCGCCCCTGCAACTATTGTACAAATTGCTCCACATATTCAATTATAACTTGGCCCCAGCAGAATTAATCAGTGAATAAATCGATACATTAATACTGTAAGTCGTGTTATGTCTGTTGTGTTTGTGTATGTTGATGCACCGGTGCTGAAATATATGATACATTTACTGCTTATGGACACATTCAAAGGTCCCGTCCATGGTTTAGCTGTGGTTTAGCTGTGCACTAAACCTTGTGACACTCTTAGCTTTATCACAGTTCTTACAAGACCGGTTACTGACAATTCATTATTGGCTTAGCAATTCTGCGATAATTCGTGAGCCTTATGATCAGAATCAAAATATTTATAATGGAGGAATCAAATGAGCTATAAAGCTCTTTTTCACAGATGTCCAGTAGTTTCACAGATGTCCTTCACAGGGCCAAACGTGGATTCCACTGGGATATATGATCACATATGATGAGACCTGGGTTGCATTAAATTCAAAAATTTACATTTTGCCCACCAAATAATGATGGCGTGGAAATTTACTGGTTTCACTCATAGGGCAGGGTCAGACTCAAGATCTATCTTGCCTTAAGTGTCATGCCGAACATTTATAAATTTATGATTCTTATCATGAGTGAACCAAGTAGTTTTCCAACTCTGTAGTGATGTGAAGCTGGCAAAGCCCAGTAACAAGTGTGATATATGGAGTATCAACTCGCATTCCATAACAAAGGGGACGCTGCTGTGGTTGTAATGGTTATCACACTGGACTTGCAATCGTGAGGTGGCCACTTCGATCGCCTGGCGTGCCAGTTGAGACGAGCGTGATTGTGTACACAACAGTCGATCGACACCTTGCGAGTCATGTTGTAAAGTTTGTGTGCTCCCACCTCTTCCACGACGTCTGTCAAGCATAGAAGAGTAGCCAAGATACTCTCCAGTTCTCAAGAACTACCTCTCGTAGAGGTCCTTCGGCTGGCATTGGCATAGCAGGCATTCACAGTCTGCACCTTTAAATTAGCATTTCTATGTGTTATAAAATTTATTCATTTCGAATGTGGTAGCTCAGAATCCCGAATCCCGGGTGTGCTGCCTCGGTGTCTTAGATGAGGCCATTATAAAAAAAAAAAAACCCTGACCCATGAATGAAAACTTTCTTCTTCAAATGTTTATTTGCTGATATTACATGAATCTGAAACGTGGAAAATCACAAATAGAATGGAACAAAAGTTGAAATGTGGACACAAACAGGAGCGGAGCGATGCATGCTTGTAATTATAATGAGAATTGCACGTGGATCAAAGAAGAAATGCAAATTAGAGACACCGTATCGACCGTCAATAAAATAATTTGGCTTGGGTAGGACACGTCGTTATGAAGAGTGATCGCCAGTGGTTTGAGACTGATGACGGAGCGACTGTCGAAACTTAAAAGGAACACCACTCTCATCTCATGCAGGGGCAAGATGTATTGCTGTATCACAATAGCAAAAGGGACGGCACCGACTTGAGGCGACTTCATTTAGCAGTGGAGAGAGCATGGCTGATTATTGATCTCATCGTACCTAATGCTGTAATAGTGTTTGTGCAGCAACGGTCGATAGCTTCGCTACGAACCCGGTGACCCGAGTTCCATTCCCCAACTACAGCTATTATCTGTGGTGAGCGATGTCTGAATCATTCCTGATATTTGAACGGGCCCCGTTCTACAAACCCACACTGACGAGCGAGGCGAATCATGGTCAAACAACCCTCATGACCGACATGTGTTTATTTTGTTGTCATTCCCTTGCACATCCGATTAGCATGGTTGGCTATGTACGGTGCGAAAGAATGTCAACATGCATATACGACATGGAGAGGTCTTCTTTCAACAGAGGATTTGCAAACGGTTGTAAATTACTATCAGCACCCTCTTGAAAGAAAGTCGTTAGACTCATTGAAAATTTGCTGATTTTTTTTTCTCAACAACACTTTTCAACAGGGTCATGCAGTGTGATGTTTGGCCAAATTAAAGCAGTGTTTTGCACCTGGAAGGAAAACTAGTATCATAAAACCCATACAAAATCACAGGCTAACATTCAAAAGTTTTCCAGTCTGGACGCAAATTAGCACGGTTGGCTACTTACAGTGCGAAAGAAGTTCAACATCTGCTACGTGCCATCCCATGGCCACCTCACAGCCCATTGGGTTTGGGAGTCTCAGGGCTTAATTTCTCTACGCGGCTGGCATGGAGTAGGGCTTATCGGTGTAAGGCACTACCACTAGAGTACAAAGTAATAACCCACCTATAAGAATCATATATCCTATAAGGGGCCGTCCATAAATGACGTCACGTACCTGGGGGGGTGGGGGGCAGACATTTGTGACGATGTGTGACGAGGGGGGGGGGGTTGAGAAATGTGACGTCACATCAAAATGCGCAACTTTTAATAAATATAGAATTTTTGATTTAAAGCTTTCGTGACTGCAGGGATTCATATTCTTGGTTCTTTCGGTAAAGTCACATAGAAGGGAAACAATAAAATAATAAAAATATAAAACAAAATCTCACGACGTTTCGACTGAAATACAAGCAATCATCATCAGGTGTGAAAACCGAACATAGATGGACTCGTCCATCAGAATAACTGACAAATCGCTCTCCGTGGTGCTAACGTTAAAAAAACCGCCACTGTTTTCAAATTTTCTTGCTGTGGTTTTCACACCTGATGATGATTGCTTGTGTTGCAGTCGAAACGTCGTGAGAATTTTATTGTTTTATATTTTTATTATTTTATTGTTTCCCTTCTACGTGACTTTACCGAAAGAACCAAGAAAAACAACATTAATTGTTATAACAACACTCCTAAAACATCAGAGTGCAGCGCCACATTAAATACGCACTACAATGACAATAGTTTAAAGCGATTTGAAGCATTTTTTTAATTTCAAAAATGGAAATATGGTTTGGGGGGGGCAGAGCTTTGTGACGTCAAATTTTAGGGTGGTCTGACTTTTTGTGCCGCCGTATGACGAGGGGGGGGGTCAAAAATCGTCCAAAATCGCGTGACGTCAATTATGGACGGCCCCTAACTCAATGAGCTATACGATACTCCTGTATCAATCTAGATCTGAAGTTTTCGTGACTGCAGGGATCCATACTCTAATTTTTTTTATAAAAATAAAATAATACAAATTAAATATTTAATTTATATTATTTCAATATAAATTAAAAATTAAATTTAATATCAACTTCCCTCGATCCTGTGCCACAACATATAAAAATAAAATAATATAAATTTAATTTAATATTTAATTGTTATTATTTTAATATAAATCTAATATTAAATTTAATATATTATTTCTATTATTTTTATACCTACGTGACTTTACCGAAAGAACCAACGCGTATGGATACTCCTGTAATTATATGGGAAGGTTTATAAGAATATATGGTACTATGAGGATTTTGAAAAGGCGAGATGGACACGGCGTATCAAAATAATTCACGAAACGTTCTGAATTGTTCCGGTTATATTAAGCACTGCTCCACAGCATTCGGATGTTCTCTGCTGGGTTTAGCGCCCCTATGTGCAACGCACTGGATCACAGGCATGCACCACATTGCAAGGAAATGTATTTTGAACTTTGGCACCGTACGTCGCCAGAGAGATGTGCACACACCCAAGCATGTTGTGGCACAGGATCGAGGGAAAGTTGAAGCACGCGACAAAAATTGCAATGGACACGATACGGGCTTTCTGCCCATGGAGTTTGATTGACTTACGTAGCCAACCGTGCTAATGGGAGGTGCGGGGGAAGGACAACAAGCTAAATACAAAAAAAAACCTGTTATAAATAAATGTGCTCAATCTAAATTTTAAAGTGCGTAGCTCCAGTGGCTTCCGAATATGGGAAAGGAGAGCGTTCCAGACGTGATACAGTGACCGTCTTTCTTCGATGGCGAGCCTAGAAAAAGGCAAGGTGGAGTGCATTGCATTTGTTGGAAGTGGGAAGGTGGTGATTGTGGTTTGGTGGGAGGAGGGGGTACACTGGGGAGACGTGGTAGAAGAAAGCGATAATTTGCCAGTGTTGTTATTTAATTAAAGTGGAACACCGCAGAGAGCGGGATATGGTTATCACAGGCCCATGCTGATGAGGGAATTCATGACCTTGTGTCACCCACTGCGCTACATGGTACACTCCAGATAAAACACTTCACCGCCCCGTGCACTTGCAGCACGTGAAATTCCCCCGAAATAGCACCCGGGCATCGGTGCTGTCAACTCCGCAAAGCCACGGGATCGTCAGATGAACCTCGAGCAGTCGCTATTTTGAAAATCGAGAGTCGCCAAAAAAACGATTCCAGATAGAAAAACCGCAATAATTGACCGGATGTTGCAATTTGAAATACTTTATGAACAAGCAGAGTGTGGTTCAAGTGACATCTTAGATGACTTTGTAACAGTGCAGTTACCACCTAAGAGAGATTGTTATCACGTATTGCTGGTTATAAGGAAGGATCAGAGCTAATGTGCAATAAGATATTGAAACGTATATTCTTAGATTACGAGGATAATAATGTGACTTGTTTTTATATACAAGGGGCTCGACGAGAGCGCTTATATTTTGACAGCGTGTGCAGGTTGTCAGGTGCACGGTGGGGCCAGGGATGAGGCGCGCATTCTCACATTGCGTTATTACGAAAGACGGATTTAAATGTAAATATCGGAGCTCTGTCTGAAAACTTCCACGGCATGCCCACTGCTATGATGTTGATTAATCAATTTCGCTGTTGTGAGCATTAGAATTGCCGTTGTTCGCTTGGTCTCACGCATAATTCAGTGCGAAATGAATCAACTGAAGGCATCAAATGTGTGAAATGCCCACACGCAGAGGGCAAAGAGCTGTACGAAGAAGACTGTACAGAAAGTGAGATTACAGTGTATTTCTCCCTCTAGATTTGAAGCTTTCGTGACTGCAAGGATTCAATACTCTTTGTTTTTTTCGGTAAAGTCACGTAGATGAAAACATTTATTATTTTTTTAATTAAATAAAATTCTAAAATAAAATACATGAAAACATTTATTTTAGTTACCAGAAAAAAAACCAAAGAGTATTCCTCCCTCATAGGCATTCGATTATTTAGTTCTCTCTCTACAGACACGGGGAGGTAAAGTTTTTAGATGTCCCCCCACCCCAACTTAACCCATCAGTGACCGTTGCCAATTCGATTAAGCAATGCAGGATGGGACTATCCGCGGGTAATCATGGGTCATAGAAATCGGATCACAGATGGGAGGGGTGGGGAGGGGGGTCCCACTCACTGTAAGTAGAAAACACATGGCTAAATATTCGTCGCAGAAGCCTCTTGAATTAGTTTTCGTCTTGATACTCAATGGAATTTCCCAGTGTAATTAAACGCATATCTCATTATATTTATTGGCACTGCTCTATCGTAATCTAGACGTAATCTACATGACCTTACAAGGCCGGTTGCTGGCAGTGCATTATTGGCTTAGTAATTCCGCGATAATATAATGAATGAGTGAGCCCTATGATCATAATATTTATACTGGAGGAATCCGATGAGATATTAAGCTCTTTTTTTTCCACAGACGTCCAGTAGGGGCGGGTCAGAAGGTTAAAACAACAACAACAAGCACTACAAAAACACGACAGATTGCTTTGCTGAGACGCTCTCAAGCCTCCAAGCGAATATCGCCAATGCTCCAGGCAATGTCAGCGTCCGAGTTCCAGCGCAGTGATGAATAACACGAGTCGATCACACCGCAGCAGTCAGCGTGGTTTTATGATGTCGCAGTGTCCTCTAGTGGTCATTTACGTACCATCACTTTTGCTCCCGCGCTGTTTGTTGTTAAAGCCGACGTCTCGAACGAATTGGTCACTCATTTTCAGGGTGGTGGTGGGGTGCCGATAAGACACTATTAAAGGGCCCGCCACACATTATTTGAAACCATTTGGAGTTTGACAGCAGCACGATGATGATGGGGGGGGGGGGGTAGTTTCACGGTTTGTGTATCGTGGAGGGCCGCGCTAAAGGCCACCGGAGGCCGCCAGTGACCCCACCGTGGGCCTTGCAATGAAGAACACTGCTGTAGAAAGAGGCATTTGTTACAGAATAACAATATTGCATTGTTCGCATCCTCAAATCACGACAGACGTCCATTTGATCGGTCTTCACGCCACAAGTCTTTGCGAGTGCTTTTTCTGGGCCCCATTGGTTGAATAATTCACAGTTTCGACGTGCAGAGATTTTACGAACGTCCCCCTGTAAGGGATTGTTGGGAAGTTCTCGCGCCCGCGGTTGGCTACGTACGGTGCGAAAGAAGTTCAACATACTTTAAGATTTAGCCGGTGGCAAGCAGTATCTTTTTAAATGTTTCTGCTCAAAAATGTCTGGTTCCCCCTTTCACATTTTTGTGGGTTTCCGTGCTCTCTGTTTATTGGGGTTTTCCCCAGGGGGTCTAATTAATTTTAACCCTTTGGAGTTCACATGCATGGATGTGCACTTTACACCGTGACGCCTGGCGAGAATTACATATTATGAATGTATCTATTGAGTAACGTACACACCTTCAATCATCAAAAAATTGTATGACTCAAAATATACGAATTTGTCTGAAAATTAAGATGATAAAATGTTTATGATACATTGCATTGTAATTGTTTATTAAAAGATCGGTTTCTAAGCCATGCTCCTAAAAATCAGGAAACCATGGCCATAAATGTAAGCTACCTATCTAGCTTATCAAACTCATACCTGTCAACCCCTGATTAGTGCCCTTACCTTATTACAGACCAATTCAGACCTTATTGGTCACCCCGCGCCCTTATAAATCTCAACGTTCATCCTACAAAGTCACATCACAAGGGAGAAACACAAATAGACAAATATTTGCCCGTATTGAAACGGTTGTCGGCCGTATGAACATGACAACTACATTTCTCCGGACAAGAATAGAGGTAAATCGCAATGGGTTGACAAGTATGCACACTCTCATTTTATAATACACTTCTACGTTGCATAAACACGCAGGGAAATATCCTTCGGAAAATTCATCGGGACTCAATCGTCCAAAAAAATACGGATGAAAATAAATGTTATTAAACGATTGCTAAGGTTTACACATGTATAACAAAACAGGTGGATAGTGTATGTTAACAATTACGGGTTAAAATGCACGCTTCTATTACCCGTATTGCACGCTATGCAGGTACTTAGTTTAGACCAGAGCACTGGTCTTGGACCACGTGTACAACAACAAAAACACAGACGTCTGGCACACAGATCGGACAAAAGCAACCAAATTAGTGGTCATCTCAAAGTCTCGCGATATCGTGACGGCGCGCGCTGCGAAGAGAAACCGGCGCAACGGAAGTCTCGCGAGAAGTGTATCTGTTACTACCCAACCGCCCCTCCCACCCCTCAGTTACTTTACGCCGCCGCGAAGCGATCCGGTAAGAAAACAATCTCTTTTCTTTTTTTAAACTCTACAATCGAATGTCGATAACCCAGACTCGAACACATGTGTGTTTTTGTTGTTGTTGCTGTAAAATACATAAATATAATGAATCTCTGCCGGGAATCGAATCTTCCTGAAGGAGTCGTTGACTAAAAATAGGCGGGCGAATCGGCGTGGACGTTCGAACGTAATCGGAATCGGTTGGGTACAGTGCGCGGCGAGCGTGTTGGTAATTTTACTATCATTTTTTTAATTCTTCTTCTTCCTTTCTTTCTTAGAGTATTTAGGCTTGTGCGGAGCAGAGAGAGAGAAAAAGGTTTAAAGGAAAACGCGCGCGCGCGGGGGGGGAGGGGTGAGCACAGGCGTTGGTGGAGGCGGGAGGCGGAGGGTTGGTGGTAGTGGTGGTAGTGGTGGAAAACAACACGGGCGGAATACGAGAGGGGCTGTGGAGGCGAAATGGTCAGGAGCCGGGACTGACTGGCAAGGGATAGAAGAGACAGAGCAGGAGGAGTAACACGGAGGTGTTGTGTGTGTGTGGGGGAGGAGAAGCAGGCGAGGAGATTCCGAGTAGAGTACGGGATAGGAGAGACAGGGGACTTGCCTGCTGTACCTTGGAGTCGGGGAAAGGGAGCGAGCGAGAGCGAGGAGGAGGAGGAGGAAGTTGACATCGGGAACGCGTTGGTGTAGGGGATAGAGAGATGTTGATGTACAGGTAGACACTGATAGGTGGACAGACACGTACAGGTATATACAAACTCTACCGGGCACTGACATACACACTGGTATACAGGTGGACGTATACACAGTGACCGGTACTGCCATACACACCGATACACAGGTATACATCAACACGGATATTCAGTTTCAAATGCAGTCTATACTGTAATGGAAAGTGATATGTAGGTATCTATACATACTACGCTACGGTACCAGGTACTGAGGAATACACTCAGTGGCATAGATAAAGTACCTACGGTATTAAGGACTGCTAATTCTGACATACAGGTTTACGTATGTAATACATAGAAGATAGACGCACACGCTTTACTACATACTGACGTATTGCCATGGTAAAGTATACACGGATATACATGGGTAATGTACGCTGACAGGTAGTCCTATAGACAGGCATAGACACTGATATACAGATAGACATCACTGTAATAAGAACTGATACAGACAGACCAGGTAGATTAATGGACATGTACACAAACATAGTTGGTAGATATTGATATATACACACACACAGATAGACATAATTAGACAGCTGGTCCTGACATGTAGACACAAGCACACCGTCAGTTGAACACGTACTTAGGTATATTAACATATTTTCAAGATATTCAGGCAGGTTGACACACGTGCACTTGACACACACTTGACATCAGCCACATGCCCTCACCCTCTTGACAGCCATACACATGCCAGACAGTTAGATACACACTTTATAATCACACACCCACACACTGAAGATCACAAACGTACACCTTGAAATACATTCACACATGACAAACAAACCATACATATACATATAGTCTTGACAGCCAGTCACAGACATACTTGCCAATGAGACACACACCATTGGCAGATATATACATACAGGACAGTCGCACACACATACAAAATTGACACCCACATGCACAATCACAGACGCACACGTTCGTGGCACATACTTTTAACAGTTTCAAGCACGTAAACTATACAGTCTCACATACATAGTATTGACATCAAATCATAACAATTGGCAGTGACACACTTGATACAGATAGGCTGAATATCTTCACACACATGCTCCTTTCTCAGTTACACACTGGACATTCTCACGTAATCTTGAGAGCCAATCACAGAGACACACCATTGATAGCCACGCACAATCGCCTTTACAGCAGCACTCACAAGATCTTCCATCCCTGCATCTCAGCCAGGGTGACGCGGGAGAGATCAAGTGGAAGACGAGCAAACAAGGGCCAACCAACCAAGCTACCCATCGACCGACCAACCAGGTCACTCACCACCACTGCGGCCCCGACACTGCCGGCATCACCATGTCCGACTCCCAGCTGCTGCACCGGCGGGACAAGCGTGCCGCTGCCGCCTTCCTCAAGGCGGAATGCCACCGCGGGGGCGGAATAGCAGGAGATGATGAAAACGACTCTACCGCCACCAGCCCCACCACCACCACCAGCAGCAGCATTAGCAGCAGCGGCGGCGGCGGCGTTGGCATCAGCGGAGTAGGCCGGCGCCGTCTGGGCGAGTTGCTGGACGCGGTCCTCCCGCCTTCGGGCGACATCTCGGACCGCGAGTCCGTCGAGTGGCTGCGGGCGCTGCTCGCCGGCGGCGAGGCGTTCGAGGAGTTTGGGCGGACGGTGCGGGGCTACGACGACGCGGCGCTCTGCGGCCTCGTGTGGACGGCGAACTTCGTGGCGTTCCGCTGCCGCACGTGCGGCATCTCGCCCTGCATGTCGCTGTGCGCCGAGTGCTTCAACGCGGGCGAGCACACGGGCCACGACTTCAACATGTTCCGCAGCCAGGCGGGCGGCGCGTGTGACTGTGGGGACAGCAGCGTGATGAGGGAGAGCGGGTGAGAGAGGCAGAGCGCCGGTCCGAAGGGGTCAAGTGTGGAACGGGTGATTGTGCTCGCCGTCGGTGGCTTAGCGTGGTTGGCAAGGAACTTGGTTGACGTCAACCTGTAACTTCCCACTGCCGGGGAAAAGGTCAACCCCTGTTGTCTTCCATTATTTTCTTTCGTTAGTTTCCCCTGTCCAGCAGTGGTCACGAAACTCAATGATTCAATCTTACCATCCTTTCTGCTTTCGTCCTCTCCTTCATTTGCCTTTTCTCATCCATCTTATAGTGGGGCTTTGTGCCAGGAATTAAATGGAACCTCTTGTCCCAATGGCCTCCTTTGTAGCCCAGAACCTGGGCCCCGCTGACCTGTGGGTGCTGGTAATATTATTCCACACCACTCGTTGCCGTGCCTGCTGGCGCAGACCAGGCGGCAGCTCCATTCAAAGTGCACTTGGGGACAGGGCATGCCAAGTGCCTGAGGGAGGCAAACACCTGGTGAGAGTTCCAGTTGAATTGGGGAACACCAGTACAGTACCAACCCAATGCATATAGGCTGCCCTGCCTGTGTCTCCAACCTGCATTTATAACGGTTGGATTGTGTGAGCGGCTTATTTTTACGTTTGTATCGTCCCGAGTCTCATGACCCGTTTTCAGGATGGTCCTGCCAAGTTTTTTGCAGCAGGGGGCGATAATTACTCTGTGTGCAGTCAAACCCCGTTTAGATGAACCCTGGCGAGCTGGACCTTGCATTTAACCCGACCAGGCCCACTAAATAATACAATAATATGCACAGTCTCTGCTGCCCTGTAGCATATACAACACTTAACTTGAGCGGTGGGGGATTTAGTATGTAGAGGAGGGTGATGTGGGATGGGTGGGAGGTCGATGGGGGATTGAGGGGGATGGCTGGTGGCCAGTGGGGCGATCAATGGCCCAACCGACTATCAGCGATAACTATTGTACAGCTTTGTATAATGTGTGGAATGCAATTAACTTTCGTGGTGGGAGAGGGGTGAGAGATGTGGGTGATCCATGGACTGAACCTACTGACATACAAGAATGTAATACAATACACAACATAGTAAATGTACACACGGATACATTTGACACATTTTGATATACACAGAGATTGTTGTACATCTAGCTGGACCAATGCTTCCCCATGGCTAGCTGATGTTTTACTCGATGAAAAAAATGAGTAAATTTGGACCATGCTGCCAGTACACAATGACCTACTCGTGTGAATGACAATACGGGATCTTTAACGTTCACTGTGAAGCAGACGGCATGTACACACCGGCAGTATTAATGGGGGCGGCCGCTGGAATTGAACCGTGAACCTCTGCAACAACAATCAGCGAACACGCTGCAGCTAGGCAATGACATCGCTATTATGCGTTAGCATCGTCGAGCCAAAATCCTATCATTGGGCTACTCTTACTGGTGAGGCTGTGTGAGCTGGATCATTTTGATCTGCATCCAGATTCATCAAACGCCTGAGCATAATCTGCAGCTGGATTACAACTCAAGTAAAATTATCCCTGTACTCAAATTAATGTTGGGTTTCTGCTAAACTCCTTCGGCAATACAGGGACAGTGATGGAAAATTACACTTTGCCATGTTAATAATAGTGTTGCCCATTGTTTATCCGGAAAGTCCTTACTGAGTCTCGAGAGATTTTGAAGGTTTCTTGCATTTGGATGTTTGGCCAGTCCTATTCAGTGTTTTGCATGTGAGAGGAAACTGGAGTATGTGGATAACACTTATGTACTCTATTTGCTTACATATGGATTAAATGCTACATTTTCTCAATTTTCACCTCCTGGCCACCCCGCAGCCCATCGGAGTTTGGAGTTTCACAAATATAAACACACAAAGATCCCCCATATAGCCTTAACAGACTGTAGGGGCAAGTGCTGTCAACCCTCCGACTAGGATTTTAACATTCAGCCTTCCAGTTGTGAGACGTGTTTTTTTGCACACAGTGTAACTACTACAGCTTTGTGGTCCAGATAAAGAGGTGAATGATGTCCGAACCAGTTCTGGGCAAACACTTCACCAGTCAAACAACCCCCACGACCAACACGGCATGGGGTGGCGTTTTTATCCAGCAGTGGCTTAACAAAGCACTGTTAATTATTGTTCGTGTTATTATTGTAGAGAGGGGTATAAATGCTCCTGCACAGGCAAGAGAAGAGATGGGTTGACTAGTTATGTAGTTTGGTTCTCAGAATCTGAAGGATACTGTGCAGTTTAGATTGAAATCCTTGAAGGGGCAATGGGATCAAGAGATAAAGCATTTTAATAGAAATGTACGTCTAAGTTTGGATCACAATTGCTCATTGTAGGTTCCAGTCTTTCGCCTTCAGTAAGCCATGAGGTAGATGATATTGAAGGATGTGGGAGCCATGTGAATGTTGATCAACTCCCCACCATACAAAAGAGAAGGACGTCTTGGGGTCCATAATCCCACCCACTTTAGTTCATTTTGCTTAGATTGGAATTCTGGAATTGGGTGTTTTAACATAATAAATATATATTTGGGTATGTAATGCTGCATAGGGTTTTCAATTAATATACTGGATATATGAAAGTTGGTTTATTATTAAATTATGCGCCTGATGCACCAATGCAACACTTTAGGCTAATGGAGCAAAATAAACGGTGCTAACAAGAACTATACAAATCGGACAGTAAATGCGAGAAAAATAAGAATTCTGGACCGGAATTGTGACAATCAGATCGCAGAGTGGGGTGTTGGGAGGGGGGAATAGTGTATTCGTTAGACTTGCAAATTTATCGTTTTAACGAGCCACCACTTCTGCACTTCCATGGATTGTCATGATGAATTGTTCATTCGTTTTTCCCTGTCGTGGTGATGCATGTGGAAACTGTAGTGTTACAAATCTGTAAAATATGCCAGGTATATATACAGACAGTATTAAAAGGTAAAGGCGCAGTCCTGTAATTTCCTGCTCACCCCAGTGTTGGTGGAAGGGCCTCTAGAGGGTATTTGACCTCCTCATCCACTCTATATACATCTGTGAAATTACTGGACATATGTGAAATTACTGGACATCTGTGAAACTACTGGAAATCTGTGAAAAATGGCTTGATAGCTCATCAGATTCCTCCAGTATAAATACATATTCTGATTCTGTATATGAATTGAAAACAATTGGTTCTTAAGTAAAAATCAATGATAACCAATTAATCATTACATCCCAAATATCTAACTGACATTGGCTAGTTGTGTTTGGATATGGAGTCTCAATTCGTCTGTGCAGTCCAGTTATATTGACCAAAGTTGGCAATGATATCTGGGTTATGAGCTTCTCATGATCATGGAATCTGGCTTTTAAACCTATAATAGTCAATTGGATCAGACTACATTCATTATGCCCGTTACCAAATCAGCACAATCTCATCAGATGTCAGAAGTCAATCAGAATTGAGCAGTGATGGTGCTTAGATTGCTTAAAAGCTGCAGGTCTCTGTGGTGGCTATGTGATGAGCAGGAGAGGGCAGTGCAGCAACATTATTGTTGCACAGTGCTTCTATGCTCTCTTGTCTATGCTTCCCTCCACTAGCTCGTGATGACCATCACGTTTAATTATGGTCAAATAACCTGCACGACTTGTATGGCATGGGGAGGCAGGCCTTCTTCCCACAGTGACTTGACATGAAGGGCTATCTTACGGATGCATGTATTGCAAGCCTAAGAATATATTTTAACCCTTTAATCATTTAATATATTATGCTGAATTTCTTTCGCACCATACATCGCCAATCTGTAACAGCCTATAACAGGTAGTGGTGTCTCGATTGTGAATGCTTTATTAGGCAATGGGGTCTGCATATTGTAACCACATTTGGACATGTGACCTGAGTTAGGAGCTTGCCATAATCATCGTTACAGGTCCTATAGTATTCAACGTGGTCAGGATTCAACTGCCACAATGTGCAATGGATTTCAGGGCTCGCAGCCTGCAGTAAGCAATGGGGTGGAAAGTGGTTGATTGTGTGCATCATTGGTTGTATTCGCTGCTTGGGCCTGGGTTCAGAGTCACTAATACTCAGTGGGACAGGCTACATTAACTAAATTGATATGCATTGGGGTCAGGGCTTAAAGCAGCTCAGGGCTCTTGCATGGGGCAGCGATTTGGCCCAGCGGTAGTCTATTTGCCACTTGTTAAAGCGTTTCCTTGGTTGAATTCCACACGCCGCCATCATTACTGAAGATACCGTAATATACGCGCCGTCTGGTTCAAGGTGGACGGTAAAGGTCCCGTGACATCATTCTAAAAAAGCAGACCATTGTGTGCTGGCGTCCTGGGTAAAATGTACCTAATTTGAAAGTAACTGAGAATTTCTCAATTGGGATTACATATAGCAACATCGACTTCCCTACTGTTGAACAGCTGCAGACTGTCTCTGTGAAACACCGCGCATGCGTGATTGCCTTGCACTGTGAGAATGATGCGAGTACCAAATGTACTAGATTATTGTGCCGTGCGTCATGTCAACATTGCATTGACATTGGGGTCTGGATGTATAAACCACAGGGTGGCAATGGGGCCTGGGTTAGGAGCTTGCGATAATCGTCGGGCTCTGGGTCCGGTGAGGCCTACTGTGTGCATCGTGTCTGTGTCGCTCTTTCCATCGCAGGTTCTGCCAGCGGCACGGGCGTGCGTCCCTGCGCAGCGTTCCACGCGCGCCCCTCGACCTTCTCACGCTGCCCGAGCTCGTTCTGCCGCGCGTCGTCCTGCGGCTCGTGCAGCACCTGCGGGAGAAGTTTGCGCCACCCCCGCCCGGTGAGCGCTAGCGTCCCAGCGCTGGCACCACCTAAAAACCACCGAGGTCCCCGACTCTTTAGCGACCAATATCCATAATAAGGTTTTTTTTTGTGTCAGATCGCGTAAATATAAATGTGTCGTTAAACCCACCACCACCCGACGCACGCATTTATATTTACGCGATGGAACTCAAGAAGCTTTTATTATGGATCCCCGACTAATCTTAATCCTTGACTCCAAACCTGAGCCCTAACTGGGACCGAAAACCTGCCTCTAATGTTTATTTTCCCCTGTGCATCCACGCCGTGCTGGGTTGTGCCGAGCCGGGCGCAGGTCAGAAGGCATGTTGATGACGTGGTGATGCTGTGACCTCGCAGTGTGCAAACGATGACTCGTAACCCTATCCCAAACACCTCAATGAATGCAATCCTGAGCAATGAAACTAGCACTAAATCTTGACTAATGCTGACTCCGACTGGAGGCCTGTCTCTGACCGTTATACTGTCTCGATAACTCTGAATCTGGTCTGCAAACTGAGCATGCGCACGTGAACAAATGTGGTTTGAGCGTTGATGCAATAGGTTCAGTCACTACTACGATTGCAGTGACGTGCATTTGATTTCCAGCCGTTTAACAGCATCAGTGGAATGTGGCATCTGAACTTGTCCTCAAGACACAGATTGGCCTCAATTGATGTATAAACAGCTGCAGCAGGTAGACAACGTCTGCTAAATCAAGTGTTGGCCATTTTGTGTGCCTTTCTGTCCAAGATAGGTGTGTGAGTGTGCGATAGGTCGTGGTGACACAGTGGTGAGTTCACTGCGCTAGAAACTCAGCGACCTGAGTTCCCTGCCATGGCTAGCATCAGTGGCATGTGTTATCAGAACCGGTCCTTTGCCTTCCCTTGGTTAACTCAGTGTTAAGCAAGCATAGTCACTTTAAGATGTTTTCTTGTTCATGTGTTTTTTTTGTTTGTTGCGGTTGCACCCGATTGAAGAGCTGAATGGCTCACAGGGCTATACCAAATAAATGAAACTGAAACTGAAAAACCTGGGACGGTCTTTAAAAAACAGCACTTGAGAGACAAAGTCAGCTGGGTGTTGTGCTGGCAGCGTCACCTTGTTGTGTGTACCATGCCGGTCTGAATAGGTGCTCACTTACAGCACTTGCAGTCTGTAAAGTATTATATGGGGGATTTTCGTCTTGCGTGTTTGGGAGCAGGGGAGGTGCCAGCGGGTGACCATGACCCACAGCGTGCTGTGCAACAGGCGGAACAGCTCATCGGACTGCTGGAGGAGCTCACCAAGATGGGCGGTGCCATGCGCGCCGTGCTCACCCGGGTGCTCACCAGCACACAGAGCTACCGCGAACTCACCGCTTGTGAGTGCGGTTGTACCACCTGGCCCGGATACATCTATGTGCCATTTGCCAGATCTTCTCATTCTTCCTGACTGTATTCCTATACATGGGGTAGGGGGGGGGGAAGTCTGCCTTCCTTGTTCTCTTTCTCCACTTAATCCTTTCCTGGACAATTTCTACATTCACTCCACAGTCCTTAAAATGCTGGTACACCACATCAAACCACCTGCTTTGTTGTAGGCCTGCCTCTCGGTCTCTACCCAGGCATTTCCATGTTCATCACCTTTATCAGATGTGGTTTTCTTTTTTTCCTCTTGTGATACATCCCAGTTGGTCAGCTTTCTTTCAGCTTGTTTGGGATGGGTACCTTACTTGCCTTTCTTGTCTCTTAATGTATGGTTTAAACCAGTCTTCTGAGCTTTGAGATCCATCTCATCCTCATTTCTGTGGTACACATATTCTTCTCCCTGGCCGGATGTATAGTATATACCGGCTATATAGGGGGGGCTGCAACGATGCATCACTTCTTACAGTCACTATACTTGAATGTTATTGTACGCTTAAGAATTTATTCATGATTCCTACACATTATATGTTCAAATTCTATTTAGGCTAAATGGACCAAAAGCGATGTATAAGTTTGGCCCGTTTTCCCTCCAAACTGATATGGTTTGTATACACCAATTCTGTTGCTTAGCCAACGATTATTAGGGCCACCAGTTACCCGAGAGAGAACCCCTGATGAGCCTTGCCACGAAGTTGGGGTGTCGTGTTTCAGAATGCCGGGAATGGTGGGCGATAGAAGAGAGGTGGTGACGTTGTTGAAGGTGGGTGGCGAGGCTCATGCCGGGTGGCTCGTGGGCCCGGTATCCATGAGCGCCGCTTGCCCTCCCCACACAACGCAAACATGGCTGACAGCACTTGATGTGCTTTCAAAGTTGGCCGAGCAAATAGTTACGTCGCTCCCTACCCCCGCAGCACCCAGCTCCGTTGGCAAGGACTACTCGGGCACATTTTTCACAAACTCGAAATAAGGTTGCCACTAAATGAAAAATGTAATTTTCCAATGAACAACGATACTAAATTCTCCGGATTACAAGACACTATTGAAAGGCGATGGTGGGGGGGGTGCATGTTATGAAACTTTAGGTGTGTGTGTTTGTGTGTGCTTGAGACCAGATTTGTATAAATATTGACACCCGGTATAATGTTTGGGGTAGGACTTTCCGGATCGTCTTTTTTTTATTTGTTTGGGGTGATACTCATTTTTATTGGTGGTACTAAGCAATTGGTGGAAATTCTACATTCCTTTGGTAGGGACTAGTTTACCTATAGTAACCATAGAGGAGTGATGGACTTGGTTCACTCAACTGGGATTGGTACTGTGATCTTCTATCTTTGACATTTAAAACTTATCACACCTACGTCTGCCTTGTGGCTCCTACCAGTGAGCCGACGACACTTCATGTGGAGTCTTAAGTGCACCTAGCCTGGCACAATTGCATTAGATGTGGTGATGTCCCCGTCACTTAGCCGTGAATGGGGGCTGTTGACTAGTGTGTGTGTGTGTGTTGTCTGATCAGGCCCAGAGGCGAGCGGGGAATCGGAGCCGAGCGTAGCCGAACTTGGGTACCGCAAGTACCAGGAGGCCCTCGCGAGCACCACTCCCATTGTCGATGACCTCTTCCGAAGTGAGCTCGGTCCTCCCTACGCCAGTGAGTGCACACACCATCATTACCATGTGTAGATGTAAAGTTAAATGCAAAACTCTTAGTCAATCTACTCATGGATATGGGTTCTCGGTGTACAGTGGGGGTTGTTTGACCATGCTTCACCATGCTGGCCAGTGCGGATTGGTGAAGGCAGGGGGAAGCACAGATATGGAAGCATGAGCTGTGACATGGCCGGGCGGTTGCGCGTTCGTCTTTGATTCGAGTCCAACAACCGCCCCGGTTAATACTGCGGGTGTATTAATGATAAATATGCACTGTCTGCTTTACAGCGGCTGTTAAAGATCCCGTGACGTAATTTGAAAAAGGAGTAGGCCAGGTGTTTTGTCATCACAATTCAAAGTTAAAAGATTTGATCAGATACTCCCAAATTACTTGTTGGGGAAAAAAAACACTTTCCAACATAGCCCCCTACTGGGAGACGAATAACCATTTGCAGGCACTTTGTGCCGCAGAGGGGACAGCTGCCACTTGGATAGAATACCGCAGGGCATTGTAATGGTTGATATGAGATGTGATTATAAGATGCTTTGAGTTGCTGATGTATTTAAGAACTAAGTAAATACAAATCCTTCATGATACAGACTGCAAAGAACTGTAATGCAGCGCAACAGAGTTGTTGGATCCTGCAAGGAATTGGCCAAACATCCCAATGTAAGACTCGTGACTAAGAATCTATGGACTCGGACTTTTCTGGATTAACTAAGGGTGTTGCTATATTCCAAATGTATCATGATAAGTACCACTTTGTGGGAGATCAACGGTTGTTGTGCTATGGGGGAACTGGGTCCTGCCATTGGGATGTGGAAACTTTACTCCTGGACTCTGGGTCAGAGCTGCCAATGGAAATAAATGCCGCCAGAATGGTCATTAGAGCACGAATTTCAACTTTTTAGAAATAAAATCTAAATAACATTTTACAGGGATTGTTGTACCGTTATTGGTGACCATGCTGACCATCAATTATCCTCCACTTTAGAACAATTACTTTAAAGCATTACCTTAAAAATTAAGGTGAAGGTACATACACCTAAATTTAATGCAGGTTTACCTTTCCTCGGCTTTGAAGTTGATAAAACAACGTTCAATTATGTTTTAATTAATCAAGCGATCGGCCGCTTTAATTAATGCACGTGTCGTTGAGACGACCTGCTGATGGACCGACCTTATCGTGTTCACAGTGCTTGGAGACCGTATTTCGACGATCGCAGATGAAGGATCGGAAGTTGATTCGGAGAAGGTAACTGTGCATCTGCAATACCAACAACTACTCGGAGCACCTGGACACAGTTGTTATCAATTATTTCTCCGAGGGATAGCTCTAGGTCAGGTATGTCGAGTATCTAATACAGGGGGATAGGGTGGAACAGTGGTCATCCAATTTTTGCTAAAGATATGCCCATGTGTCGCATCACCAAACAATAGGATAAATTGCCAAGGCGTTTTGTGACCCTGTGACTTTCAATTTGACTCTTCCGCTTTGTCTTGGGAAAAAAAAACATCGACCAGATAGCCGTGAATTACAGCAAGCGAGTTTCTTAGAAATAAAATGGTGTCGAGATGTTGACTAATTTGCCTGGTGTAGAGGGGGTCGTGGGTTCGATTCCGACTCTGACACCTGTATATTTGGAGTTTGCATGTTCTCCCCGTGGTCACATGGTTTTTTCTCGCGATCCTCCAGTTTTTCCCTCCACATTTAGAATCAACATTCGTTTAAGAGTATTTGGCTACTATACATTTCCACATGATAAGCCACTTAACTGAACTATCATTTGTGATGGCCAGGTCGCTTCTGAAAAAGAGCTATACAGCTCAGCGGGCCTTATCTGGTAAAATAAAAAATAATGTTTAGTTTAGTAACCTGTGTTTCGCGATGCACGTATATGTGCCACAGTACGACCAGGAGGAGGAGCCGCACAGTCTTGGGCGACGGAAGAGGTTCAAGATCGCCATCCTCGGCGGTGGGTGTCAAGAACTGAGCACACAACACGGGCGTGTGTGTGTGAACTGAATCTTGTGATGAACACCTGGTGACTATCTTTTGACAGTCTTTGCAAATCGTTATCACCATCGGCCAAGACGTTGCCATCTCTCGTGGTTTTGCGATGCAGCAGTCCACCTGTGCCACTAACTCCATATTGGCAGCAGACATCCCATACAAATATTCGCAAACAAATCGGTTATTTGAGATGTAACTAAATTAAGGCCATGATTTGGCATTGTACTGAGAGCATGAGCCCATCGCTACATTATATATACAATTGCCATATTTAAATGAGCATATGCACGTTTTGGCGGTAAACTGGTGCAGCATAACACACTGGTCCTCATAAAACAGTAAAAAAAAAACATTTAACTGACATTCGTCTGCCAACTGCCTCGACATCACGAGAACTGATTTTGACGCACCACCCTGCAAGATTTTATGACCGGGGTTGCGAATTGCGGGAAAATAAATTATCGCGAAAAATGTTTTCTTTATGCTGCGCAACAGTGTACCACCAATACGTTCATATATTTGATTTATATAACAACAGGAATAAGCAATGATTATATACTTTAATTATAAACACTGGCACCCTTTAATCAATGTTTTGGATGGGAACAAAGCAAACCGATAGGAACCTTCATCCCGTACTTTTTGTTTTTTTTTCGGTAAAGTCACGTAGGTAAAATAAAATAAATGAAAACAACTAAATTAAATCACGACGTTTTGGAGGCAACACAAGCTTCCGTCTTCAGGTGGAAACCGTCACAGCAAAATTGCTGTATCAGTCACCCCTCCGTTGTTGACAAAATTAGCATCAATTTGTTGCAAGTCACTAGCAGTTGTCACGTGAATAGGCTGGTCCCCGCCACAGGATTATGAAATTTCCACCACTGACTCGGACACTCCCAACGGATATAAACACCGCCCATCCCTCATTTGAGCACGTGAACACTTAAGAACTTTCATTACTGATAATGTATCACTCTCAGCGCTCAGTGCCACCCACCACACATCAGTGATGGACTGTCCGGCGACACAGGTGAACTGGCGAGTGAGTGGTCATTGCTTAGGCTGGGGAGGACAGAGTGGCTGGGAGGTCGTGGTGGCTATTTTTGAGTCGACGGTGCGTGTGGGGATGTTGGAGGTGGACCGATAGGTGGATATTGGGGATGGGGGAGGGGGAGGGGGAGAAGGTTTGGAAACTCCTCTCCCGTCAGCCGGAGTGGTCGCGTGGGGAGCGCGTGCGTCTTGACCGATGGAACTGCGCTATTAATAAACCCGCCTGCCCGAGCCACAGAGAACACGCGCGCAATCAGCACTGTAACTCTCATACTCGCCAATGCACTACCGCGCATTCACACGTGCATGCATGAATTCACGCACGCACACTGTAGCATGCACGTACGCACTAAAACGCTCCTACGTTCGTAGGCTGCAATAGACGTCTACGAATGTGCACAGATTTACACTATGAACCCTGTGATCCAAATTTCATTCCGGCCATGGCTAACGTCGCCAATATACACTTACCAGCGCACGTTCAAACAACCCATATAACTGGCATGACATAGGGAGGGAGACCTTCATTCATCAGGGATTGACAAAGAGCTGTAAAGTATTTCTAAAAAGCAGTTATTGATTTAGATACACGTTTTGTCAGGATTGCCGATAACCTCCAAGTATTGTGATGTTAAAGATTGATTTCCTAAATTCTGATAAAAAAGGGTCCCATAGATATCCCTAAGTTCTGTTAATGCAATTATTTGTTACGGCATTACAGACATTTTCTGATACAATGCTGATGTTAACTTTGTAAAGCTAGTTTAAGTTTTGTTGACCTATGGTAGGCTCAGGCCAGATTCGGATAACATCTGCCACGAATGTACATGGACAGAAGTTGAACTTGTTTTGCCGACATCATATGGCTATTTGTGAGTGCACATTAGACTGTAGTTAAGCCATCATAAATCGTCCAAAGCAGCGCAGTAGGTTCTATAATGCTTTTCGAGTTATGGTTGTTGTAAGATTTTATCAAATGTTGAAAAAGATCATGAATGCTCATAACTGAAAAGACCCTAACTAAAGCTTCATGTGGATTGACAGGATAGGCATCTTCTACACAACTATATGCAATGATGACATCGCTTTGCCTGATTTGAAGTGAGATGTCACAGGTTTATAAAACTCCCAAACCCACTGGTCTACGAGATGTCCAGCAGATGACAGTACAGCAAATAGGCTGTCAACCTGTCTGTGTGCACTTTTGAATCTCATCCCCTCGTATATGTAATTGGTTCAATTGAGGCGCACACTTGAACTTGGAGGCAACACGTTTTATTCTACTAACATCACAGTAACTGTTAATAACAACATAGGGTGGTGAACCACCGCTCCTATACTAACTATATACACGTGGGGGGGAGATGGTTATTTACACACTGGATGGGACAACTACTAAATCGGACTAGGACAGCCAACACGCTGCCTGGTCCACGTGCACGAAGAGCACGATGACGAGGGTTTCTTACCAGAGATTAACACCCCTGGTCCCCCCCCCCCCCCCGGGGCTCGGCTTTTGTCCCTGCGGCGTGGCCAGGTCCCGCCCTTGGCCACGCCCCTTTTCCAGATCCTTCACGACGGTTCAGGACCCACATCACATGTTTCTCTCACCCCCTCCCTGGTCCTCGTTACCACATCATCCGGTCACATGCCCCCTCAGGATTACTCGGCCTCTTCACTGGTATGCTCACTCGGGTGCCAGGGAGAGGCTCCGCACATCCAGTACCGCTCACACGGTACTGTCGCTATACTATAGTGCCATCATCAATGACACTACATCGTGGGGCTATCTCCGAGTGCTCTCGGTTTTTTACTACGCGCAAACAAAAACACTCCTTGAATGAGTTCTCCATTCGCTCCACCTGCTGCGATATTCGGGCAAAGAAGCTCCCACATTGGAGAGCTGTACAACACAACCTCGAAAACCTCACGCAGCAATACACCTTAACAGAATGGGCCAAACTTCTCGTTGCTTGACCTTTATGAAAACGAGTCTGGAGACTTTTTGATAAACGAATGACATTATTTTAATGATTAGCATCAGTGCTCTCTTGCAAGGTACCCCCACCCCCGCCAGCTCACATGTCAGCCTTGATAAGGGAGCCCTGACGCTGTAAACACAGCAGGGTTAAATATAGAGAGGCATGTGGTCATGGGAGGCTGTGGCTGGGCTGGGGTTTGAGTGACAGGGTTAAGGAACACGAGGTATCGCTGGCTACGGTTGCACGGGGTGGGTACATTGAACTTGGGCTTGACCAGATGAGGGACGTGCGCCACTTGGTGTTGTAGATAGACCCTTGCTAGTTGAATCGGGAGGCTCATGATGGCCAATGTCCAATACATTTGAACCAATATTTCTGAGATCCTAGATTTTAAATCTGGGCTTGTCAAGCGCAGCGAGTATATGGTCCCAGCTCGGTAACCAATGACCGCACAAAAAACATGTATTAAAATTGGTTTTCGCTTGTGTGTTATTATTTGTATTATTACGTGTATTATTACATTTCTTTACCCAGGAATGTCTGATTGAGTATCAAAACTCTTTTCCACGAGGGTCCTGCCAAGTATTTTTTTCCAGCAGGGTTCAACGTTGCTAAGTGTAATCCCAATTGAGTAACGTTGCAGGTAATATATCAGCGCTGGGATGTTTGGCCAATGCCAGTTCCATTTTATCGTTTTTTTCTTAGCTTTGCGACGAAACTGGAGAACCTGGAAGAATCTCATACAAAACAAGGGGAACATACAAACGCCACATAGGCGTCCGAGTTCAGAATCGAACCCAATAGTTTTTGCTTTGTACTACGGTGCCATCCTGCTGCCATAAGTGTATATCCCAGCCCTTTGAAATATTTTTTCAAATTAGTGTTAATATACTGCGTATATATTCTTGGTTCTTTCGGTAAAGTCACATAGAAGGAAAATAATAAAAATAAAACATAACAAAATATTTATATTATAAAATATTTATTTTATTATGTTTTATTTTTTTATTTTATTATTTCCCTTCTACGTGACTTTACCGAAAGAACCAAGAAGATGAATCCCTGCAGTCACGAAATACTGCGTATAGTCCATGAGACGGCATATATTGTTACAACGGTACCACTTTTAGTTGTATAACTTTATATATACAATGGAAGTTATTTGCAATGGAAATACCCTCTATCTGCCTTGATGTAGTGGCCGATAAAAAGAGGGTCCCTGTAGGGTTAATGGGATGGTGAGTCATAGTGGCTATTTGGCTAGTTGGGCATGAGTAGGATTAGAGTCTGGAGGTAGTCTAGTACTAGTGGCTGGTTAGCCAGTTAGTGGTGAGGTAAGTGGAATTGTTCCGACTAGTGGCTTTTCGGTTTGTGGGCTAGTGTTTGGCCACTGTCCTTTCCCAAAAGCACGTTGACCCTCCTCCCCATTAAATCTTGTAGCCTTTTCAGTTATTTGGCCTTTCTGTTAATGACTCCAAGTAGCAATTAAATAAAGGGAGGCTTCTTGACTCACCTGAGATGTGATGTTGACGTCCTGGGTTCATTGTTACAAACTTAAACCACAACCCACTTAGAATATTTAAAAATGAGTGCGGGAAGCAGTTTTTACACTTCGATACAATTCTGACAACCTAGATTAAATTGCTACCCACATTAGTGGCACCTGTATCTTATCCCATTCTGGGCCTCCGCTAAATTGACTCGGGCTGCAATAAACCATAGTGTTTTGTCGACAAAGGTGGCCAGATGTAGTGTTGATCACACAACCCTCTCATATGTGATGCCAATTCTTGTGATTAGTAGGTATTTGCTAAACAGTATTTGTCCCCTGCGGTCTGTACAGATAACTAAAGGAGTCCTTATATTTTAATATATATGGGCTTGTGTGTGGGGAGCAGCACCTCAGTGGTTAGCATGCTGCATTACAGACCCAGCGAGTTGGGTTCCATTCCTGGCCACAGCTAAGTGGTGTCGTAACCTTTGCTGGGCGTCCTCTTTACCGACTCGGCCTTAAATGAGTACCTGATGCAGTGTGCAGGCAACAAACCGTGGAGGAAAAGTTGGCCAGGCATTGTGCTGACTGACCACACTAACCCGTCATGGGTCATGCCAATTTTGAATAAGTGCTCACAAAGAGCACTTGCCTTAGCAGTCCGTAAGGCTAAATTGAAGATATGCCTATTTCCACGTGTACGCATGCAACCAAAGCAATGTGTTTTTTTTTTAATCCCCCCCCCCATATAAAGTATTTCCCAAAACAATCGAAAACAACGTTGAGGATATATATGTGCATTCACGCAGCGCGAGTGACGCTCCCTGCCGTGAGCGATGACGGAGAAGCATCGGTACCAATTTCGGTGGAGAGTTCTTCATGAAAATCTCCCTATAAATAACCCCAGTGGCAACGGGGGTGGGATGGAGGTAGCACTGTGACTCGATAATAGCACGGTCGGTACTGAAGGAGATGAGACGCACCAGAACATTTTGCTTTATCCTTCATGTTACGGTTAAGTCATTGCTTTTGTGTGGAGCGGTATTTATGCTCATTTGGCCTGCTCAGGCAAGTATAGTGTGGTTCTTATCTTTGTGGCCATGATCCAGTGGGAAAAATTCCACATTCCTACAGCAGAGGCACTGATTCCAAAGGATAACCACTGCTATCTTTTTGTAAAGTGGTACTCATTTAAATGATCCTGGAGGGATGAGCGACTCAATTGACTAACGTGACCACGCGTGACTGAAGCCTGAATGTCATTGGGGCAGTTCCAGAAATTAGCCAACCGCACAGGTAACATTTGCAAAAGCATCGTAATAATAATAATATATATGACGGTATAATTTTGAATGTAATTCTCGATAGTTTTACAAAATATGAGTCATTTATGGATAAGTCACTGGCTTGACATGTACAGGAAAAATTAATGCACGTAGTCATAAGTAGCCAATTGACTTAATCGCCGGTTGACTTTTCTCCACCCTCTTATCTTTTCCCATATCTCCTATCTCCTCTCACTCATCCTTCCATCACCTTCCACCATCTCCAAATTTCCCACTCCTCCCATATCCTCCCGTCCCTTTCATCACTTCCAATTTCTTTCATCTGCTCCAACCGTCCTCATCTCCTTCCTATTCTGCTATCTCCACTCACTCCTGTCACCTCTTTTTACCTTCCCAAATCTCCTCCCACTCCCCAATCCCCTGCCACTCCACCATCTGTCCCCCATTGGGAGCAGGCTCATCAGGGACACTCACTCACAAATGCTTCTTGGAGGAACTTCTCTTCTGGACGGTCAAGTACGAGTTCCCGCAGAAGATGGTGACACTGCTGCTGAACATGCTGCCCGACCAGGAGTACAAGGTGACATCTCGACGCGCGCCACTCCGTCTCTCTGTTTGTTGTTCGACTCTATCGCTGAGTAATTCTCCACCTAGATGATGATAATACTGCACACACTGATTTAGGACTTCTCCGCTAACCTTTCGTATAATTGTCCCCCCGGTTACATTTGCAATCGTATCTGTTCATATTGATCTCCGTCTACCTCTGTTTCTCTTTCGTTCCGCTCTGTACCAAATATCAACAGTTTTTCCAGGTTTTCCCATCACGCCGAATTATATATCCATTGTATTTTAGTTTCCATTATGGTTTACAGACTAACCTTTTCACCAATGGCTTATAGTGCCCTTCTGTTGGTTCTTCTTTCTGTCCAAGGGATAGCATTAGTCCTCTACAGCACCATAGTGCCATTTGCAATCGGAAGTTCATTACTTTATGTCAGTTGGAGTTCCACTCACTATATGATTTCTCAGGTGGCAATAACATTATTTCCACTTTGTGGGCAATCAACTGTGGTTGCCCCATATCGTGCCTGGGCTCAGTCATAGGATAATGATGTTCCACTCAGTCCTTTGTGTGCCTTCGTGTTTCTCTGCGATTCCTCGCCCCTCTGAGTCATTCTCTCTGTTCGTGAGTGAGTGAGCACTGTGCAGCGCGTTACGAGTTTAAATTATCATGGAATTTCCACCTGGCTCAGAGTGGGGAAATTATTTTTTATTTGACTTGACATTCACCCGCATGTCAAGATCCTCTACAGTAATGGAGAACGGGCAAATCTTAGGCGGTTAAGAAAGTGAGGGTTTCGATTTAAAGCTTTCGTGACTGCAAGGATTCATCTTCTTTGGTTCTTCTTCTTTGGTTCTTTCGGTAAAGTCACGTAGAATGAGAATAAAATAGTAAATTGATCAAATAAAATAACACTGTCTCGTCCCTTCACCTGATGAAGGCCGCTTGTGTTGTGACCGAAACGTCGTGAGAATATTATTGTGTTATTTTATTTTATTTTATTCTCATTCTACGTGACTTTACCGAAAGAACCAAAGAAGAAAAAGTGAGGGTTGTCCTCTTTGTGGGAATTGGTGGTGGTTTTTAGGAGAAGGTGGTAGAGATGGTTGGGTGTAGGTTTAGGGAGGCTGGAAGACTACGGTGTTGAAGTGTTTGCAGCGATGGAGTCTTAATGTCTCCCTGCTCAACCGAGCTTTGAGGCGACGCTCAAATTTGTTTGTGATTTTGAGCTAGAATTTGAAATTCCACACTGCCATGGTTGCACTTATTCTTTCCCTCGGATGACCATTATTGAATTGGCACAAAATGGTACCCACTTTGAGTACTATTTTTTTTTATAGTTATGGGCTTAATGAACCCCCAACTGGAATTGTAACTTTATGCAAACTGGCTAACATCCCGGTGGCTAACATTCCCAGGTCCAAATTTGCTAAATTAGAAATGTAACCCCAGATTACCTTATTTGAAATACACATAGCAATCAACGTCCCCCACTGCCAGACAAATGCCTATTTGTGGGCCAGGTGCTAGGTCACCTCGTACCCACAGATGACACCTGTTAATGGGGGTGCCCTTTCGAATGTGTTCAGATGAGATGAAATTTAAAGAGGCCTGAGATGCCCTGCTATACAGGACGCTGCATATAAAAATAAATCGCATCGTCATTACCATAGGAATGTAGAGTTTCCACCTGCAGGTGATGTAAACCACCACCCAACGCTTATTTCGACAGGGGGGAAACACTCTAAACTCTACTTTTTTTACAGTAACCCTAACCTTGACCCTCCAACTCTGACCCCTCCATCCTTGTCCCCTGTTCTGCCCTCTTGGGGGCAGGTGGCCTTCACCAAGACGTTTGTGCAGCACTATGCATTCATCATGAAGATGCTGATGCGATCCCATGAGTCAGACACGCTCTCCAACCGCATCGTGCACATCAGCGTGCAGCTGTTCAGCAGCGAGGAGCTGGTGCGCACCGTGCTGCACGAGAGCCACCTGCTCAAGGTCATGGTCACCGTCCTGCTCGATATGATGATGACCTGCCTGGTGAAGAGCCCGCTGCAGGGTGAGCAAGCTGGATGGTGGGTGGGCACGGGCTGAAGGCTGTGGCGGGTGATGAGGTTTGTGCGGAGCAGTTGAGCGTTTTGTAGCTTGCGGTCGAGTGCAGGCGTGTTGATTGAGCGGGAGGTTGAATGAGTGGGCGGGTGAGTTTAGTTCTTGAGTTAGAAAAATAATGATCTGTTTGTTAGGTTAGCTTGTGGACTAGCAAGCAGTTGAGTGGTTGAGCTAGTGAGTGGGTAGGTGCAAAGGCTGGTTGGCGGTGGTGGTGTGTGAAAGTGAGTGAGTGAGTGAGCAGCTGGGTGAATAATTAATTGAACGAATTTGAATGTCAGTAAGTGAGGGGAAGAGTGAATGAGTGAATACATAAGCGACTGGGTAAGCCAGAAGGTAATACCATCGAGCACATTAGCTATTTGTTGAGCAAATACGTGATTGAATAAGTAAGTGAGAGAGTGGGTGAATTTGTGTGTGCGTGGGTGAGTGATTGAATGAATTTACACACTACCAGGATATGGGCTAGAGAACAGGTGAGTGAGTTATTGGGCAGATGAGGTATCAAGGAAGTGAGCGTTAGTTGACAATACCCTTGGTGGGGCCTTGTCCCCTTGCTGCCTTCCTCTCTGCTTGTCTCGGCAGACGAGGATAACTTCAACCTGGTGGTGAACTGCGGGGAGGCTCTGCTGAAGAACAACACGTATTGGCCTCTCGTCAGTGACTTCATCAACATCCTGTCGCATGGGAGCGTCGCCCGCCAGTTCCTGCACGATCACGCACTGCTGCAGATGTGGATGATGTTCCTGTCCTTCTTCCAGGGTGAGTGTCATGTGTAGCCGGGTAGAAAGATCGGGAGTGGTAGTGTAGCCGTTAGTGCACTGCACTACGAACTTGGTGACCCAAGTTCAACTCCCGGTCACTGCTAACGCCAGTGATAATTATCCAAACTGGTCCTGGGCCTCCCCTAGCTCGACTTGGCCTTGCTGGTGCAATGTGTAAACATTACCACTCGGGAGACAAAGGCAGCTGGGCGTGGTAATGGCCACCCCCACTCCCTCTTGTGCCGTGCTAGCCTTCATAGGTGCTCGCTAACAGCACTTGCCCCAAAAGTGTGTTAAGGCTTTACAGGTGATCTTTGTCTCGTTGCATTGCAAGTCATACGAGCGAGTTTCTTCTATAGAGACAGATGATGATCGTCATCATCATCTATGATCAAGCCACTGCTGGTGGGTCGTTTGTGAGGAATTGGCAGCTTGTTGACGATGACAACCGCTCTTTTGCACCACAATGACTGTTGACGCGCACGCGCTGGTTGTGCTGATCTACAGCGACTCCTTACTGCCACCCATCTGCTTCTGTGGCAGGCATGAACCTGAACCGGCGCGAGCTGAACGAGCATGTTGAGTTCGAGTCGCAGACGTACTACGCCGCCTTCGCCGCCGAGCTGGAGGCGTGTGCTCAGCCCATGTGGGGCCTCCTTGCGCACTGCAAGACGCCGGTACGCACGCGCACACACACGCGTACACGCCTACACGTGTATACAAATGTATGTGGGGAGCATGAGTGTAGCGGTTAGTGCGCTGCGCTACGAACCTAGCAACCCAAGTTCGATTCCCGCTCATGGCCAATGCCAGTAACGATTATCTGAACTGGTCCTGTGCCTCCCCTAGGTCGATCCAGCCTAAAAAAATTGCACCTGGTGCAGTGTGTGAACATCGCCACTGGGGAGACGAAGACAGTCGAGTGTGGTGCTGGTCACCCACCCCCTCTTGTGCCGTGGCGGCCTTCATCGATGCTCGCTAACAGCACTTGTCCCAACTGTCTGTTAAGGCTATACGGGGGGGGGGGGGGGGGGTGTTTTTTTTGTCTTTGCACACGTGTACAAACATCTCCATACGCGTACATGTGTGTCTGTCTTGTGGGGGCGCACACAAGCACGCACATGGAGATATTGCCTGACGGTAGCGCATTGGCTGCTTGTTGCAGAGGTTCGCTTTTAGAAACTGGCTGGCTGAGCTGGTTATTACTGTGGGTGTATTAACCATAAAGATTCTACGTACCATCTGCTTCACAGTGGATGTTAAAGATCCCCTGTTTTTCTTCGGATTTGAAAACGTACCCGCAAATTATTCAATTGCGATTACACATCGCAATCTTGCCCCCATCCGGCAGAATGATGCTCGCTCAATGCACAGGGACAGCTGCCGCTGGGGGTGACCTTTCTCATGCTTGAAATGAGATGCGATGTAGGTTGCTTCTCACGTGTAAAGCACCCTGAGACGCCCTGGCCTAAAGGGCACTCTATCAAAAACAAATGACTATAACATAATATTATTATCAAAAGCTATCAGTGTTGGCATCAAGCACGTAGAATCAAATTGCTTCTGTACCGTGTGTGCACGCAGGAATCGGCGGAATACACACGGACGGTCATTCGCTTCTGCCTGGAACATCTGCAGGACTGGTTTGATGCCATCAACTTTGTTGACGAGGTACTGACACACGTTGGGTTAGTTTACAATATTATTATAATTTGAATTAACATTTGATTCTTAGATAATTATCAGGGGGTTTGCTATAATTATTTTTAGACTAGCTCTTTGTTTGATGTGGATTTTGATAACTGTTGGGACAATTATGAAAACAAAGTTTTGCCTTTGTGCTGGTGTCTATTTCACTCATCGCTGTACTTTATTTTACTTGCTTTGGTTTTGTCATTTCACTGCCCAGGTCATTCTTGCAAATGAGACTCATCCTGGTCTCTCAAGTTCTCACCTGCTTAAACAAAATGAACTTGAAACTTGAGTGATGTTCATACGTTAATTGAGAACTCGTCATTAGAAGGGATGGTGACTGAGTGACGAGAGTGGTGTCAGAATGTCAGCCAAAGAAAGAACACGCCCCGGAATTGTCGAGTCAAGGATTTGCCGATCTTTCTTTTGCAGCCGGCACCAAACCAACTCACGTTTCACCTGCCCCTCCACCGCTACTATGCCATGTTCCTGAGCCAGGTACACACATACATACAGATATGCACAATGCCTACAACTGTAGCTGGCACCTCTCATCTGTAGTCAGACGGTGCAGCCTTTGCCAATCATAATGTACTGATGGGGCGGTCTCAGTGTTTTGGGTGAATGCTTTGTGCCCAAGTTTTAGTGGTCATCCACATGCATGCTTGTTTGTGCACAACCGTGCATATGTGTGCCCGCACATGTTTGCCTATGTTTGTGTGTGGTTTTGTGCATTTGTGAGGTCATGTGACACACATGTGTGGCTAAGATTGTGTGTGTTAAGTGTGCGAGTACATGTACTGGGAGTGTGCATGCTTTTGCATACGTGTGTGCGACTGCTTTTGTGCATGCGTGCTCGTTTGTCCACATATGCCTGACTGCGTGTGTGAATGTGTATTTGCCTGCATCTGTGTGCCCATGTGTATGTTTCACCAGGCTGTGCGCTCCCAAGATATGGATCTGGATTCCCTTCTTCCAGATTCTGAGCTGCTCATGAAGATGATGGTTCACCCCCTGCAGATACAGGTGAGATCCAGTAAATCAAAGATTAATTGTCACGTTCCACGTTAACCCAGATTCCCAACCATTCACTGCATGGGCCCACCTCGACAGAACCATGCACAGTAACTACAACAGAACTCCAGGATAGAACTGAAACACTTAGATGGGCATTTGCATTGTTTTATGTGTCAGCCCATGCGAGTGTTGTAACACTCATTCAAATGTATCTGGATCAGTATCATTTATAGAAGACTTGATTTCTTTATAGATGCCTTCAGCACGTGGGAATGTATTTCAGAATTAATTTGGCTCAAGGGGATCTGGTTTCAGGATAAGTTGTGCTGAGGCTTAGCTTTCCAGTAAGTCGAGTCCTAAGTGTATTGACACTTAACCACAGGTGAATGAGTTTGTACGGTCATTGTCTTAAGACATCTCTTGGAGAAGAGGCTTTGGAAATGGGAGTCTTGGCTAGGTTTAATAGCAACCCTTCTACATTTGAGAAACGAATCGATACTGTTAAAGAATTCAATCAAAGCACTTTGAGGTGCTGGCACAGAACCGAGTATTGAACCCCCTATTTATAGTTCTAGCCATGTGTTCACTTGTTGGTAAGATATAGGCCACCTCTTGTGATTGACAAGCGAGTTGTTTTTCCCGAATAGCTTTCCTTAATTTTAAAACCACTTTCCAAACTTCTTTGAAAAACAGTTGCTCAGTTTTTTTCCCAGTATAGATATAATATTTCATCCCATCAGCTTACACGTTTCTGTGAGCTGTTTGAAGCTCATGATTTTTCGAGCCTACACAATTATTCTGTTATGATGAGTCATTCTCCTAATTTACATATTTGATTTCAGTTCTCCAACATGGCCACAATGAACCCACCACCCCTGAACCATCCAGCCACCTCTCTACAAAGTGGAATGTGGTTAATGTTTGCTGCAACCACTAGGTGGTGGTGGAACCCCACAATACACGACAATACTCACACCATTTATATTCATGGTGCTAATATTCCTGTGTTAATATTGACTGATGGGATACACATTGTTCATACAATTACTGAATTGAGCAATTACTTTGGAGATATTTTTTTACTGAAGCTTTTGCAAAATACATTTTTGCCAAGTATCATTTTGCCATGCATTTGTGTTTAGTCCTTTTGATTTAACCGCATTGTAGTCTGTTTAGGTGACCGTATCTGTTGTAATATAAATCCGGGATCAATTAATCAAATACAAATTAAAAACGAAACCTTATTGTCTCCATGCTCAAACTACCCGGAGGTGCGAGTAACCACAGTCAAGCGGCGGAGACCTTTGGCCAAATCACTTGAGATTCTCCTGATCTTGTCAGATCTCAAAGGCTATGTAGGGTTGGGTCTGAACAGAAGCAGGTTGCCATCTGACTGGGGCTACGCTGTGGGCAGCTAAAGGTGTACTGCAGCAAATCTCGTGGTTGTGCTGTACTTCTCTGGTCCCATATCTGTGCTCCCCACCGTCCATCAACCCGCAGTGACCACTGTCATAAAGTATAGTCAAACAACCCTTGTGACCGACACGGTGCGTGGAGGCGGTATTCATCCAGTAGCCGGTTGACAAATGGCTCTACAGTCTTTTTTGCCATTATGAGCTTCCTGAACCACCTGGCCACCTCTGTGCAAATTTATTAAAACAAAATGTTACAGAGAATGCAAGGAGAGGCTAACATTTGCAGTGTGCTCTTTTGAAAGTTTTATAAAGTTGAACTTGACAAAGTGGATTGGGTGCTTGGGTAATTTATCATATTAAGTCCAAGTGTTAAGTTGATGTATTTAGCTATTACAGCCACTGGCATGGAAGTTGTTTGAAGAATTTCGTATGACATACAGTCCTATATACGCTGACACATCTGAACTTATTAAATCAAAATTGCAGCCACATAGTGATTTGAATCACTGCAATGTTTTACATTTATAAATGTATAACTGATGTGACTGGATAGTTCCGAGTGATTATGTGTATGATGCAGCGCTCGGCCAGCGCTACTGAGTCCCGAGTTTGATCCCTGATGCTGGGGATTTGTCACGAATTGATATTTATTTTGAAACATTCAGCCTGCACTGCTGAAACCCTGAGTTGGATCCCTGGACTGGATTTGATTGTCTCTCACAATTCGGTGTTACTTTCGGAACATCGAGCTAGCTCCACTAATGCTTTGGGTTTGAGCCCCAAGGTTGGATGCCTCCTCAACATACCGATGTCAATATTGCAGCATTGAGCCAGCATTATGGAGATCTGGCTAGTTGTCAATTATGAATTGTATTGGAACATCGCGCCCAGCAATGATGGGCTCTGAGTTTTAGCCTTGGGCGGGGTGTCTGATGGGTTTTGTGTATCTATTGGAGCACTGCCCAGTGCTACGGATAAGCTTTGAACTGGGCCTTTTTACGACTATACAAAAATATGAATTACACCTTACGTTGAAATGCAATCTGTAATTATATAATTACCAACCAGACTGAACATTTAATCTCATCCGCACGGTATTCAGCCACCACACAGCGGGTCACTACATTTCCCTTTCCGCTTCTTCCTTCCCGCTGCTCGACTTGGGAATTCCCCTTCTTATCACCCAAGCTCAAAAGTAACAAGAAACGTGTTAACTCTTATCAAGCACAACTTTATTAGTGCGGTTTGTTCCTGGCAACTTGGTATTTTGGGACCTTGGGCCTGTGTTTGCCAACAATTATATATATAAAATATATATTATTTAACGGTGTTATAAATGGAACCCAAAGTTATAGAGGTGGGTGTATTATCAAGCATGTTGGTTCGCATGTTTAGCCACAAGTATGTGTGGTTAATGGGAACTTGATGCCTTGCAAAAGGTATCTATTTGGCGTTTGAACATCTTAACGCCTATTTTTTTCATCATTTGGGATGCTGGCAAAAAGGTCCCATAAATACCTCTCAATGTTGATGCAATTGTTGGAAGGTTGAGTCCGCAGATTTGATAATTATCCGAAGTGGAATTACTCATGTTGGCTGTCTTCAGGGCAGACACCTTCACCAGGTCCTCTTTAAGTCCTGAATTTAAAGGCCGTGCATAATTGATTTTATATTCACTTTTGTATTCATATGAAAGTATTTGTACAATTTATTTTTTATTCATTGCCAAAACTGGCACAGTTATCACAAACCTTCCACTCCCAATGTTCTCATTGCCCTATGAAAGGATATATTTTACAGTTGAACTTATCAAAGCAGCACCGGTGTTGTCTTGCTCGCTTTGTGTATTCATAATTATAATGTGCTGACCTACTGATATTTCCTACTGTTAGCTGTGTGCTGACCCGACTCACATTATTCGTTGCATTAATAATGTGCCGACTTGCGCATTCACTATTTTAATTTTTATTGTAATTTATCAGCCGATGTTGTCCTATCTCTATTGCCCATTTCACACACGCATGCATGCACACACACACACAAGTGGGTACGCACATCGCATGTGCTTACGCATTTTGACGATGGCAATGTTAGCTTGTAACGTGCCGCATAGTATCCGCTCACGCCCGCAGAGAGAGAATGATTAAGGCACGTGGAAAAAAACACAGATAAGAGGGAAGGGCAGCCAGGCGGAGAGCCACGAGCAACATTTTGCCCAAGCTCGGTGGCCCTCTATATATCACGATGTGTTCAGCCAATTCGGAATATTTTTTCCTGATCATTAAAATATGTATTTCTACTGGAGGAATCCGATGAGCTGTAAAGCTCTTTTTCACAGATGTCCGGTAGGGGGCGGGTGAGAACGTTACAACAACAAACAATACAAAAAAACACAATAGCAGTGAAAAATACGACAAAAGGTAAACAAATCACTTACAATATACAAATAAAGTCAAACTAAGCATTTTTTTGCATTACCAGGTACAGCCCCCACTGAGCTATGAGTTCTTTAAATTAATGGATGTTTATAGGGTTTGGGTTGTGCATTTGTATGAGACAGAGAGAGAGTGCACGAGTCTGCGTGTATTATTTTGTGTGTGTTAATGCAATAATGTGGATTTGTTGAGGCACCTATGTGCATATGTGCATGATCGCACATTATGGGGGAGCAGTGGCATAGTGGTAAGCACGCTGCGCTACGAATCTGGTGACCTCATTTCGATTCACATCCATGGCTAAATTCACTGGCAAGTGATACAAATCTATTCCTGATCCTCAATCTTAAATGATTACCTGGAGCCTTATGTAAACATAAGTACTGCGGAGACGAGGGTTGCTCAGCGTAATGCTTTCTATACCACCCCCTCGTGCACTATTTCAGTTCTTAATATATGCTGTCTAATAGCACTTACCCCAACAGTTTGTTAAAGGCTACACGGGTGATCTTTGTCTTTTGTGTGCCCTACCTAGGCTTGTCTGTCGGAGGTGCACAGCAACATGTGGGTGCGGAACGGCCTGCAGATCAAAGGGCAGGCTATGACCTATGTGCAATCCCACTTCTGCAACTCCATGATTGACCCTGACATCTACCTACTGCAGGTAATTGCTAATGACACACATCTTACCCATTGCAGTTTAAATCTTGACTTAAAGCTTTCGTGACTGCAGGAATTCATACTCTTTGGGTCTTTCAATCTTTTTTCCTATCTACGTGACTTTACCTAAAGACCCAAAGAACATTGAAGGTTAATTGCTCACATAACAATAACCGCCATTCGCCACAGAGTGGCAGTGACGTCACCATGGCGGTTGTGCTAGACCAGGTGCGACTTGAGGCCATGAAGCATCAAAGGCTCGCTGGCAGGAGATGATGGGACAGACTCAGGTGCAATGGGTTGACTGACTGCGATGACCCGCAGATGCACCACCTTTGCTTCCCACTGTGCCAACTTGCTGCGTTTTAGCCACCCAGCGCTCCGCTCGTTGTTGTGAGCATTGTTCCTCCGATGCTCATAATATTTGCACTTCTCACCTGCTTCAGGTGATAGATAATACCACGCAATTAACCTGCTGCAGGCGATTGCTACAACATACATCTATCCTGTTCCCAGTAATTGCTGACAGTAGAAACATCTTACTTGCTGCAAAGTAATTTCTAATTATATACATGTTTTACCTGCTGCGGGTAATTGCTGATAACACATGCATAATCACCAGCTGCAGGTTAATTGCCCATGACACACATGGCACCTGCTGCAAATACATACTTTCTCAGTGACTTCTTCAATAGCCCATGTCTTCCACCATTCACCAGATGTTGCTCATATACGCTGTGTAAAGAGTGGTTCGTCACATGTCAATCATCTGATATAATTATACATCTTAACCATCAGCTTTTGGCTGAGTCCGATTAAGTTAAAAGAAAGTTTTTTTTGTTTTAAATCAGGGTTTTTTTGTGTGCGTGCACTCATTGGTAACCACGCCGAGACAATCAATCTCACTACACATGACATAGGTTAATCACATATGACTAAAGCCTGCATGCAAATACATATTCTCAGCCATGTTGGCTCAAAGCTCCTACAAAACAACAACACTCAACACACTCGTCATATAACAATGTCCCCTTTAAAGGAACATATATAAGTGGCGACCTTCTAGGCAATTGCCCTTCATGGCATGTAACTTGATGCACCATCTCCTAATAAATAATTTGTTTACTTTCAAAGCTCTATGGAGTGACTGACTCCTGCCATGGTAATGCAGAATATCTACCACTGCTTCAGGATCACGATCAACAATAGGCATAACCCCTTAAGCTTGCCTCGGCAAGGGAGAAACGTTGACCTTTGACAAACCAACCGGTCATGTCCTAGTTCTCTCTAATGAAGTGTACTACGCTTCTCCGCCTTTGCCAACCTTCATTGATCAACATGGTGAAGTATGGTCAAACAACCGCCACGATCGACTCGGGCGTCAGGAGGCCTGCATTCAGCGTCATATTGACAGCAGGCTGTACATTACACTGCTGCAGTCGTGTTTTGCGATTAAATGCCTTGTTTTTTTTACGGTAACATCCTGATTGTAACTGATTGTATGGAACCGGTCATGTGTAGCTTATCTCAGCTTAAATCTCATTCACCGCATTATTAGTTGGATGAGAATGTGTTCAGTGGAGAGGGTTAATGTCGGCTCCGTGTGTCTCCTGCTGCCTGTAGGTGTGCGCCTGCAAGCTTGACCCTGACTTCTTCATATCCTCGCTCTTTGAGAGGTGGGTACAAGAACCACAGTGAATTATTTGATTCAATTAGCAGACCACTCTCCTTTATTCATGGGGGAGGGTGTGGTGGTATAGTGGTTAGCGCATTGCACTATGAACCCGTCAACTTGAGGTTGATTCGTGGGTAATGGCTAAAATCAATGGAGAGTGAACTCTGAACCGCGCCTGGGCCTAACTCCTTTGTCAGCCGGTACTGACCAGTGTGGTAAAGTATAGTTACGCAACCAAAATGACTGACATGGTGTGTGGAGGCTTTCATCCAGCATCAGATTGACAAATGATTTTAATTATAGAGTTAATTGTAAGGCTGGCCTTTTGATTGATGCTCACTTTGACCAGTCTTCAGTTGCCTCCTTGTTGCTCTGCTACTGATATTCTCATCATCATTACCACAGCCACTCTTTCGTCATTGATGTGTCTTCTTGGCATCTTTGCTACTGCTGCTTAGTACAGCCACTCTGGTTGTTGATCAGTCTCTTTCTTACTTCCTGTATATACATCTCATTGATTAATCTCCTTACCTCAGCAACTCTTGACTACCTCTGTCACAATAGTAGGTATAGCCACTCTTGTGGTTGATCTGTCTTCTCCTTGTGTCTCTGCTGCAGCTGCTGTCATGGTTATTAGAATACATTTATTTCTCATCGTCACTCCCAAATCTTATTTTTTCTGCTTACCGCTGCGACAACGTTCGTTGTTCTCAGGAGTTGCTTGTTTTGATTCTGCCTTTAATTTCTGGAACATGGTCTCCACGCTCGGTTGAATCCTATTATTGAAGTGTCTTGCTGCCTACGCTGCACGACAAAATATTCACGGTTTTTATAAGTCTTAAGTACATAGCAAGTCATTATCTCCTCTATATCCAAGATAGTGGACTTGCTAATGGTTGGTGTACTCCGTGTCCTCTCTAGTCCAAGGTAGATTCATGGTGGTAGATTTTCACATCGATGGTCTACTCAGTGTCGATCATGAACCTAAAAATGGTTGATCTCTTCCTTGTGCTGTGCAGATTTTAGAGTCAAGTAATGATCTGGCCAAATCGATTAGGATACACAAACCATCATGCCACTCCTCTTCATGTTCATCTCTTCCTTGTGCCCTGCAGGTTCAAGGTGGTGGACATGCTGACGATTGCTTCGAAGCACCAGAACATGGCTCTGGAGCCTGAGCACGAGCGCTCCATGCTGGAGGGAGCCCTTACCTTCCTGGTGCTGCTCTTGGGCGTACGGACGCATCTAGGTATCAGTAATGGTCAGTCTGCACGCACGCATGCGTATTTGGTGGTGTCGGGCCAAATGGCTGTAGATCAGGGTTTCTCAAATTCCAGTCCTTGTAGTACTCGGCACGGTCCACCTTCCCATGTTTTACCAGTCTGCATTCAGATACGAAGTATGTCATGACTCGTTACATGTGCCGCACCGCTGTTAAACGCTAGCCTCACATGAAGTAGAAAGTGTTTCTTATCAGCACGCTCTACGTCACCTGGGGGGATGCTCACGCCCATACCCGCACGTGTGATATCGATCTTAATTTGAATCGGCAAACTCTTCCATCACTCGAGGCTCACGTACTCGCACTAGATGTCAGTGTTAATTTTAATGAGTTCTCTGTATGTTTGGTATGACAAACAAAGACAAAGATCCCCCCCGTATAGCCTTAACAGACTGTTGGGGAAAGTGCTGTTAGTGAGCACCGAATAAGGCCATTGCGGCACACGAGGAGGTGGATGGTCGGCACCACGCCGGCTGCTTTTGTCTCCCTAGTGGTACTTGTCGACCTTGGAAAAGGCCAGAACCAGTTCAGATAGTTATCATGAGTGTTGGCCGTGAGCGGGAATCGAACTCGGGCTGCAGGACTTGTAGCGCAGTACGCTAACAACTCCGCCACCGCTCCTCAGTGATGTATGACAGTGGCGTACATACACACAGTCTTAATTTGACCTAGATCAGTCTGTCATGTAAAATGGCATTTTAGAATGATCAGGCATGTGTAGCTTGTAACCACTGAATTTGTATTTTAACGGAGATAAAATTGGTTTCCTTGGAGAAAAACACTGTGGTGCGTCACGGGGATTGATGTTGAGAAACCCTGTCCTAGACCATTCATCATTCAAAGCTCAAACAAGTGTTGAAAGGTGCTCATTTCCAACGTTACTCCGAAGACAGGATTTGATTGTAAATCCACTGTCTTATAGCCAAGGCCAGTCTATTCTTCAGAAGACCACCATTTACTTATCTCACAGTCGTAATAATTGTGTTGACCCCAGAAGGATGAAGAACTCGGTTGACCTCCGAGATTTACGTTTCTTCTGCATGTATTTATGTTATATATATATTTTTTTACAAGTTGATAATGATGACAAACATTAAACAAGGATTGACCTGCCTTGGTGGGTCATTGAGATCACACTCCTGTCTTGCTAGCACCACCAGTCTTCCTGGGTTTGGGTCTGAGCAGCACCATACTCTTGATGAAACGAGGCACACAAAACAAACATTCTTTAATATACTTGTCTCACTTAATTAGGCTTAGCCCAGCTCCAAGGGTTGACATTTACAAACATGTCGGATGACTGACCATGCGGTGAACCGTACTCTCGAATAGGAAGGAGCAATGACTTGGTGGCGAGAGAGGCCTATTGTAGTGACTATAGATGTTTGTATTCAATGATTACAGCCACAGTGTGCAATCATGTGCTTCTTAACCACCAGCTTCTATCTCACTTTTGTGCAGAGAGTGTTTTTAAAAGGATTTTTTTCCCCGAAAAATCCATCACTGATGACGATTTTATTTTCTGGGAGGTGCAACTTACTAGCCATTAGCTGTCGTTCGGTTTCACATTAATATTGGCAGGGCTTATAGTTAAGGGGCTCAGAAGTATAGATATAGTCGCGTCTGAAAACAGCGCTGATGGTAGTCGTATATCCCGTTGAGAGACACTAAAAGGGGCATTGGAAAGTGTCTTGCATGCAGGGACAGTGTGTGAGAACATCTCAAGCCGGTCGTTATGGTGATTTATTAGCTTTGAGTATCATTCATTATCTCCCCAATAAATTGGCCCATTAGCTCCCATTTTGGTTGCAGCTGTAATTTTTCGTCATTTTTATTAATTACTTTGTAAAGTTAATAGCGTCAGCGTGAGGTGGGGGTGTTGGTCGATGAAAAGAAGGAGTGCTCCTTCTTATGGGGTAGGGTCTCAATTTACTTTTATTTTTTTTGTCTTTGCAACGGAAGGATGTTTATAAAAAAAATTGCCGGGATGTTGGAATGTGATTTATTTCCCAACGTACGTCAATCTGTCCCCGAACGCTCAGAGCTGTCAATTTCAAGATCGATTTCGATACAAGCAAAATTCTTTTATTTTTTCGCGCCGGTGAAAAATAGAATTGCTCGAAAATTTGAATAATAAAAATACAATTCCCGTCTGCTGCCGGCTGTCGGCTCATAACTTAACCAAACGAATAAAAACGTCGCACGTACGTGCTCTGACGGGCTCGTATGTCATCCAGCGGAATTTTTTTATTTCAAATTTTCTGCATTTCACGCACCCTGTGCGCGGAGCGCTTTTGTCATAAATTTTAATGAATTAATTGTGCGCGTGATTTGGGTTTTGTTCAACTTATCCATGTCATAATTTTTAGGTTTTTTTTTTCAGTTTCTCCTGCAGGGAGTTTTCTCTATCTAACACACCAATTCATTTGTCTAATAAATTGGTCATTTGTGAATTTTTATTGATTTCTTAAAAATTGTCAAATGGCTTCAAACATTTCAAGCGTCTCTTTATTCAAACGAGCAATGAGCAGTGCTCATCTTCAGTGACAGCCCTTGTTCACAAATGAAAATTCCTCCTTCCCTTGCTGGGGCCTGTACTATAGTGGTAGCTTGCACTGCAGTGGTTGGAGTGCTCGTTTCACAGTGAGTAGGTCGTTATGTCAAATACTGGTCAATTTAGACAATTTTTACTCTTGAGTCAATTTATTTATTGGCTGGGCAATTTCCGCATGAGTATGATTTACTTAATTTTTGTGGCACTACTCTGCTTAGCTTCTTAGATCTGATTAGATCAGGTGCATTCTGGGTGATTTCTTTCATTGCCTGGTCCCCCGTATTAAGAGCCACCATTGAAGTTGAGCAGTGCCTTGAACCTGGTGACCTGAGTTCAATTAATGGCCACGGCTCTCGTCAGTGGTGAGTGACGTCTGAACCCATCCTGGGCCCTATCTTTACCAACCTGCACTGGCCAGCGTGGTGAAGTATGGTCATCCAAGCCCAAATGACTGACACGGCGTGACGTAAGACCTTGATTTATTCGTGTATTGACAAAGGGCTACACATTTAAGTTAGAAGATGAGCACAGTATTGAGTATGAGCGAAGACTCACTTTGATGACGTTACTTCTTGAGTGAGCATTGTTACTTTTGTGGTTGATGGCGTGTAGTGTGTTCGGCAGGGATGTCTGACGAGGAAGCTCTGCGGGCTGAGATGGTGGCACAACTATGCATGAGTGACAAGACCCACAGCAACCTGCTCGACCTCATATCCTTTCAGCTGCTGCAGGGAGACGAGAGGTATAGAACGGCCGTGTCAGTGCTGCACTAAGGCTCTGAGTAAGCGGGCAGGAGGCTCTACTAAACTTGTGTTGTCATGCCTTTCTGCTGCCTCGTACTGCGCATGTGTGTGTGTAAAATTGTTCGGCATGTGACTGATTTGATTCGTCGATGAAAGTAGATTTTTGCGCACACGATACCTGCTTCAAATTCTGCATGTTGGAATCAATTGCTTTCAGTCCAAGGTAATGGCAGTACAGTACAGTTAGCGCACGACGCTACGAGCCCAGGTGGCATCACCGTCGAGTTTAAAATCAACATTAGTTTCGAGTGCAGTATTTGGCTGCTATGAATATCGACGTGATAAGCCACTTCTTTAAGCTTTCATCTGTGATAGCCAGGTCGCTTTTGAAAAAAGAGCTACATAGCTCTGGGCCTTAACCTGGTAAAATAAAACATAGCTGTTGTGCGTTAACTCTCCCAATACACCGGTATGTTGTAGTAGCAACTAAGTGGCATGTTTTGTTTACGTGACAAATCTTACTAATTGGGGGTGTATCGGGTAGTGGGTGGGGTTAAATGACGCTTTTATATTTACGTGATCGAACCCCCCAAAAAAAGCTTTGTTATGGATAATATTGGTCGCTAAAGCCTACTGCTGCGTGTTAAACTGAGTTAGTTAATAGTTGGTTGGAGTTTCCTTGACCGTCATGGCACATCCCAGAAAACCCCAACCCCAAGAGTGGCCTCTCGCTTGGCAGCATCTACTTTGAGTCGATGCTGGCATCCGTGGCCACCTTCAAGGCTCCCGTGCTCGAGCCCGGTGGCACCATGCAGCAGGGGATGTACACACCCACACGTGAGTGCCTGTGCGGTGTGTGCGGAGGAGAATGGCTGCGCGAGGATAGCCACGGGGATATATGTGGATAAGGGAAATAATAAGATGTATACACACACGCACAGATGAGCACTTGCTGATGTACAGTCTGAAAGAAGTTCAACATACATGTGAGCGACTGTCCACTGTGTGCAGAGAGTTAATGTATGGGGATGGATATCAGAAGAAAGGTGCAGGTTACCTGTAAAATAAGTAAGAGAGGCACACACAGATGTGAGAAACTGTGCTCTTTGGGGAGCAAAGCGTACATGGGATTGATATAAGAAGATACGTGTGTGTGTGTGAGATGTAATATCGAAAGTGTTAGCTCTCTGATTTGATTTTTGGTCGTACCGTGTGCTATTTGGCACGGTTTTGCTGCACATGCTGGGACCTTCTTCGGATCATGATTTGAACCTCAGTTCCTCAACATGCTGAGAACCGAAGAAGCTCCCAGCATGTGCAGGGAAATGTCGGACATCGTGCCGAACAACACGCAGTGCAACCTGAAAATGCATCGGGGAGCTACACAGCGCAAGCGTGACAACCTACGCAGTAGTATTCTTATGAGATGCACACACACAGATGAGTGACTGTCCGTTAGGAAAAGACTGAACATCAGCATGAATAGGGGAAGACGGGACTCGGTTGGGCACAGAGTAGTAATACATTACTTGGTGGTGATTTGTGAGTAAAATCCTTGAAGACTAAATTAAACCAGCAGAAGACAGCTTAGACGAGATGGAATAAGGGATGCACACGCATGGTGAGGTGGGCATGGGTAAGGGCAGATGGGACTCAGACGCTATGTGGTAATTGTCATCATTCGTATGGCATTTGAAAAGCAATGGCCCGAGTTTATAACGGTGTTGAGTTTGGAGAAGCCATTCCATGGCATCTGGGGTCGCCAGATGGATTCCATTTGTACCCCATGCACAAGCGTGTGTTGGGCAATGATTGGTGATGTGAGTGAGGGATTTATTTTCAACCAGTCGCAATTAGACTCTCATAGACTCGCATGGAGACCCTACAGATTCATACAGGACCCATTGACTCGCAGACTCACGCATAGACCCATACTGTGCAATATGATGTGACGTGAGCAATGGTTTGCACTTTACCTGCACTCATAATTGAGTGATTTCTTTGTTCCCCAATCACAGAGGAGGAAGTCCCACTGCCCATGTGTTGATCTAACACATAACCAGTGGTGGTCAATACACCAAGCACTGTGATTCATCTTGGTGGATCTCAATGAGCCCCGCGATTCCACCGGAAAACTACGACCAACAATTACCTGGATTTAATCAGAATCAGAAAGGGGTTTTATTCGCCATGAAAGTTCGCACAGACGAGGAAATTTACTTTGGTAGGAAGGTGCATACATTCAACATATAGTAAACTTAAATATAAAATAAGTGGTATACAAGTCTAAACTATACTAAAGGTACAAAGTCTAACTAACACTAAGGGGCTAAAGTATGTAAAATTTTGAATAAATATAAAGTAGCTATAAGATACAATCTAAAAATACAAATAGGGTAACATAGTGTAAATATGGCAAGGTGTCATTTTGTAGATAAAATGTTAAAGTAAGTGTAAGCCCTTGGCCTTGTTGAAGAGGCTAGCAGCGGATGGGAAGAAACTGTTTTTGTGGCATGAGGTTTTGGTCCTGATGGACCGCAGCCTTCTGCCGGAGGGGAGTAGCTGGAACAGAGAGTGTCCAGGGTGAGAGGAATCGGCCACAATCTTCCTCGCTCGCCTCATGGTCCTCGAGGTGTGCAGGTCCTCGAGGGTTGGTAGATTGCAGGCAATCACCTTCTCAGCAGTGTGGATAATACGCTGCAGTCTGCTCTTGTCCTTGGCAGTGGCAGCAGTGTACCAGACGGTTATGGAGGAGGTGAGGATGGATTCAACGATTGCTGTATAGAAGTGCACCATCATTGTCTTTGGCAGGTTTAATTTCTTCAGCTGCCATAGGAAGTACATCCTCTGTTGAGCTCTCTTGGTGAGGGAGCTGATGCCTTTAGAGTATGATGTTCAGTTCCCACTTGAGGTCCTGGGAGAGTATAGTACCCAGGAAGCGGAAGGACTCTACAGTTTTGACTGGGGAGCCGCACAGGGTGATGGGGGTGAGTGGGGCTGTATTCTTCCTGAAGTCCACAACCATCTCAACTGTCTTTAGAGCATTTAGCTCTAAGTTGTTCTGGCTACACCAGGTCACCAGGTTGTCAGCTTCCCACCTATAGTCTGACTCATCCCCACCAGAGATCAGCCCAATGAGGGTGGTGTCATCCGCAATTTTCAAGAGTTTGACGGACAGATGATTGGAGGTGCAGCTGTTGGTGTACAGGGAGAAGAACAGTGGGGAAAGGACGCAGCCCTGAGGAGTTCCGGTGCTGATGGACCTGGAGTCAGAGACTTGTGTTTCCAGCTTAACGCACTGCTTCCTGTCAGACAGGAAGTCTGTGATCCACCTGCAGGTGGAGTCGGGCACGTTCAGCTGGAAGAGCTTGTCCTGAAGCAGGGCAGGGATGATGGTGTTGAAGGCAGAGCTGAAGTCCACAAACAGGATCCTGGCGTAGGATGTTGGGGAGTCCAGATGCTGTAGGGTGAAGTGGAGGGCCATGTTAACTGCGTCGTCCACAGACCTGTTGGCTCTGTAGGCAAACTGAAGGGGGTCCAGGAGAGGGTCTGTGATGGCTTTGAGGTGTGCCAGAACCAGGCGCTCAAAAGACTTCATTACCACAGAGGTAAGGGCGACCGGTCTATAATCATTTAGTCCTGTTGGCCTTAGCTTTTTGGGCACAGGGATGATGGTGGAGGACTTGAGACAGGCTGGTACATGACATGTCTCCAGGGAGGTGTTAAAGATGTTGGTGAACACCGGAGACAGCTGGTCAGCGCAGTGTCTGAGGGTGGCTGGAGAGACAGTCCGGCCCAGCTGCTTTGCGTGGGTTCTGCCTCTTGAAAAGTCTATTAACTTCTCCCTCCTGAAAGGAGAGAATCGTCTCTGTAGTAGGGGTGGGGGATGGGGCCTCTTTGGTGGGAAGTGGTAGTTCAGGACAGTCCAATTGTCTTTCAAATCTGCAGTAGAACTCGTTCAGGTCGTTGGCCAGGCGGGAGTCGTTAGTGGTGTTGGGTAACTCTGAGCTTGTAGTTGGTGATCTGCCTGAGCCCTCTCCAGACAGAAGCAGAGTCGTTAGCAGAGAACTGGTGTTTCAGTCTCTCTAAGTAGTCGTTTAGCCTCTCTCACCGCCTTGCTAAACCTGTTCTTCGACTCCTTGAATCTGTCTCTATCCCCACTCCTAAACGCTTCCTCCTTCTCCAACCTCAACCTTCTGAGCTTTGCTGAGAACCAGGGCTTGTTGTTGAAGTTCACCCTGGTACCTTTTGGAATACAGCAGTGCTCACAGAAGCTGATGTACGACGTCACAGCCTCTGAGTTCATCCAGACTATTGGTAGCAGTCGTGAACATATCCCAGTCAGTACAGTCCAAGCACATCCGCAAATCCTCCACAGCCTCACTGGTCCACTGTTTAGATGTCCTCACAGCAGGTTTACAGAGCTTTACTTTCTGCCTGTATGCAGGAATCAGGTGGCCCATGGCATGGTCTGAGTGGACCATGGCATGGTCTGAGTGTCCCAGTGCTGCTCGGGGGACGGCGTGTTAGGCTCTACTGACTGTAGTGTAGCAGTGATCCAGAGTGTTCCCTTCTCTGGTAGGGCATTTAATGAATTGTATGTATTTGGGGAGTTCGTGGCTGAGATTACCTTTGTTAAAGTCACCAAGTACGATAACCAGCGAATCTGGATTTGCTCGCTCCACACTCAGAATCTGGTCGGCTAGCATGTGTTGGGCCTCTTTAACCTGAGGACCCGGCGGCAAGTAAACTCCGACCAAAATCAGCGACGCGAACTCGCGAGGCGAGTAGAAAGGTTTACAGTTTATAAAAAATGATTCAAGGAGCGGAGAACAATGTTTCAGAATCACTGTGACATCTACACACCAGCCACTGTTAATGTAAAAACAAATACCACTGCCTTTCGTCTTGCCGGAGAGTGCTATGTCACGATCCGATCTTACAAGATGGAATCCTGCCAATTGTAGCGTAGTGTCCGGAATCAAATCACACAGCCATGTCTCCGTGAAGCACAAAACAGAAGATGAAAGAAAGTCTCTGTTTTTCACCATCAGTAGCTGAAGTTCGTCCATTTTGTTGCACAGTGAACGTACGTTGGAGAGGAAAAAGCTCAGAAGCACTGTTCGGATCCCGCGTCTGCGTAGCCGTACGAGAGCCCCCGACCGTTTACCCCATGGACGGCGTTTCACTGCTTGACCAAAGCCTAGCGTGGTTTTGACTAGAATGCCCACTAATTCTGCCGCTGGAAGCAGAAAAGTGGGAAATAAATCCACAGGAGTTGTTTCCCTGATGTTTAAAAGTTCGTCTCTTGTTAAGGAACTCCGAAAATCTTGGCAAAACACTGAATTAACAGACAAAACAAGACAACAGGGCGCACCGACCGGCTGAGGCTACCATCATCGGCGCCATCTTCTCACCAGCACTGGTGTGCTGAACAGCAGGCCTCTCTCACCAGCACGGATGTGCTGAACAGCAGGCCTCTCTCACCAGCACTGGTGTGATGAACAGTAGGCCCCTCTCACCAGCACAGGTGTGCTGAACAGCAGGCCTCTCTCGCTAACACCGGTGTGCTGAACAGCAGTTCCCTCTCACCAGCACGAGTGTGCTGAACAGCAGGCCCCTCTCACCAGCACAGGTGTGCTGAACAGCAGGCCCCTCTCACCAACACAGGTGTGATGAACAGCAGGCCCCTCTCACCAGCACGGGTGTGCTGAACAGTAGGCCCCTCTCTAATATACGACAGACCCAATACTCTTGCCATCTATATGGGTCGAAGTTATTATTTTGTATGTATGAATTGCCAGTGCAGGATTTTTATCACCTATCAGCTGTAATCTAAATTGTTGTGTGCTTATGTTAGTATTTGTCCTGAGATGCACAACTTTTTTTTTGCAATCCACCCATGGATCGCGATCCATGTATTGGGCACCGCTAGGTTCCCATTGTCCCATTGAGAAGCCAGGTGGTTATTTTGTTGGATTTTCAATGTGTAGCAATGAGTTACTACGATGCAGTTGAAAATGCACCATACCATATAGACATGGCGGTAGTTTCTTAGTGAACTCCTTCATGGCAGCAAAGATGGAATCATTATGCCTCTACTACAATTTAGAAACCATGAGAGGCACATATTCCCAGAGTTCATTGGTGCGGGCTTACTAAACAGTTTGTAATAAATAAATATACAATAATACTTCACAGTTATTGAGAGGGCCATGATGACGCTCGCAGGTTTAGGATTGAAACGCAGGATAACAACGTTGATGCCCAAGTGCATCAATGCAGTCATTTCGAGCCCTCTGTACCACCAAGCCATCTCAATATTTGAGCCACGTCAAATAAACCAAGAACCTTGACACATTTTGGGCAATGGCTCTTATTCATAGAAGAGTTTGTGCCCTGCAGAAAGCACCACTGCCCGAAACATCTTCCATTGCAAACATTTCCCTTTTAAGGCTACGATGTTGTTTGATTAATGTGTTGCATTTTTTGTTAATTCTTGCTTGTGTGCCACTGGCAAACAGCAGCGGCATTGTCATCACCAAATACATTTGTCAGATAAATTGGCGATACAATAATAAAGTGAGAGTTGCGTGCTCGGGGGAGTGGCAGGGGGCTGTAAAATACGGAACAGCCGTCATAAGACATTCCGTGACTCGCTGTGAACGCCAATAGCCTTGACTCTCGTGAGTGTGCACCAACGCTGGAACGATCGAGCCCTGGAGCAGGTCACCCTCGTAGCAACGACCTCCCCCCCCCCTCCCAAATGATAATAATTATAATAACGTGTAGCGATTAGACCAAAAAAAACAACACGCCACTTTCTTCACAATGAGAAGTGACTGAGCCGCTCTCACCCACAATCTGTATTTATCATTTGTGTCGCAGGTCCGAGTCATTTTTCGTGATTGAAATTGCAATGTCGAGACAGCCTGGAAATATACGTTGATTGCTTTCTGCAGCCACACCATGTAATTTTGTTGTTTTTAATTGTGTTGTCGATGCGAGTGTTGGGGGTGGGCGTATAGGTGAAGAATGGGTGATGTAGTGATGCCCACACTGAAAAAATCCCAGTAACCTGAGTTCAATACCTAACCATGGTGTACAACACAGGTAGCAAGTGGTCTTGGAAATGACGCTGTACTTTCTCTCGTTCGTAAAAATACATAGTAATGTACAGATCTTTGTCAATCTACCACTGGATAAGGGTGCTGTGTCGCTAATGGCGCTATGTTTGGCCATACTTTACCATGCTGATTTGTATGGGATTATAAAGTGCCAGGGCAGGTGGAGGTGAGGGGGGCAAATTCGGTTCCGATTTCACTTACCACTGTAGATGGCCGTATCTAGGAATCGAACTCAGGTCACGCAGTTGGTTCGTAGCGCAGTGCACTTACCATCTTTGCCACGCCCTCTCAAGTTGACTCAGCTCTGGGGAGATAAAGGCATCCAGGCATGGTGCTGGTCAAAACCACCTACCTGTGTGCCATGCTGGCATTGCGAGGTGTTCACTAAATATTCTATGTAGGCTACGCTGTGAATCTTTGTATAGATATGTGGATGCATCACATTCGGCCTGATGGTGCGAATGTACTGCATAAGAAGCATACTATTATTGTTGGAAGCCAACAATAACCGCCTTTTGGAGAGGCTGACCCTACCCGCCATAAGAATGTGGAATTCTCACCGCCGACTAGGGGCCACCAACACAAATGCTTGTCGTGCCACTTGAGCGGGGAGACACTTGGACTATTAATTGTCTCTAAGTGACGTCACATCACGACCATCTCTGCAAATTACTGGGCTGAAAGGGTGATGATTACTAAGGCACTTTACGTTACTCGTGAATGGACAATGCAATTGGGAGCCTGAGTCTGTTTGTGAAAATTGGTTTACGAAATGCGTACTCACATTTTTTTTTGCACACCGGCGCCGCTGATTGCTGCACATTAAGGGGGCATTGTGTGAGTGGGCGAGTGTGTGAGAAAGACAGCGAGCGGGCATGCACGGTTTTTAAGGGGTGGTTGTGGGTTGGTGGTCTAGTTGGCGAGCTTACTGTGCTCCGAAGAACCCCCCCCACGTGATGGCCGTAATCATCCACAAATGCATTGGCACCGACGCCAGACCTGAAATTGCATGCAATTTTCGCTATAATTGAGGTGCACTGTGTGTGTGTGCGCGTGCGTGAGCGTGTGTATGTATAGTGGATGTGGGGAGCAGTAGTGTCGTGGTTAGCACGCTGCGCTACGAACCCGGCGACCCGAGTTCGATTCCTGCTTACGGCCAACACCAATGACGATTATCTGAACCAGTCCTGGGCCTGCCCTAGGTCGACTGAGCCTCAAATGAGAATCTGGTGTAGTAACATAGCCACTGGAGAGACAAAGGCTGCTGGATGTGGTGCTGGCCACTCACCACCTTGTGTGCTGTGCCGGCCTTCATAAGTGCTCGCTAATAACATTTGCCCCAAGAGTCTGTTAAGGCTACATGGGGATCTTTACTATACTGTGGAGGACGTTTTTGTCTTTATTGTATCGGAGAGAGCGGTAGTGCAGTGGTTAGACCAGTCACTACGAACCCGGTGATTTATAAGTCCGATGACCTGAGTTCAATATCTCCCGCGGCTAACATCGTGCCGATTTTCTGAACCGGTCCTGGGAGACTGTCCTAGGTCGGGACGACATTGAGCAGGTGCCAGGTGCTCTGTGAACATGTCGGCATTGAGGAGCAGAACCCCTTAGGTGTGGAGCGTGTGCCATTTCACATTTGTCTCTTGCGTATGTCCGTGCTGGTCTTCTGCTCTGTAATCGTTGCGTTCAAACAGTATCTGTGTCTCTGTTTTAGTCTGTCTCTAATTGTTGTCGTACGCTCCCTGTCTGTTTTTGTCTCTGTCGTAGCACATTTTCCTTTTCTCTGTCTAATACCCCTTTCAGCCTCTTTGAGACTTAGAAAACTTGCAAAGATTTGCGCTGCAAGTTGGGCAGGATAATGGCAGTGCAGCAAGTGTATTTATGAATCTATCTGTGTGGCCCTTTTGGTGTCATTCTCCTGTTGTGCGTGGGGTTTCTCCGGGTTCTCCAGTTTTCATGCACACGACAAACACTTATGAATGGTATTGACCAATCATGCCAAACCAGGAACCCTTCTGAGAAGAGTCTTGAGACTCAATGAAGCTTTCCTGGGCAAATAATTGGAATGATTATGATTACTATTCACACCGGTGACAAAATCACCCATAATGCTCCCAGTCTCACCAGATCACGGAGACTAAGTAGGGTTGATCCTGGAGAGTGCTCGGATTGGTGAATGTCACATATTTTAGGTGGGCAGATATGTGGAAGGCGAGGTTGTAAGGTAAAGAGGGTAAGTATGTGGGTATGTTGGTAATTCTATTTGTAGGTTGGTGTGTTGGTAGGTTGATAGGGAGGTAACTAGTTAAGTGTACAGGTATATGGCTAAGTAGGTAAATAGGTAAGGAACTAGATAAATGGGTATGTAGATAGGTTCATAGGTAAGTAGATATATTGGTGGATTAGTAGATAGGTAGATTGGGGCAGGTACATTTGGAGGATGTGTAGGTGTATGGATCTTTACAATGTTAGAGTGGTTAGTAGGTTGGGGCATATACACATCCATGGGTGAATATCTGAATTGATTGGGAGGATTGTGGGCAGCCTGTGCATCCGTATGACCTACTTCTCACCCCTATCGTTGTCTCTCAGCCGAGGTCTGGGACAAGGAGTTCGACGCGGTGATGGTCATCCTGCGCACCGTCTACCGGAGGGACGTCCAGTCGGCGATGGATCGATACACCGCCTTGTAAGTGCACCCACGGGAACATAACGGAGAACGCTTGAACATAACGGGCGCTGTTGTACATAGTCGTGACATGCGCTATTCTTGGAAGCTCAGCAGTCGTTACACGTGACACTGTTATACGCTGTGTGATGCAAGTGAACACTTGGTGACATTGCGGACGATGGGTTTTGGACAAATGCGTTGTGTGCTCTCGTAGTTGACGGATTGCGGCGAGATGGTCTTCTCAGCGGGGCTCATAATGGCCATGCCAGAGACGCTCAGCCAATGCCGCTAACATTCTAGGGTCAAATACCTGGGCCTACTACCAACCACTTAAACAGTTCATGAGACTTGGGTTGGCACAGCCAGGATCCTGGGTTCAAGCCCCGAGTCTGTGTTGGTCTCATTGGGCTCATAATAGCCATGTCACAGCCACCAAAATGAGTGAGGCCCGTTTAAATCCTGGCTTTCAAACCATGGGTCTGGGTATCACTAAGGAGTTAATAATGGCCATGATTCAGCCCTGTTGAGATATTGCTTTCAATTGCTTGGCCACCATCATTATTATCATCAGCCATGCTCAATCCACTGCTGGATGAAGTCCTCAATTCCTTCGTGCATCTATCACGGTCCTGCGATTGAACAGTCTGTTCAACTCCGACACACAAGCTGATCTCATGGCTCCTGCTTCCACGGTGGTTATCCTCTCACGCAAATTCCGTCCGTTGGCTCGCTCCTACCCACCCGAAACTAAATGGGCTTCTCATGTCTCGTAATTTTGATGTTCTTATCCTGGTCAATGACTACATACAAAAAAAACACAACCTCAGCATGATGTTTGCTTTATAATTTAATTTCAGCCCAGCATGGGGTGCTTATTGTGCAGAATGTAGTGATATTTCGCAGGTGGTGTAAGACAAACCCTTGAGGGATGTTAGGCATAGGCTGATTACAGGGGCGGCGCAACTGAGTGGTGCGTGTTGCTCCATCGCAGGTCAAGTACGGGTCGGTGGGAGACGCAGCTACTTTGTAACTTATCAATATAACTTTAAGGACGCTCGCCCCCTTGCAGCAGAGCCAGCTATGAGTACAGGACTCCTGGGAGGCTTACGCAGATTTTTTCAATTCAAAACTCCAAAGCCAACCAGCGTGAGCGAACCGAGCGCGTGACCACCCTAGGCGTTTTGTGACGATGGATATTATTTTATTGTTGCTCGCAATGTCAGGAAGTTTTGGTGACCCCTGGCTTTTGTTGCAATAACCTCTAGCATCATTCCACAACGTGATAACATATGGCTTCGCTGCCTGCAGAGGGTTCAGATTAAAACTGCTTCTCTCTGTGCCCAAACACCAATAGTACTATTGTGTTATAATTAGTTGAAAAAAAATGCATGAACGTAATTATTAGGCGGGTAATGGTATCACGCAAGCTGCTGTAATACTATTTCCTGAATGTTGAAATCTAATTTCCTCCTGTTTTATTGCCCCAAATTTTTCAATGACAACACAGTTGTGCATCTTTTGCAAATAACATGCATAGTTTTGCAAACAAAACCACAATTAGCACAAAATATGCCACTGTGTAAATATTAATATAAAATTAAACCATTAGTGTGCGTGTTACGGAACGAATGAAATAATTAAGGATAATAATTATGAGTTTCATTTTCACGTCTGTGCACCAGGCTGGTATGTTTGTATTTGTGAGTGAGCATCCGTGCAAGCATTTGTGAATTTTGTGAATGTTTTCATGTGCGAATGTGCAAGATAGTGCATTTGCGGGCACGTGTGTAACTGAGAAGCAGTACTCTTTGGTTCTATTCGGTAAAGTCACGTAAAAAAAACAACAGCGCTGTCCTCGAGACAGTCTGGTACCTTCACCTGATGAAGGCCACTTGTGTTGTGGCCGAAACGTCGTGAATAGTTTTATTTATTTATTTTTTACTTTTTTTGCGTGACTTTACAGAATAGAACCAAAGAGTATGGATCCTTGCAGTCACGAAAGCTTCAAATCTAGAATTGAGCAGCAGTAGTTTAGGGTTCATAATGCTAATGCCAGATACTTGAGTTTAAGCCACGTTATTATTTATTTTTTTTATTTAAAGCTTTCGTAACTGTAGTAATTCATATTCTTAGCTCTTTCGGTAAAGTCACGTTGAAGGGAAACAATAAAATATATAAAACATTAAAAATTCTCACGACGTTTCGACCATAACACAAACGGTCGTAATCAGGTGTGTCGATTTGCATTAATTAATTAATTTCTAGGCGGTGCGTTTATTTATTTATTAAAAAAACGTCAGCGCCACGCGCAGCGATTTGGCAGTTTATTTAGAAGGACTAGTCCATCTATGTTCTGAAAAGGGGAGGGGGCAGACGAAAAATTAATGTATGCTGTCTGAAAGCCACTGTAAGCGTGAACAATCAATTAAGACAGCATACATTAATTTTTCGTCTCCCCCCTCCTCTTTTCAGAACATAGATGGACTAGTCCTTCTAAATAAACTGCCAAATCGCTGCGCGTGGTGCTGACGTTTTTTTTATAAATAAGTAAACCGTTTAAAAATAAATTAATTAATGCAAACCGACACACCTGATGACGACCTTTGTGTTATGGTGGAAACGTCGTGAGAATTTTTATTGTTTTATATATTTTATTATTTTATTGTTTCCCTTTAACGTGACTTTACCGAAAGAGCTAAGAATATTATTTTTATTGTTTACTCAGGAGAGTCCAGCCAAAGTTGTGCTGCAAGGGAAATGTAAAATCGCTTTTGAGTATTTTTTCTAAATTGTAACATTTGGACCATGATACTGGCGTATAGTGGCCAACTCTTGCGAACAATGTCACTGGATTTTTTACATCACCTCTGAAGGAGACGGCGCTTAGTGTTTTTACGGTGAACACAATCGCAGTGTTTATTGGGGAGGCTGCCTGATTCGAACCGTGTACCTCTGCAACAAGCGATGAATGTGCTACCACTGGGGTCTGTGTCACTCTTGGGGCCTCAGTGTCACTGTATGGGGCCCCTTCAGTGGCAAGTTACTGAGCATGCTAAAATGAGAAACTCAGTTTTGCAAGGTCTAAAATGTTCCCCTCGAGTATCGTTTAACTTTTTTTTACATAGCTGTATTCAAGCCAATAATTTCACAAAATGCTGTAGAAATTATTAGGTGCACAGTTTTCATAGTAAACCACAGACAAGAGAGAAGGCAACAATTGCCCAAGCTCTGTGGTTCTATAATTGAATGTTTGATCAACGATTAGTATAACTAAGACGATTGCAGTGTTGAGGATAAATGTCGTTTCGAAGTGATAGATCTCATGTGGCAATGGGCTGTATGATATGTAGTCATGGGCCCTGTCCTGTGGGCCATAGGTCCCTCCCAAGGTGTTAAGGTCAGCATTGCACACACGAGATTTGGTATGTCCAGCACCAAAGACAAAGATCCCCCATATAACCTTTACAGACTATTGTGGCAAGTGCTGTTAGTGAGCACCTATGAAAGCCGGCACCACGCCTAGCCACCATCGTCTCTCTAGTGTAAATGCTTTACACAACTCACGAGGTACTCATTTCAGGCTGAGTCAAGCTAGGGGACCCACAGGACCGGTTCAGATAATCGTCACTGGTGTTGGCCTTGAGTGGGAATCGAATTTGGGTTGCCGGGTTTGTAGTTAAGCGCACTAAACACGACACTACTACTCCCTCCCCGACACGCGCGCACACACCTGCCTTGGCTGCCGCTGCCTTCGTCTCAACAACTTTGCGGATGTGTCAGAGTGGTTTAGGTTTTAAATTTACTTTCCTTTTGTTTTTCACAGATCGGTTTACATTTTTATCACTTTCAGTTAGGATTTTTCAGTTTCAATTTGCAATTCAATTCTTCACGACCGTCGCGTTTTCACAATTTATTAACTCTTGTTTGTTTGCCTCCACATCGCGCCTCCAAATCTGATTACCGCTGATCACATTTAACGACGCCGAGTGTCCGGTGAGCGAAATCAGGGAGAACAAATGTGTCCCATCACTGCCTCCATAACTTATGATACCCACTGTACTTCCGTATTTATCCAGAAAAGTTTCGCCGAGTCTCGGGACTTTTTTCAGGAGGCCCCAATTGCGGGTTTTTTTGGGCGATTCTTTTTCTCTTGTATTTCTGTCTTGTGTGCCTGGGAACTGGTGCATGCCTGAAGAAAACACACGCATGTGATGGGAGAATGCTCAATCGGCACACGCATCACGCCTACTCACTGCATCTCCCCGTACGGTACTGTGGAGGGAAACAAAGGCTGGCTGCTGTCCCTGGTGCTGGCTGTGTCACTCACTCATGTGCCGTTCTGAGCCGAATAGGCACTCACTAACAGCGCTTGTCTTCAATTGTCTGTGTAGGCTTCACGGGGAATCTTGTTTATTTTTTTTTATCGATTTGGATTACACATGGAAGATTGGATGGCATGCCAGTCACCTTGAGCTGGACAAGAACAACTGCAACTGGGGGGGGGTTCCCTTTCAAATGTTTGAGATGATATATGATGGAAATCACTTATCTCGTGGAAAGCCCTGTCACCTCCCTTGCGTAAAGGGCGCCATTTAAAAAACAAACGATTATTGTTATTATTTGTGTACAGCCTCAAGCAAACGGGACGCTTCGAGGGCAGCCCTTGGCCCCCCTACAGAGAGAGGCCCCCCCTGCACCCCCAGTACCGTGGCCTCATGCGGCTTCTGCACTGCAAGACTATGCACATCGTCATCTTCACCCTGCTCTACAAGGTGGGCAATAGCGCCACGTGGTTGTTTTGTGCGTTGTTTTTAACCCTTTCCTGTTCCGAGATGACTGCAACGTTGCAGGGTGGGTGTTCCGTTCACCGCTGAATCTCGGAACGCGCGAGCGGTTTAGTGTTAATTTTATTTGGAGAGGTGGAGTGCCGTTTTTAAACACATTGTACTCACTGCAGAGAACTGTAGCGTCACGACCGCACTCTATGATAGCTGGTGCCAAACTGTGCCACGCGCCCTCCCGCATGGCCTTGTGGGAGCCTCGGTACTGATAAAGGAAAACTGATGACGCACACCTACGTGCTTACATGTAGTCCTCCTTGAGGGTTTGTGAGATATTCTTCTTCCTATGATATGTCCAGTGGCGGAGCCAGGATTTTCAGGTAGGGGGGGAAACCCCTCCAGCAAAAATGATAGGAGCTGTTAGTAAGTAAGGACTTGTTTCTTACTTTTTATTCGACGCGTGTGTGGCGATGGCGCAGCCATCGATCGAGGGTTGAATTCGAACCGCGTTGTGTGATCGGCATCGCGCTCACTGAAGGTGTTGATGCCTTCAGGGAAGTCGTGGACTGTATACGCAACTGCGCACAATTCTGAGTCACTTATAACTGCTTTGCCGTTGCTTATTGCCAATTATGGACTCAGACTATTGTCCTATCATCTCATAGACACCCTGGCACATAATGATATGCTACACAGTGGCAGTGTGGGTTGCAAAATGGCGATTTATTACTAATAAACCCCAATGATCCGATCGAAATTAGGGATTTCGATCGGATCATTGGGGGGGCACGTGCCACCCCACCCCCCCCCCCCCCCCCCCGCAGTGGATATATCCCGGTTTTCTTATACCTCAGAGGTTGCAACCCTTCTTAAACTTGGAGACATTTCATAACTCTCGGTCGTTACAAGTCCCTTATTACAAAACGGGGCAGTATTCAGAAGCACTCGTAGTGTTTTAATCTCCGTCGAATGGTATCGCTCGTCGCAGGCCTTTCCCAGGCGAATGTAGAACAACGGCTACTTGCTAATTCTTCGATGATTTGTCCTTCATTTCTTTTGTTTGCTGGCAAAAGTAGCCCTTTTGCGGTAATCCGACGCTCGGGATGCGCTGGGTGTTTGGGTGCGGGGGCGAGGCGGTGGGAGTGTGGGCGAGCGGGGTTTAGAGTGATTTCACACGTCCGATTTAATTGGCACCGGGCGGTGATTGAGTCTGCCTCGGCGTGGAAAATGCCGTCCCCCTTAATGGCACGGCGAGCGCGTTGGCCCAAGCGTGTACACGTGAGCGCGTGTTCGCGTGAGTGAGTTTGCGTGTGTGATTACGCCTACACGCTGAGCGTGTGATTGCGAGTGTGCTTGCATACATGTGAGTGCTTGAAAGTGTGTGTGTGACAGTGTGCATACACGTGGGGGGCTGTAGTGTAGCGGTTAGCACGCTGAGCTACGACCCTGGCGACCCGAGTTCGATTCCCGCTTACGGCCAATATCAGTGTCGATTATCTGAACCGATTCTGGACTGAGCCTCAAATGAGTACTTGGTGCGGTGGGTAAAAACATCGCCACTAGGGAGGCAAAGGCGGCCGGGAGTGGTGGTGGCCACCCACCCCCTCGTGTGCCGTCCTGGCCTTCATAGCTGCTCGCTAACAGCGCTTGCTCCTATTGTCTGTTCAGGCTATACGGGGGATCTTTGTCTTTTTTGTGTACATGATTATGTAAGCGTGCGAGTCGAGTGGGAGTGTCTCAGTGTGAGATTGCGCGTGCGTGCACGCGTGAGTGAGTGCATGGGGAACGGCGGAGAAGTGACTATAGCATTGCCTTACAAAACCGGCGATCTCTGTACGATTGCCAGCCACGGCTATCGTCAGTGACAGCTATCTGCACCAGTCCTTATCCTCTCTCCTAGGTCAACTCAACCTTAAATAAATAACTGTTTTGATGTATATTCATCAGCACTGAGGAAAAAAAAAGATGACCAGGTGTGGTGCTGGCCACACTGCCACGTCATGTGCTGTGCCAGCTTTAATAAGCACTTGATCGGAAATTACTCATTTGGAATATACGGCAATCATTGCTTCCTGCTGCCAAAACATATCAGGACCCTCCTGCACAAGAGTCATGAGGCCCAGTGATGCTTTACTGGGTTAACAAAAAACAATAAGGACAGCACTTGACCCAATAGTCTATATGCCTACACCGGGGCATCTTAGTCTTTGCTTGTGTGTATACGCGTTTGCTTGTGCTGTGTATGTATGTATGTTGAAATTATTTTGCGCCATATGATAGCCAGCCGTGCTAATCGAAGGTGCGGGAGAAGGACAACAAACACAAAAAAGCAGTTTTAAAGAAATGAGTTTTCAATATAGATTTTAAAATGCATAGCTCCATAATATCGAAAGGAAGAGCGTTCCAGGTGGCCACAAAAGTGCATTTTCAAGCGTGCGATGCGGTGTCCGTCTTTGTTCGATGGCCATCCAAAAGTCGGTGCGCGGATGACTGGAGTTCGCGTGATGGTTTATCCTCCTTGACGAGATCAGCAAGGTGTATTGTGTGTTGACATGACAGGTGGTGATGGACCATCAGAACATGTCGGAGCACGTGCTCTGCATGGTCCTGTATCTCATCGAGCTGGGGCTGGACCAAGCGCCAGCTGAGGAACCAGACCCCCCGGTACCAGCCCAGTGACTCTACACAGTCCATAGGACAATCCTTATCAAACCTAGCGTTTTAGACCACGTGCATACTACACGTTATCAAGCCTACCCCTATAGCACATATGCTGCATATGTTATCAAGCCTAGCCTAATAGCCCATATACTTCTTACACATGTTATCGAGGCTATAGTTATAACCCATTTATTATGCTTATTAATAAGCATAGCCTTATAGCCCATATACTTTACGTGTTATCAAGCCTAGGTCTAGCCCATGCACTATACATACTAATAAATAGCCTATAATACATATGTTATCAAGACTAGTTATAGACCCAATTTGCATTGGCCAGCATGGTGAAGTATGCTCATCCAGCTGTGGATTGTAAAATCGTACATTATGTAATTTTGTGTCCTGTAAATATAAACCTTCCCTTGTTTCCCTGGTGAAAAAATACAGACTGATCAACTATATGGACATTCACAACTAGAGAATTCCCATCGATTCATTCATCCATTCATTGGCACTCCAATCAAAGCATTCTTTCGCGCAGCAGTGCTTGTGTTTTTCTGTGGACGGATGTTGTAGAAGTGCCTTCAGGCTGAGACGGGTGGCGTTTCAGCGGAGGTTATTGAGTGGAGCCCTTGAGCCGACCTTCGGAAACTTTTAAACGCCTACAGCGAAAAATCACCGACACTTGTGCTGATGGTGGGGCTGGGGGGGATTGTTGAGCTGATCGAAGGAGCACTCTCAGCTACCCCAGAGGGCATGTTGTTGGGTAGCACAGTGTGAGGTATGCTTAGTCTCAGAATCCTAAACATGGAAAGAGGTGAGGAATTTGGAATTTTTACATGTGTGTGTTTATGTGCGCAGCTGTTAGTGCGTTGCACTATGAACCTGGTGTCCTGGCCACACCAGTGACGATTACCTGAACCGATTCTGGGCTTCCGCTAAATAGAGTCGGCCTCATATGAGTACCTGGTTTAGTGTTAAACATCACCACTTGGGAGACAAAGGCGGCCGGGCATGTGTTGCTGGCCACCTACCCCTTTCGTGTGCCTTGCTGACCTTCACAAGTGCTACTCGCTCACAGAACTTGCCCCAACAATCATTTAAAGGCAATAAGGGGATGATCTTTGTGTATGGAGAGCGGTAGTTGTAGCGTTTAGTGCTCTGCTACAAAGCTGGCAGCGTGATTATGTTTGATTGCCAGCCGGTCCTAGGCATCCCCCCAAGGTCGGATTGGTCTTAAAACTGCAGCGCTGCATCATTTAGCTTAATTGTTAAATACAAAGGTGCAGAGCTAAAATTATTTGCTCACACGACTGCTGACAGAAGGGCCTCGGGAGCTCTAGAGAGCCCCTCTATAAAGGGTATTTTTGCCTACTCTTGCACGCTGGCTGCACGTGTTTTTACCCACTACACGTGACCTGCCAATCGACTGTGGTGAATTCTGTTTATACCTCCGGGTGGGTTTAAGAAACTTGCACCATTTTTTCAACTGCCGTGCCGGGAACTTAAATTGAACCAGCTGGATTGCAAGTCCGGTGACCTAAACGTCACAACACGGCAGCATCCCTCTATTATACATATGTATATTTAACTTCTTTTGCACTATACTTAGCCAACCGTGCTAATTTGACCTATTCGGGTAATAACCGGCATGTAGTTTATGCAGGTGAAATGGCACACAATTGTTTTTTTGGGCTGTCTTGCGGTAACGCGAACATGCAGGACGACGGGAGCGACGAGCGCAGCTTCGACAGCTGGTTCCCCTCCTCCAACCTCGTGTCCAACATGCGCCACGTCATCAGCTACGTGCGTGTCAAGGTCCCCGAGACGGCCCCCGAGGTGGCCAAGGAGGTGCCCGCTGGACCAAGCGGCGTCGCCAACGCCGAACAGGTTGACGGTGCTTTCGTTTTCCTCAGGCTTCCTGTCTTGCTCCGTGCGGCCGATGGGTGACAAGGGCACGGCTCATCTCCTTTATTACATGTCCAGTCGGCCACATGGCCTTTTGGGAAGTGCACAATTTTAGCTGCATTGGAATTGTCATTTGATTTCTCACAAGAATTAGCCAATTAGGTGAAACTAAACTGAACTTTAAAGTCCGAAGTAAAATTTAATGTGAAAAGCAGGATTAGTCAAAACTCAAACGTCAGCCTTGGTGAACTACAAATGAGTGCATGCGTGAATGCGTGTTAGGTTTGCAGTTGGTAGTAGCACTGTGTTTCAAGCCTGCCGACCCGAGTTTAATTTTTGGCTTTGGCTAACATGGGTGGCAAGTGGTAGCAGACTCAGTTTTGGGCCTCTTGTCGGTCAACTCAGTCTTAAATGAGTACTTGATGTGCTGTGTAATCATCAGCACTGGGAAGGAAAAGACGGTCAGGTGTGGTGCTGGCCACACCACCTCCTAGTGTGTGTGCTGTCTAGATCCCACAAGTTGCATGTAAACAGTAGTTCCCCTAATAGTCTCTTGGGATCATTGTGTTAGTATTTATTTGGCGAGTGGAAGCGTAAAGGTTCATATGCTTGTGCTACGATCCGTAGATAGCATCAGCAGCACTTCATATCCGAGTCTGCACTCATCGTCTCGGAGCAACTTGGCCTAGCCATCGAAGACGATCACTGCATCGTGTGCTTTCAAATGCGCCTCTGCGGCCGTCTGGAACGTTCTTCCGATATTAGAAAGCCACTGGGAGCTATGCACTTTTAAATCATCAAGATGGAAAACTTAATTTCTTTAAAACTACATTGTTTGGTTTGTTGTCCTTCTACCCGCACCTCCAATTAGCACGGTTGGCTACATACTGTGCGAAAGAAGTTCAACATACACACTGATTCTGCTGGGGCTGATCAAATATTCAATTTAAATTTGTATTTATGAATCGGCTGAATGGAAGCCCACAGCACTAAATGCTCTTGAGGATTTGGGCACACATCCAGGAACGAGTCGTGCAATGAAATGAAGGAGAGAGGACGAGGGGACTGCGTGCTGGAGAGGAAGATGAGACTGTTTCCATCGAGTAACGAGAGCAGGAAATGCTGACCACTTGGTTGTTTCCTGGCAGGTGTTTAGAATGAGGTGGGTCAAGGACCTTGAGTAGTTCCTGTTCCCTGCCTCTGAAACTCAGGCAATTTTAGGAGTGCTTGCACTACTGAATCTTTTAAAACAAATTAAAAGCCCATTTATTTGACATGGCAAATTTTTGAGCTGGATTCATTTAGCAATTGGGGTTAATTATTTACTTTCGGGAAAGTAACCCTCATATACTAAGCAATAAGTGTGCTCGATAAAAAGAGCTAATTATATTGTAATTGCGTAAGAGGGCATTGGATGGGTTGGCACTTCGTCAATAAGTTGAAGAGATTACGACGAGTGTGAGTCAGTTATATTATTCAGGGGCAGCAGAGGAGTAGGAGCTACCTCCCACTGAGAACACGTTGGATGGGGGGTATCAGCAGAGGGCATCTGGATGCAGAGACTGATTCATTGCCTGGCCATGGGACTGGAGAATGTATTCGGGGGTGCCCATGGTTTATTTAAATAGTTTTGCTTTCTGTCATATTTTGGTGACCCGGGTAATCCCAGCGAACGAGATTATCTTTGTCACCCGAGTTCTCACCTGGTTAAGCAATTCAATCTTCACTTGACTATATTGATGGGCATGACCCAGTATCTCATTTACTACGATTACAACCATTGTGCTTGAACGGCAAAGGGTCGTAGCGACCTTCACCCCAGCCGATCAGTTGCGACAATCCATGCCTCCGGAGCAGAGAGGCTGCCTCTATCCAGCTCTATTGAACAGAGAAACACGTGAGCTTCACCCTTGCCACTCATTAGGTGTTGCTGTCTTCATTAATTTCATACCAAGGCACCACGCGGTTTAATTCTCCAAACGTTTCCATTTCTTGTCAGACTCAACGCAGGACACTTCAAAGGGAGGTAAATGACCGAAAGAGTTGTATGTGTGGTAATGATTTGTCTTAATACCTAGCTTTATGTATTTTGTGTGTGTGTTCCATTATAGAGAATTAACCACGTGAACGTCGCCGCACTTAACTATAGAGGATGAACCTCATTCCATGTTTTTTTGTCTGGACGTTGCAGTGATGGTGCATGCTGTGATTTGGACAAAGATATCAATTCAAATTGATATCTTTGTTCACATGAGGGATGCTGCTGCGGTGTATTGGTCAGCATACTACCAGACTTGCAATCCAGGGGATCGCCGGTTCGATTCTTTGGTGCGGCAGTTGAAGCAGTGGGGCAGGTTTTCTGTATTCCATGGCCTTTGTCTGCCCAGTGGTTCACATATGAAGGCGCCACAGCGAATCGAATCAGCAGGTTGTGCAAGTTGGGGGAAAAGTGTGGGTACTCCCACCTCAGGCAGACACACATTTGTCTGCACAAGTACAACCATTTGCACAAACACGCAGACTCCACTCAAACAAGAGACAAAGATCCCCTGTATAGCATTAACAGACTTTTGGGGTGCAAGTGCTGTTATCGAGTACCTCAAATACACACTTTTCACATACACACGCACACACGAAGTGTATTACAAGAAAGGCTTGATTATGGAAAGTTTGCCCATAATTGCCAGGCCTGCTGATCCTTGTCCAACTGCGTTCTCCTTCACAAACTGCGGCCACTCGCACACGCTCACAGCTCCCCCTGGTCCCCGTCGCTTACCAAGCTCCCTTCCCCCATCGCCTGTTCCTCTCCACCATCTATCGCTGCCTTCACCTACCTGGGACAGAGCCAAAGATCTCCCAATTTAGCCACGATATACTGCCTGGACTGGTCATAATAGCGAGCACCTATTAAGCCCTGCGCAACCGGTACGTATTGCCGTGTGGACGCGGAGTGCTGCAAAATCCATTGTGGTCACAGCACTTCTCCGCCGCCATGTGCATGCTCCTCCTGGCCTTCGCCAACTCGCGCCGATCGGCGTGGTGAAGTACGGTGAAAAAAAACCCATCCAGTAGTGGATTGGCATAAGGGCTGTGCATGCACTTGATATTTTAGTTAAAGTTTATATTTTTTATTTGATTGATTGATTGATTCATGAACTTTCCTTAGAACCAGGTGAGAGAGCCCCATGTTGCCAGGATGACCTCGGTTAAAGGGGAAATGCGGTATGCATGTAAAAGCTTCAACACGAAATTACGAAAGGTCATAAAAATCTTCTAAACTAAATTTTGCTGAGACGGTACAGTACAGACAATCGGCCTAGGTCAGGTGCATTGTGCTTCCCTATAACTATATAGCATTTGGACACAAACACTTGGAACCAATCTTTACATTCACTTTAGTATGGTATTTTGAATGACGTCTCAGCTTACGAGACTTGGCAAAGTGTTGGTGGTACATGTCTCGCAAACGAAAAAGCTACCGATGTAATTTGCCTCTCAAAAAGTCCGGGAGAGGACAGCAGAGTGAGTGTGAGGTCGCCGTGTGAATGCATGTCACACAGCACAAAAGCATCAGAGAGAGGAAGCTGTAATGGAATTGCCTGAACATTTCTGTTGCTCTTTAGAAGTCTCCTGTTTTATTTCTTTTAGTTTAATTAATCGACCCCCACTGTTTGAGAATCCACAACTCACTTAGTTTTTAATTAAAGTTGGCCGGCAAATGATTCGTTGCCAGTTAACATTTTCACGAGCGGTCAGGCCTAACCACCTGTACTTTAATGAATAATTATAAATGTGTGTGTGTCTGTGTGTAGGGAGCAGTGGCGCAGTGGTTAGAACACTGCGCTACAAACCCAGCGACCTGAGTTTGATTCCCTGCTCAAGACCAATAACAGTGGTGTCTATATGAACTGGTCCAAGGCCTCCTCTAGGTCGACTCAGCCTCAAATTAGTACCTGGTGCAATGTGTAAAAATTGACACTGGTGAGACAGGCATCCGGTCATGGTGCTGGCCACCCTCCCCCTCATGTGCTGTGCCGGCCTTCATAGGTGCTCGCTAACAGCACTTGCCCCTATAGTCTGTTAAAGCTATACAGGGGATTTTTTGTGTGTGTGTACGTATGGTGTCGAGGGAGCATTAGCGCTAGGGTTCACACGCTGCGTAAAGATTCAAGAAACCTGGATTTTCTTGCTGCCCATCAACTTCTATCAGTTGACAGCATCATCTAAACCTGCCCTGGGCTCTCCTTAAGGTTGACTTGGCCTTAAATGGTTTCCTGTGGCCTTGTGGCTGCTTCAATTTGACCGGGGGGGGGCAGTCCTTGGCAGGGAGGACCCCAATGAGATGGCACCGGAGGGTGGATATTGCTACGTACTGTCACACACATGACTTGACTCATGTTTTGTGTTAATGTCAACACTAGGGATGCAAAGGCAGCACTGGCCGCATCACCCCACCCCGTGTGGTATGCCAGCCTTGGTTGGTGGTCATTGACAGCTCTCGCCTCTATGCCATTAAGACTTAATTGGAGATATTTGTGTATGCGTTAAAGCCCAACGTTATTGGTTAAACCATGCAGACCACCATACTGTTTATTGAGGCCGGAATATTTATTCCTCACACCACCACTGCCACAGCCACCTGTCCAGGCGCCACTTCTTGTCGGCTCAACCTACACGAAGCCCAAGTCACATTGTGTCCACCTGCCTGTCAGTCTCTTTATCTACCGATCCGTCCGTTCGATCCGTCCGTTCAGTCTGTCCATTCGGCATTCCCCGCGCCCCCTCGCGGAACGCAGAACTCACGCACGCCGCAGGTGTTCAGCCTCGTCGCCGAGCGCCGCCGCAAGTTCCAGGAGATCATCAACCACAACGCCGCCGCTGCCGCCGCCGCCTCCCCTCCCGGCGGAGCTCGGCCCAAGACCACGCACGGGCGCTGGGCCCCGCAGCAGCAGGCCCAGCTCATCACGGCCATCCTGGAGATCCGCGAGAGCATGCTGTCCCTGCTCGTCAAGCTCCACCACAAGCTCTCTGGGCGGCAGAACTCCTTCGCTCCGGCCTGGTGCCGCCCCCTGCAGCCTGACGGGGAGGTGGGCGACAGCGTCAACGAAGACCCTGCCACTACTGCTGCCGCCACCGCTGCCACCAGCGCTGTTGGTGGTGGTGTTAGCGGCGAGGATGACGAGGAGAGGGTGAGGAGGAGGCATCAGCCGCAGCCGCCACCACCGGGCCCGGTTCACGGAGACGGGTTGGCGGCTCTTGAGAGGATTCTGGCAAAAGCGGCAAAGATGAGCGCCAGCAACCGGCGCTGCGTGGAGGAGATCTGCCGGCGTGTGACGCCGCCCGTTCCACCTAAGAAGAGCGGCCATTCGGAGAAGACGACACTCGATAAAGAGGAGAGGTACGCAGAGTATTGGCCACCGTCAACGCACCGCCACCATCACTTCACTGCCATTGTCACCTCACTGCTACCGTCACCGCACTGCCACCATCACCGCACTGCCACCGTCACTGCACTGCGACCGTCACCGCACTGCCATTGTCACCACTACCACTGTCACCACACTGCCACTATCACCATGCTGCCATTGTCACCGCACTGCCACCGTCACCGCACTGCCACCATCATCACACCAACATCACCACACTGCCACCATCAAGGCACTGCCATTGTCACCGCACTGCCACCGTCACCACACTACCCCCGTTATCGCACTGTCACCGACACTGCACTGCCATCACCAGTTTGTCCATAGAATATCCACTTCTTAACACAAAGTGGGCTTAAATTATGAATCCCATGTAGATGTTGATGATGATTGGCTGGGTTCACTTCGAACAAGGATTTTGAACTCACTACCTTCCATTAGAAAGGCGTTAGAGAAATATCCTTGAGCAATTGGAATTTAAAATGTTTTGAGGGTAACAGAACGCAAGCTGAGGAGCTGAGTCACCACTGGTGATGGTGTTTGGAGGAATAGCAACGTTTTACTGGGCAACGTAAAGCTTTGATATGCAGTCAAGCCGGGGACCCATAAATGGACCACGCTAACGGACAGGTCGAGAAATTCCTGCTCGACGCTCTGTCCAGCCATACATCTATCTGAACCAATTTATCCTTTCACTCCTCTCCTCCCCATTTCCTCCCGCCTCTCCTCCTCCCTCGCTGAGTTGCCCCGAAGGCTTTGAAGAGTGCTGCGACCTCCTGTCGTGAGAGTCGACATCGGCATTAACCCTTTCAACCGCTGACTTATTTTATGTTCCTGTTGTCACCTCCTGAACGTCGTTGTAGACGGTTTTTATTCCCTCGCTCTCTCGCCCCCTCAGCGGTGTGCGATTGTGCGTTTGTGAGTGTGCATGAGGAGCAGTCGCGCAGCGCTTAGCAGCGCTGCGCAACGAACCTGGCGACCCACGTTCGATTTTCACCCCGCCATAGCTCACATCATCGAATGAAATCCATTATCTGAACCGGTCCTGGATCTCCACTAGGTCGACTCAGTCTTACATGAGTGCCTGGCATGGCTTGTAAAATATCAGCACGGGGAACACAAAGGTGGCCAGGCATGATCCACGGTGCACCACCGCTTTGTGCGTCCTGCCTGCCTTAATAGTTGCTTGCTCACAGCGCTTGCCTCAACAATCCATGTAGGCTATACGGGGTGTCTTTGTCTCGGTGCAGGCAAGCATGGGGTGGCCGCTCATCTCCATTGACACCTGATCCAGTGGTGTGGAAGTTCCACATTACTATGTCAGTGGCCAGTATACTCAAGAGGGCAACCACCGGTTAACTTTCTCCAAAGTGGCACTCATGTATTAGATCCCAGAGGTGAACACGTGATGGATGGACCGGTGGCACAAGTTAAACTAATCTTGCCACACACACACACATCTTCTAGATTGAGACGCACCTCCAACTTTTGCTTTGTAATACAGGGCGGGGGGGGGGCAAAAATTGCATCTTATAACCTAGAGACTACGGTAATTACTTTTGCACATACCACGATCGACATTTAATTGAGGGGAAAATTCCATTCCTGTTGATCAATAGAATAAATGACAATATTAATACGCATTTCACGTCTTTAAACTGCCCGTCATTCTTAAACCCTCCCGTGCAGCATATCGGGTTACTCCTGTGTGTAGAAACCACGTACATTTAAATTATTATTGGCGACGTCACCTCCCTAAAAACACATTGCACTGGGAGAAATTAGAAATTGCCGTTGGCAGGCGCACTGGGCTTCCTTGTTTTTGAAATCGGATAGAACATTTTGTTGTTGGACGCAAGTTTGGGATGGCTTTTGCGATCTCAAAGAGCGTTCATCAAATTTTTAATAGGCCGTAAGTAATTTGCTGCTCACAGTCGTGGGCGACGGGGAAAATGAGGCGGCAGAAGATGGCAAAGCGGAACACTTACGCTCCCTTTAACCTGAAGGGATGACAAACCAATTATTATGATGCCATGTGTTTTGGCACGGATGGCAAGCGCCTAAAGAACACTTTGATTGCAGTGATTGATGATAATTAAGCGGCGTGTAGAAGGCGGCAGTGGCGGTGGCGGTGGTGATGGAGATAATTTTTAAGAGCCCGAGTGTACGGTGGCATTGCGGTGCAGTGCGGTTTGCAGCGGTGGATTTCCCCCCTCCACTCCCCCGTGTAGACGAGCTGTCTACGGCAAGTACTGCTAGCGATCACCTATTAAGGCCGGCCCGGTGCATGAGGGGGTGGTTTGGCCAGGACCACACCCGGCCGCTTTTGTCTCCCCTACTGCTCATGTTTACACACTGCAACAGGTACTGTACTCAGGGGAGGCCCAAGACCGCACACACACTTAACAATGTACCCATCCGCTTACAGGTACCGGTTCAGATAATCATCACTAGTTTTCACCGTGAGCTGCAGTTGAACTTGGGTCGCCGGGCTCGTAGCTCACCGCGCTAAGCACCATCCCATCGCGCTCCCCACAAGCACACAAAGACAGAGGGACGCACGCCGCTAAGACATCTGCAAAACGGCCGTGTTTTGGGCCACATGGAGCCAGACAAGACAAAGGGTAATCGCTGCACGTAGCCAGTCTCCAAGGCAACACTGGGAGAGCGAGAGAGAGACACGGAGAGATGGGGAGAGAGAGAGAGAGCGTTAGCGTACGTGATAGGCAGCCCAAGCCTTTTGGGATGGATCACGACAGGCTAACGGGGATGGGGAGAGAGAAAGAGAGAGACGGGGAGATAAGAGAGACGGAGAGACCAACCATCCGGCAAGACAGGAAAGGACAAACTGGAAGAGGTGAACTGCTCGATAGAGGAAAGTCGGTCACGTTCTGCAGGATGAGGAGCTACATTGGTAAATGGAGAAAAAAACACCTGGAAAAATGTCCTGATGCATTTTGCCACTGACATTCTTATGATAATTATCAATTAATTAAATTCACCTAAGTCAACCCACTGCTAGACGAATGGCTGCCAAATGCCCTGTCAGACATGTGAATTTATTATCCCTAATAAAGGTTTGCATAAATGTAATTGTGTCGTTAAACCCGCCACCACCCAACACAGCCAATTAGTAAGGTTTGTCACGTAAACAAAATGTGCCGATTCGTGACTAGTTCAGCACACCGGTGGTGTGTTGGAGAGAAAATCCACAACATTACAATCTAAACAGAACATGCCAATTCGTAACTAGTACGGCACACACCGGTGTGTCGGAGTGCAAATCCGCAACATTACTCTTTGGTTCTTTCGGTAAAGTCACGTAGGTGGAAATGAAACAAAATAAATCACGACGTTTCGGACGCAACGCAAGCGCCCGTCTTCAGGTGAAAATCGCGATAGCCGCGATGTCTGCTGCGAGCAGCACGACTTCTGCTGCCTTGTGAAGATTTTCGCCTGAAGACGGGCGCTTGTGATTGCGTCCGAAACGTCGTGATTTATTTTGTTTTATTTCTACCTCCGTGACTTTACCGAAAGAACCAAAGAGTATGGATTCCTGCTGTCACGAAAGCTTCTAATCAAAATTCTTTACTACTTCAGCACAAAAGTATTTGATCCCCTGCTGATTTTGTACGTTTGACCCACTGACAAAGAAATGATCAGTCTATCATTTTTATGGTAGGTTTATTTGAACAGTGAGAGACAGAATAACAACAACAAAATCCAGAAAAACGCATGTTAAAAATGTGATAAATTGATTTGCATTTTAATGAGGGAAATAAGTATTTGACCCCTCTGCAAAACATGACTTAGTACTTGGTGGCAAAACCCTTGTTGGCAATCACAGAGGTCAGACGTTTCTTATATTTGGCCACCAGGTTTGCACACATCTCAGGAGGGATTTTGTCCCACTCCTCTTTGCAGATCTTCTCCAAGTCATTAAGGTTTCGAGGCTGACGTTTGGCAACTAGAACCTTCAGCTCCCTCCACAGATTTTCTATGGGATTAAGGTCTGGAGACTGGCTAGGCCACTCCAGGACCTTAATGTGCTTCTTCTTGAGCCACTCCTTTGTTGCCTTGGCCGTGTGTTTTGGGTCATTGTCATACTGGAATACCCATCCACGACCCATTTTCAATGCCCTGGCTGAGGGAAGGAGGTTCTCACCCAATATTTGACGGTACATGGCCCCGTCCATCGTTCCTTTGATGCGGTGAAGTTGTCCTGTCCCCTTAGCAGAAAAACACCCCGCAAAGCATAATGTTTCCACCTCCATGTTTGGAGGTGGAAACATTATGTTCTTGGGGTCATAGGCAGCATTCCTCCTCCTCTAAACACGGCGAGTTGAGTTGATGCCAAAGAGCTCCATTTTGGTCTCATCTGACCACAACACTTTCACCCAGTTGTCCTCTGAATCATTCAGATGTTCATTGGCAAACTTCAGACGGGCATGTGTATGTGCTTTCTTGAGCAGGGGGACCTTGCGGGCACTGCAGGATTTCAGTCCTTCACGGCATAGTGTGTTACCAATTGTTTTCTTGGTGACTATGGTCCCAGCTGCCTTGAGATCATTGACAAGATCCTCCCGTGTAGTTCTGGGCTGATTCCTCACCGTTCTCGTGATCATTGCAACTCCACGGGGTGAGATCTTGCATGGAGCCCCAGGCCGAGGGAGATTGACAGTTCTTTTGTGTTTCTTCCATTTGCGAATAATCGCACCAACTGTTGTCACCTTTTCACCAAACTGCTTGGCAATGGTCTTGTAGCCCATTCCAGCCTTGTGTACATCTACAATCTTGTCCCTGACATCCTTGGAGAGATCTTTTGTCTTGGCCAAGGTGGAGAGTTTGGAATCTGATTGATTGATTGCTTCTGTGGACAGGTGTCTTTTATACAGGTAACAAGCTGAGATTAGGAGCACTCCCTTTAAGAGTGTGCTCCTAATCTCAGCTCGTTACCTGTATAAAGGACACCTGGGAGCCAGAAATCTTTCTGATTGAGAGGGGGTCAAATACTTATTTCCCTCATTAAAATGCAAATCGATTTATAACATTTTTGACATGCGTTTTTCTGGATTTTTTGTTGTTGTTATTCTGACTCTCACTGTTCAAAATCAGCAGGGGATCAAATATTTGTTTCCCTGACTGTACATTATGTATGTATATTCTTCCGTTTTTGGATGCAAAAATTGCAATACCTGTGATTGGCTGCTCACAGTTAATCAACATTGACATATAGTGTCCTGTATAGGCATGCAGTTAAACAGTGTATTACTTGGAAATACACTTTCAAGCAGCACTAAGCATGTAGCTATCAGAACGGTTAAAATTGTTGTATTCATCTCAATTTCAATAGATTATATGGTTAGTCTTGGCCAGTAGTAACTAGTTTTGCACAACACCACAATATTATCGAAATCAATCGATTGCCCTTGTTGCCACAGGTATTCTTCCACTGCCAACAGTTGTGTTTGGGAGTATTTGATATTTATTTTTAGTCTTATGCCGACCATTTGTCGCGTCTGACCAACATAGCATTTGCCACAGGAGCAAATGTCTAATTCACGTGTTTCTCTTTCTGCCTGTCAGTGTAATTTCATGTGGTCACCTCTCCATTCCTCTTTGTAGAAATCTCAGCTTTGCTCGATGGTGAATGAAGCTAAAGTGGGCATCTCTGTTGGTGTGTATGTTTTGATACAGACGCCGGCGGGCCAGAGAGAGACAACAGAAATTGCTGGCCGAGTTTGCCTCCCGACAGAAGAGCTTCATGGAAACGGCCATGGACATAGGTGAGTGACAACACCTGATCGTTAGAGCCGTGTCAAGGTGAGAAAGACCATCAAAAAGTTGAACGTTACTCCTCGTAAGGTTACATGTGAACATGAAGAAGTCATAACGTCAGTGTTCGAGGCTCATGGAGCCGTAATTAAGGTAATAATCGTTTGGAGAAGTCTCCAGCAACCGCTCTACACTGTTGCCTTGTTTATTAACGCTTTCCAATGAAGGTTGAAACTGTTTAGGCATTTGCTCCTTCTGCAGTGGGGTGGGACTAAAGTCCTTGTAAAGATAACTCAATATGACCAGACCTGTAGTATAAAGTAAAAATATATTTATGTTATTGAGTGCTGGACAAACCTTATGCCTCTTGAGTTTAATTGTATTTATTTTGGTTTTATTCTTGTTATTCACATTCTATTTCTCAAGTGGCACTGCCTCAGGGGAATGTAGGGCAGTTCATTTTGTTCGGCCCAGGAATGCATTGCTGGGTGGATAGTGCCATGTTCTCACGATCACAAACCTTCCCATAATGCAGTGTGCCAGAAATGTAAAAAAAATATACTTTTAATATTAATTTGCTTATTATAAATCAGTTTATTTGCAAATACTCCTTTGTTTATTGAAGGGTTTGTCTGTTACTCAATAGCTACTAGTATTACTATTCATATGCCAAATTCAAAACAGGTAATCAGAAAACATGTTTTTAATGTAATTTCCACCAGGCCCCATAGTGTTAAGTGGAGCCCAATCCTTATTATTTACTGTCTCTCCAACATCTCTATATATGGGTTGTAAAGAAGGGTCATTGGTCAATATGTATTTCTATTAAATATTTTTTTATTTTAAGGCCACACAATGTTATTGAGGAATGTGTTGAGTTTTTATTTCGCCAATTGTGCTTCTTTCACCACTGCCAATGCAGCATCACCAAACAATTGTGGAACGCGCCGGCTCCGTTCCACCGGTTTCTATGTAAATGAACCCCGTAGAATCGCCAACATTACTAACGGAGGGATATTGAAGGGGGGGGGGGGGGGGGGGGGGGGGTGGCTCGCGTGAACCAGGCATTGAGCAATGGCTCCATCGATTCCACACTGAACGCTCAGAATGCATTGCTTTATCCCCCCCCCCCCCCCCCCAAACCAAGCCGCCGCTGCCTTCAAATCCGTGAGACTAACGTAGGCCGAGGTATCAATTACACGCTTTATATTCGGGCGAGATGGTGTGTGGTGGTGTCTGTTGCGGCGGTGGTGGCGGTGACGTCCGTACGAACCGGGTGGCCGCCGTTTTCGCCCTCGCGCATCGATTCCTCATTTCACCGCTTTAATGCGTCAGCCACCGGCTCATTAAAGAGGAGGATGGTGGTGGCCGTATATCCATCCGTGCGTCCGTCCGTGCATCCATCCGGGTGGCAGTAAGCAAGCGGGACGAATGGAGAACCTTGTGGCATGTTGTAATGGGGGAGTAGAAAGGGTGTAGTGGGTTTGTACATAGTAAAAGAGGTTTGTCTGTCCATCTGTACCTTGTCTGCCTGTGTCTCCTTTTTTTCCATGTGTCTGTCTATCTGTTCAGCTGTCCTTGAAGCTACGTTGTACTACACTTTTCATATTTTTTGTTCCATTGTCTTTGTCGATGATCACGTTTCTGATACGTATGTCATAGCGGGAAATGTGCGAGATGTGAGATGAATCTGCTAAAGCCAAAACTCACCACATTTGCCATTAACACTCACTTTCAACGTAAAAAAAATACACGGCCCAACATTTCAGACAATGGCCCTTCTTTTAGGGTGTAGTGACTTTCGTGGACTCTGTAAATCCTGATTGTGGCAATCACAACATCATCGTCCCTCGGGTGCATCAAATGAGCACTATTGAAAGTCATCGGTCATCTTCCCATAGGTAGACGAAGTCCCACCATGGGAATGTGTGGTTTCCTCAACTAGCTTTGGCACGCCAATGGAGACGATCACCATTCCATGCTTGTTTGAGAAGGAGGACATGGATTCTAACAAGGTGTTTAATGCCGGCTTCGATTTGTCGATTATTATTGATTCATTGTTTTGGCCAGGTGTGGCTCCTTTCATAGAGTGAGCAGCTCATGATTGGAAATTTGCGAGTTAAAATCCTGATTGGGGGGGTGGGTGGGTTGACCCGGCCCATATCATCCATTTGAATTTGATCAATTCAGAACCAATTTGTTGGGAACTCAACAGTGGTTCTCCTATGGATAGACTCACCCCCACCATAGGCATGTGGAATTTCCACAACTACCTCAGGGCTGTATAAAGGAGATGAGAGGCAATGCCTCAATGCTCATTTGAGCAAGGGATCACTGTGGCTTTTGGCTTATTAATCCTTACGCTCACTTTACATGCGTTGAGTCGCACATACACCAATATTTCTCAGTTTGTGGATATTGCATGTAACGAATTGACATCGCCATTAACATCAAAGTAAAAACATGATTCTTCAGTTGAAGCATGACTGAATAATGATTTGAATCTCCAGTGAGATGAATAGTTCTACCCATCATTGTGACGACCCATTGATGTGTTTCTGCAGTTGTAAGTGTCCGGTTCGGATCCCTGGAACTAACGGTGAGACTTTGCCAGCTCATGAATTTCCGGAAAGGATGTTTCTTCATCTCGTGATGTGATTGATAATACCAAAATTGAGATGTAACTTTTTGCGATGTAATTTCTGATACCAGCGCGCAATATATAATGGCACTTTCTGAAACAAAAAAAACAAGTTGTGAATTCACAGCTGCCGGTCCCCACATATCAAATTGCTTCATGTTTTTCCTTTCAAGGCTAAACCCAAGTATATATTTTTTTCACTTGGCACCTGAGAATCTGTCTTGTGGAAGCTGGTATTTTTTCAAGATCATTGCTTCTATCTTTTTGTTATCAGTTACATACTTTATTCTACTTTTCTTTGCTTCTTACTTTCTTACCACTTTAATATAAAAAAAAGATTTTCTTTCTGCAGCAGCCATTCTTCAGCACTCGCACAGTCTCTCAGTTTATACTCAAAACTCCGAAGCAGAAAATCACTCTATGGGGACGGGCATTGAACACCTGCTTGGCAGATCACTTGCATCACAGTGTTACGTGACAGGTAAGAAAGTGTCTCCATTGGAACGGCACTCATCTCCAACGCTGCTCTTGAGCCAGTGGTGGAAATTCCACATTCCTGTGGCAGGGGGCCAATCCCTCCACGACACTATTTACTTCAACAATGTGGGAATAATTTAACCATAACCACGATTCAAACTTTAAACTTTCCATTGCGCAAGGCCAGTGCTCTGACCACATCACCTAGGCTGATATTATTAAGTGATGGTAAGAATCAACAAACATGCACTTAGCAGACAATACATGTATGCCATGTGCATCTAAGTGGAGTTGATTGAATGTTAACTCTGGTAATTGTATGTAGTCAATGTGGGAGACAGGACTGGCACCATCAAAACCTCCATCAACGGAGAAACTTTTAAATTATGAAGCCTAGCATTTGAACTTGAGCGGTCTCAGCAGTGCTGGCTTGGTGACTGACACGGCCATTATGAACACTCTTCCCCCCCCCCCCCCTCTGAAGTGGTGCTCATTTTATACGACCTGGTGGCACTGTGGTAAGAGTGTTCAAATTTCGGTCGAAAGGCTGCAAGTTGAAATCCCATCCGGGGGGTTATTGTCTGCGGTTGATAAAATGAGAAGGACCTTGGAGAAAGTCAATATGCGGAATTTCTGCCACGAGCTCCCGGCAGCCCATGGGGGACGAGACCCGGCCCACGCTCATTTAAGCACGGAGGCATTTCAAACTTTTGACTTAAAAGAAAGCGCTAAGAAACCCCAGCCACCTCTCTTTTTAATGTTTATTTTATAAATGCGCCACGTAGTTAAGAGCTCATTTTAAACGCTTGCGTCTAAGTGAGAGCCAGGGCCCCGTGATTAACATTGGGCCCCGCGGGGCCGTTTAAGGGCAGCGAGCGGCATTAACTCTGCCTCCAGGGCCGGGCTGGCTTTCGCGTGTTCATTTTGCCGATCGTTTTTCGCCCCCTCGATGGGACCCTTAAGGGCGCGGATGATGGTTTCACTGTCCAATCAAATTAACTCGCCCGCCTCTCTCGGTTCTGAAGAGCTAGGACCTCGCCGTCGCTCGCCCTCATCCAAACCCTCGCGACGAGCCCAAGGGCAAAGGCACGGCAAGCTGGTTGCCAGTCTACGCCAGGCCATTAAGGGGGCCTGACTTTGGTTAGTCAATGTGCCGATTGGCCTCACACACCACCAATACTTTCCACCAGCATTCGTTTAACAAGTCTGACCCTGGTGCTGGGTATTTTCTCAAGCTGAGACCATCAAACTTGCTGTGCGCGACATCTTGGTTTAATAATGCTACTACGTAGGTTTTCGCAGTCGTGCTGTACAACTCTGCGCGCAATTGGGATTCTACACAGTCGCAGTCATTGGCCCCCTACTGTCCAGAGTTTGTGTGCTTTAACAAATTAGACTGCATAATATTGGTCTCGAATGCCCCATAGGTTGATGGACCAAAAAGAAAATTGATTCATGTTCATAATGCTTATCGCTGCTTCACCACTTCCCAAAATGCATACATTTGCACACATAAAGGCACGTGCACATACGCACATATAGAGGCACACACGGTCACACAAAGACATTTCTACAGGCAAAAGTGGAGATGTGGCCAGCATCATGTCCACCCACCCATGTCTCCCAAGTGATGATATTCGTACAATTCACCAAATGGTCACTTCAGGTTCAGTCTACCTAGGGGAGGCCCAGTAATACATTTCACAGACTTGCATGGCCATAAATGAAACCCAATCTCATACGCACACACAACATACACACGTACAGATCAACACACACACACTCACCGTCACAAGGACCGTTCGCAATAATTAATCTATTTTGCTGGCTGTCTCTTAAAAATGAACCAATAAATTTTTCAATTACGTTTATTCCATTTTCTTTTTATTATTA